TTTTGGTTACAACGATAACTCTTTTCCACCTGATCATTCCATACGATACCTCACGGACTACCGCTTTAGTCTACCTCGCCTTAGTACGGACCGAGCCTAGAGAAGTATAGCCTAACCCCGTGTAACAAACGAGTATGACGTATTGCTTACCTGACTACCCGGGATTCATGCAGGGAGCCTTGAAAATGTATTTTACAACGCCGATTGCCCGTCCTACGTACATGGACTATGCGCAGACTTGAATCTTTACAATCAACTCTTTCTATCTTCTCCAAGTCCCTCAAGCCTCGGATTTTACGCCTAGAGAGCAGTCAGGCTCCAAGCTTTACCTCTAGTATAGCTACCTAGGTAAAGGCTTCCACAGCCCATTGATTAGCTTCACACTATCTCTCCCACCCCTCGAGGGCTTCTGCTGCTAAAAAACTACCTCTAACACTGCTACAGCCTTCTACAACCTATTAATTAACTTTACGCTATCTTTTTCACCCCCCAAGAGCTTCTCCTGCCGAAGACCACCTCTTATGATATCTGAGTGCTTCTAAGACACAAAACTGATCGTCCAAAAGCTCATCCAAGCTAGAGAGCACCGAGGACGCACATGAAACCATTTCTGCCACCTGTTTCACATGGTGTGTTTGATCAAAGACTAAAGACGTCCACGATTACATAACTCCGCCCTCTGATCCATACTATTGGACTCCAAGATAGAAACCCGGAGTAGTACAGGCTGAACCAAACATCATCCCTAGTCAGTTGCTCTTTCACTCGTTAGCAGCTTGTGGAATGGCACAAGGCCCTCAGTTCCCTGGGATCTTCGAAGGCACAACGAATATCGGCGATTTCATCGGAGGCTACAAGATTGAAGATCCCAAAACATGGCCGTCCGCCACTGTCAAGAACCTTCCTCCTCAATGGGTTGGGCAAAGCAAGCCGCCGTCCTTTGTTGTTTACGACTACGCGACGATTCAGAGGTGGATGGACAGGTCGAGCATCAAGAACAATACGGCGGAAGCGAAGGAAGCATTCACGAACTATCCATCCAATTTCAATTGGAACGGAATGTCGTATTCTGTCCCGTTGGAAGATTTGTCATCAAAACAGTTGAAAGAGTGGAAGAAGAGAAGAACATCTCGGGAGGGAATTGCACACAACACAGTATATGCATGCTGTGTATTTGTATAACTCGGATGATTTGATATAGCTGACTCCGTAGTCCGGGAAACACGCCTCATCGCAAACCCCTAAGCCTGACACGCGACATTCTCACAGCACCAACAATTCTCCTCTCATGTTCCTGATCGTAGTAATGCTTAATACTTGTGACCCTTGACCACGATCTTACCGCCCTCACACTTGAGGCTGATCTCCTCCCCAAAAGTGTAGTAACCGTGTTGATCGGCTTCCGGGACGGGCTTTGGCTGTGGTGCTGGATCTGGCTTATCATCCTCCTCCTTCTCCGGCTGAGGGGCTGGGTGTTCGGGCTGCGGCTTAGGAGGAGTGGGGTGCTCGGGCTTTGGAGGCGGGTGCTCGGGCTGCGGCTTGGGAGGAGCGGGATGCTCAGGTTGTGGCTTAGGAGGAACTGGGTGTTCGGGCTTTGGGGGTGGATGTTCCGGCTTGGGAGGAGTTGGGTGCTCTGGCTTGGGGGGTTCTGGCCTGGGGGGTTCCGGTTTGGGGGGTTCTGGCTTGGGATGCTCCGGCTTTGGAGGTGGATGCTCTGGTTTCGGAGGCTCTGGCTTGGGATGCTCAGGTTCTGGCTTGGGTGGTTCTGGCTTAGGATGCTCTGGCTTAGGATGCTCTGGCTTAGGTGGTTCTGGCTTTGGAGGTGGATGTTCTGGCTTTGGAGGAGTCGGGTGCTCCGGCTTCGGGGGTGGATGCTCTGGTTGAGGCTTAGGTGGATGGGGCTCATAGCCACCGTCATCGTTTTCATCTTTATCTTCTTCTGGTTTGACTGGAGGGTCTGGCTGTGGCTTGTTGGGCTTGTAGCTTCCGTCGTCGTGCTCGTCCTTATCTCCATGTTCTTTGCCATCCCCTATAGGTTCGGGTACATGAGGAACATCCACCTTTGGAGGGATGCAGATCTTGCTATGGTCGTACTTGTCGCGTTGCTCACAGCACCTTTGATACTCCTCAGTGGCCTTTGCGTCATCTCCACGGACGGCGATCGGCGTCGCTGCGGCAGTAAAGGCCAGAATGGCAACGACAGCAGCTTGAGTGAGACGCATGGTCAAGGTCGAGCAGTATTACGAATGATTGAGTATTTGGTGATCGAAGTTTGCTCGTGTAAACGAATGGTGGAATGCGGAGGACCGCAGTTACCGACTTTGTTGTATGATCGATATCCGCTTGGTGGCCGATGTCGAGACAGTGCAGGTTATCTCTCTCATCTTTATACTTGAACGATGCATTGTTTGAATCGTCCCTATTCCATTAATCCCTCTCTTCTTAGCTAGAGATATGCACAGTTACGTCTCAGAATATTGAATTTTGGCTTCAGGACGCCCCACGGTCTTGGAGCGCAGCCAAAACACCGTCGTGGCACTCTAAACCTTGAGATACGCATATCAGGCCCTCTTCCTAGAGCTTGAAGCTAATGATATGAAGTCATGATTTGGTGTTGGACATCGTTAGCTGGTGTAGTGAGAGAGCGAACATCGTGGTCGCTACGCAGGGAAATATTGCCCAGAGCTGCTTCATGGATCGGATTATACTCCACTGCGCTCAGAGAGGTCAGTTGCGAGAGAGATTCGAGAGTTTGCTGTGACGACTATGGCGGAAACATTCGAGTTCTCGTATAATAGCCTTGGCTGGCTCTACCCGTTGGTCAAGACAACTGCAAACATCGCGATCGCGGATGATCTGGTAGCACGGGAGGACATCTTCCAAGACGCCGTCGTGAAATCAAAAAGAAGGCTTTCTTGTACCGGATACGTCGGATGAAGATGGCGCAAACATGTGAGATGCTGAGAGGTTGGAGAGCGAAGCTCCTCAGCCGCGGACAAAGCGCCATCCGGGGTAGCGTCTTGGCGACGTGACACATCAAATTGCCGGACTGGGTCGGTACTGCTTCCCTTTCCATCGTCACGGTATTTAGACGATCACCTAGCGGTACATACTTCCAGTCCATCGGGTCGAAAGATACAACTCCAACCCACAGTACAGGCTGAGCACGAGCTACCATCTGCACATATGAAGAATGTGAAATCTGCTCTAAATTACCTGGGTAGGTCACGACTACCCACACCCGAGCGAAAGTGCAAGTAGCAACATTCGCAACAACCTTACCAAAGGGGCACTCTGGCCTCGAACCCCGCACCACATCTTGACATTGAGCGCTGGCTCAAAGTCAATAGTCGGATACTAAACCCATAGATCGCCTTGGCTGCTCACATACCTAAGAGGCTAGTGTGTTGCCAACACGGACTTTATTTCGAGCCATCCAAATTTATATACGCCCTAGCTGTAGCGGATAATTCGATTGGCTCGACCCCTAAAAGAGATTGATGTTGCATCCTTCCTATTAACGAAATGTTTGCCATGTGGTGGCGACTACTAGATTGGAGCTGAGAAGTCAAACCTTGTTACCTTCCTAGGTATCTATGGTAACAATGGATCATTTCGCTGAGCGAAACGTATCCGCGCTCAGATCTAGCCTCAGAGATGCCATCCGAGTTGGTCTATTGCAGTATCACATTGCTGTAATATTGGCAGTGTCCAGTTGCGAGGTTAGTATTTCTTTATCGAAGCTGTGGTCGGCCTAGGAAGTGAGGAGCTACTTGAGGCATACGTATTATCAAATCGAAAAACACTCTGACTGGATACAAAATTGGGTATGGCGTGGAACATCTGAATTTTCCGAGGATCCGTCTAGCGTTTGGCATAACGAACGCCAATTCGCACTAAGTTTTTGGAGTACATGCACTTGGTGCACACCGGTTGTGGGTAGATACCATGGTACTCTTCAGCCTATTGCATGTCTTCCCGGTGCCAACTTCTCTTGTATTCTGATACGACACGAATCTAGTTTCAGGCACGTACGTTGTGTCGATACTTTATGTTCAGACAAAACCCAATCGCAGAAGAGCAATCTGCTCCAACTCGAACTGATGCCTAAAACTTTGTATTGGCTGTTGATAGGGCTAGTTGACTGATCGTGTGGATTAGTGAGCCTAGAGAGGGTCGCACTTAGGCGTAGATATGCAATGATTTGACATAAACTTGAGATGTACAGCCTGAAATACCCACAGTAGGTACTTGGCAAAGACTGAGATGTACAATGACGTTCGTGCGGGGAAACTGACTTGTTACACTTGGTAGTCATGTTGTACTAAGATGCTAAGCACAAGTGCAGTTTTGAGTGTCTTCCAGTCCTACCATCAACCTGAAAGAATATGTAAGCTGAGTTCATGGACACGGAATCAAAAAGGTGCATACAGAGTAATCATCGCGCTGTTGTCAGGCTCATTCGTATTAACCAGGCTTCCCCGTGTACGGAGTTGTGTCACCTTAAAAACGCGCAAAGGAAGCTTCTTTGGTCTACATCTTTCCCTGAGCTGTATGGCAAATTACCGCTTTGGCTTCTCCCCGTTGATTTGTACAATATACAATATCAACATGGTGTCAGTGACCTCGGGTTGTAAGCGTCGTCGCTTGTAAAGATATAGGAGCACGATGAGAAAGCTGAAAGACGCGAACTGGACCTTGAAATCGACATCATCGACGAACGCTAAGCCATAATTGAACCTAGAAGCGATGCACGCGAGCATTTACGACAGCGCATTACTGCTGAGGGCGCATTCGCCGCCTGTGAAGAAGAGAATCTCGAGTTGAAGCAAACCTTGGAAAGCTTGATTTTATTAGCATGAAAAACGAGGCATTCGAAAAAAAGCTTCCGGCACAGGATAAAGTAATTCACTGAATGCAAGCAAAGCAGGATAGACAGAAGGGTTGAAGGCATGATCGAGATAAGCACAAAGCTCACATATGTGCGCTGAAAACTGCTCGATCATATGGATCCAGTTCAGGTGAACAGGGAAGTAGGTTTCTAGGCACTGGATTAAGTCAAAACATAAATAATAGGGGATGCATCGGGAGGCAGCTTGAAGAGCATGTTGGATGCAATGATGGCGATGTTCTGAAGAAGTCGAGAGGTCGTCCTGTATTGGATGTGCTCCTTGTCGGTCAAAAAATGATGATAGTCCTAGCCTTCCCAGAGTAAAGTAACGTGTGACTAATATACCCAATCATACTATATCATCACACACTAGATGTACCAATGACAATGTTGTTTTCAGAATTATCATTCATGCTATCTGGCATACACGCCATCGATCGCATGTTTCGCGTTGATTTCCCATCGCCGTGCTCAATCGAACTATGCACTCGGTCCCTCTCTTCATGTTCTAACCCATCATTCCGATGACAGGGACCGTAAAACTATGCCATGAGAGGAGAACGAACAAAGCTCGCATACATGATATAACCAAAATTCGTAGAACCGGGAACAGGAAATGAGTGATTAAAGAAACGCAAGAACGCCATCATGAAATATCTCATCCATCTCGTCACAAGGTGCGACTCTCACCAATCTTTCGCGAGTGACAATGGCTGTCATGTACCGCCAACCGTAGTTGTGTTTCTTAAGCCGCTTGGCTCAGGACCCTTCTTGTTTCGACGACCGAGTAATGTCGAGCTGTCCATGTTGAGCTCAAATGCGCCCTTGTTCCTGACTTGGCGCTTCGCTGCAGCCGCAACAGCTGGAGAGTGTTGGCCATATCCTCGCTCTTGCTGTCGTGGTGCTGATTGTTGCTGGCGGGCCTGAGCTGCGGCGGATAGTGTGGTGGTGCGCATCTTCTGCTCCATACCAGTGACATCAGCACCTTGAGACTTAGGGAGCTTCGCTGGTGGATGTTGCGATGATGGGTCGTATGGGACAGATTCAGCAGCATACTCGTCATCGTCTTCACCCTCATCGAGGGCGTTCAACGAGTTCATGGCGTTGGCGCCACGGTAACCCTGCTTGAACTGCTTCTTCCTCTTGCCCTCCTCTTCCTGTCGATGTACAGCATAACTGACATCGAATACTTCTCGGAGGTTGACGGCACCAGGAGAGCGGAAGTCCATGCGACGAGCACCCGGTGACTCCAAGTGCGAGAAGTCTGGTTGCAGACGCTCCTTTTTGGCGGCAGGTGTGGCGAGGGGTGGTGCGTCGTAGGCAGAGTAGGTTGGCTCATCGGCTTCACGTATCCATGGGTGGTTGAGGAATTGGTTGATGTCATATCGCTTTTCCGGGTCGACTGTCAGCAGATGGGAGACCAAGTCTTGCGCGGACTTAGAGATATCGTCCCACCAGGGTGAGAGGAAGGTGTACTGGCCACGAGCAACCTTCTCAGTGAGGGTTTGGATGGACTCGTCGTAGAACGGCGGGAAACCACAGAGAAGTGTGTAAAGCACACAACCCAACGCCCACATGTCGACACTCTTAGAGTAACGCTCATCCTTGACAATCTCAGGTGCAGTATAGCCGACAGTACCGCAAGGTGTCATGGTTTGCGTGTCCCAGATAACCTTGCTAAGGCCGAAGTCGGCAATCTTGATTAGGCCGATACCACCAGCGCCCTTGCCCTTGACGAACTCTCCCTCGTCAGCCTTGTCTTCATCGTCTGGTCCCCTTGGCTTTGGGTTGCGTGTGGGGATGAATGGTGTGGGATAGAACAAGAGGTTCTCAGGCTTGATGTCTCTGTGATATGACGTCAGTGAGAATGCTTGGCATCGTGACAAAAAATACGAACCGATGGACAACACCTGCTTCCTCGTGCAGGTACTGCAGAGCCTTGGCCACCTGAATGATGGTGTGACGGGAAAGGTCCTCGGAGAAGTACGTTAGACGGACGATTTGATGGAACAGTTCGCCTCCTGGGCACAGCTCGAGCACGATGTAGTAGTACTGCCGTGATTCGGAAAAGTCGATAAGTTTGACGATGTTGGGGTGGTCTAGTTGGCGCATAATCTGTACTTCCTTGAGGATGTTCGCTCTCTATAGGGCAGTTAGTGTCTGCCCTTGCAAGCCCAGTCGTGATGGGGTGGAGGATGCTCAGAGTCGAGCATCGGGGGTAAGATTATCGCACCTCGGCTGCTTTGGGCGTCTTGAAGTCCGGATGCACATGCTTGTCCTACACCGGCCTCGCGTTGGTAACGTCCAAAAACACCCGACTGTTCAACGTGATGGGGAAAACAACAAGGGAATGTGCAGGGAAGGGCAGGGATTGGGTAGTACTAACCTGCTGTGAGTTCATCTCGAACTTACGGACGACCTTGATGGCCACTTCATCCCATTGACCGGTCGTGTCTCGTGCGCGATATACGTTGCTGAAGGCGCCGTCGCCCATCTTTTCGAGCAGCGTCCATCGCTCAAGTCCGGGATATCTAGGCAACTTGCCCTTGGCCTCGCGCTCCTCGGCGACAATGCGCTCGAGTACTGATGGGTCGACGCCTGCGTTCTTGGCAGCGGCCTGCTTCTTCTGGTCCTTGGCAGCTGCGTGCGCAGCGGCATCACCTGCTTGGGCGGCAATATTGCGGTTATCTCCAGCGCCAGCGCCGACGGAGAAGTCGCCATGGGGAGCAGCATGGTTCTGAAGCGGCTTGTGGTCCATTACGGGCTCTGAGATGCCATGATGTACTGGGTCCGGGTGCTGATTGTACCGTTGATGTTGAGACTGAGCGTGCACATTGGAGACATTGGTCGTGGGCTCCGCGTTCTGGCGGGCCTGCTTTCCATGTCGCAGGAAGTTCTTAAAATTCTGTATCGCGGCCATGTTTAGTGTCTGGTTGGGGGGGTAGAAAGTTGAATTACAAAGCCGCTGTCAGTAGCGGGGTCGAAGAGGCTGCGATGGTGCAAAGTAGAGGAAACAAACGGGTGCAGCCGTTTCTTGTGGCAGAGAATAGACCAGCGGTAGTGCGACAGAAATGCTCGTGCAGTGAGGGGGGAATTCAAGGAAGAGACTTGGTTGGAAAGAAGGTCATGCATGGACGAGGAGGAGTGAAGCCGGAACAAGAGAGGAGCGACGTTGCGTCATTGGTGCACGGACTTCATGACGATGCAGGCTACATCATCGCCAAACAAGCTGCACCACGCGCACACGAAATGATAGGCGTGGCGCCTCGAGAAGCTTCTAGCATTTGCAGTGTAGAGGAAGAAATATATCGTACCTCGATTACTGGGAGGCCCATCTTCTTGGTGCGTCCGCCTCGTGGAGAGGTGTTTTTGGACTGCATGTAGAGATTGGGATCTCGATGGTAGCCCTGGAGTGCTTCGTTCGTGCCCTACCGCCTGGTGGAGGTATGACGCTCGTATTGCGATTCCGCGTCCCGTCTGGGAGAGAGATCTTACGGCTTCCGCTAGCTTGGGCAAGGGTTTGATTCGAGGGTGAAAGGGAGCACCGTTCCTGGAGCCTGACCTGCTCAGCGGAAGGATCCGATCTCGATGATGGCTGGGGGCGGCGTGTGAGTCGTGATATGGCAAGACAGGCGCGCGATGGGGACGGGCAAGTGCGGCGGTATGATGTAGTAGCAAGAGGAGGAAGAGGAAGAAGCCTATGTACCCTTTGAAAGCGTTTTGCGCAAAGTCATGTTATTTGTCTTTTGCTTGGACAAGGCGACTGCGCTACCTCCGCGCGAATACTCTTCAGCAATAGTGGCACACGCTGACGCCCGCGGAATCTCCGGCAGCCTCCTCCCAGTTCCCAGTAGACTCGCAGAGTCGAGCCTGGCACCATCTAGAGGCTGAGAGGCTCGCTAGGGACGCTACCGCCGACGCCACGCTGCATGCAAACCTCATTACGACCTTGGAAGAGGGTCCCCAGACGGCCTGAAAAGCGCCCAATGACCGCATATAAGACCAAGGCAGCACCCATGATGCTTTGTGGGTAGCAACTATGGCAATCTCCCATGCATGCGTCCTCCCAGCGCCCGCAATTCTAATTTATCCCTCTGAGCAGTGCAACGGCCTAGCAACCTGCAGGGTCCAATTAGCGCAGCGGATCCGTTACGTCACCGTCTAGTGGGGAACGTTCATTGAAGACGTCAATCTTCGCCCTCTTGACATTCTGGGCTGAAACATATCCGCCGCTTACGGCGTCTTCGCATATTGGCCATGACCCATTTGCAGATCGCATTGGGCAGGCCACGAGACCTCTTACATAGGATACATCCAGTACGTCGCTTTAGTGTCGGTCCAATGCCACGGCCTCGCGCATGAAATTCGGACCGTCCATCTATCATTGCGCGTGCTTTCTGCGTGATATGCAGGGTTGCGAGCGGAGCCGACATGGACATTCGGCAGCAAAGTCCCCGTCAGAATTTGGGCTGCAATGAATCTGATCTAGCAACCAAGAGACCCTTTCCCACACCATCCTCGTGGCAATCATCTGGACCCTCGATGACATGACTAACCCGGCGGTTCCGTCAACGAGAACCGCCGCTCTAGGCTCATATTCCTCGAAGCCTAGAACAGCAAATATACTGGGTTGAAATATAACTCAACAAGCCATGTTTGTTCAGTCAAGTAGGTGCTGAGAACAATCCTACGCGTTCAATATCACTAGCGAGCCGATAGCCGTACGAAGCCAGGGAGCGGCTCGGAAGGGACAACATGCCGCACTTAGCAGCAGCTTCCACTCAACATTAATAGAGTTCATGCAACATCTATTGAACCAAACTTTTCGACACGTGAGTCAACCCGCATAGCAAGACAACTTGCGAATACAAAATTGGGGGATATAGTGCTCGTTACTAGAGCGATGTTAGATGACGCTAGAGGTTTTCAGCACATTTTCAAAAAAGAAAAAAATCTTACGGTTCTACAAGTCGTCCTAGTGGCTACCTGCTCAATCCATTGTTTACAGTAGTTCTCACTTGAATACTCTTTTGAGTAGTAAAGAATGAACACATTAGGCATACAGAAATCGTAAGTCTAACATCAATTACCTATCGGCGACTACTATTGCTACTACTATAGTGCTTCACACCTCTCACACGCACAGTCAAACCCCCACGTCTTCTTTAACCTCAACAGTCTCTTACCACGACTCAGCTTCCTCTCCTCCCCGCTAAGATATGTAATGCACAGTTCCTCTCCTTTCCCGATGTCTCTCCCAGCTTTGAAATACCATGTCTTGCCATTCCTATTCTTCTCAATGTTCGGCCCGCACGAATGGTTGAAGTAGCTTGCCGCGGGCCAGCAACCGTATCCGAAGAACTCTGAGCCGTCATCTTCCAGGGAGCGAATACCGAAGGAGTTGTGCGAGTCGCGGGACGAGAGCGTGATTAGCGTCTCTGCCGTTACAAGTGGTAGGAGCGGTAGGGGAAGGATCGCAAGCAGATGTAAGTAGGTTCTTATAAACGCGCCGAGATCGTCGGAGCTGTGGTAAGGAGTCTTGTCGTCTGCGAGTGCCTCCAGGCGTTCCCATTGCTCGGGATGAAGGTATCGCCATACCAGGCCACTCACACAAAAGCTCATCACATCAGGTGTAATGTTAGCTTGTAGTGCTTTAGACACAGCCTTCTTGTGCTGCTTTGTGATTGGAGCCACATCCTCCTTGTCCGGTATAGCTTGTTCGCTTACCCGTGCGGCCCGTATCAGCGCCGCCTGCGCAGCAACATTCCCCCAAGCCTGCTGAATCTCCTTGACCTTTGGTCGTGGTAGGTCGGCGTCCACCATGTCGCTATCCTCCTTGCTTCGCTTTTTTACTAAAGCCTCGACAGCCGTCCACGCTTGAACACCAATCTCGCCGTTCTCTTCTCGCCATTTGTCCTGGCATGCCTTTGAGCAGAACGCGAACCCCACCGTCTTGTCTCGTATATCCAGATCCCGCCCGTATTCGTATCCGAAACACTGTCCACATACTTCGCGTCGATATTCGCGGAGGAGGACGTTGAGGGTCAAATCTTCTGAGCGCCACACAAGTGTGCCCTCTGGGATGTCTTGACTAGCGAAAACGGCGCGGCCGGCGGTCGGTGTGTGTCGGACTTGGAAGAGAGAGGATATCGGTGCGCCCGCTGGCAGATCCTTGGGTGTATCGGGCGGATGTATCGAAGAGGCTGATGAAGGGCGTGAGACACTGAAGACCGAGTCACTGGCTACAGGGACAGACGAGTCGCTTTCGGGGGCGTCCATTGCAGCGGTATCGATGAATTAGTAGCACACACACACACAAGCGGACTGGCGGGTGAATAAATCGGCGCTCCGTTCAGGAGTCAAAAAGCAATCGTATCCCGCGGAGTATGCGGTGAACAACTATGCCCCTCGGTGTCTAGCAAAGGGCCAGGCAATGGATGGCAAACTGTCGCGTGGATTGTGGGTCAATTTCGTATGTCACGTATACTTATGCCAGAGTTGAATGATCGGAGGAATGCCATTGTGGGTATAGGTACGTGGGTTGTGGGTACGTTATCGTGACTGTTGATCGACAGAAGGCGAGAGATTTTGTGACGGTTGTGCCTGGCCAGACTTCAGACTAGACTGTACAGGGGCGCCGTGCTTAGCGCACGATAAGCGAGGCCTCGCTGTGGTCGTGATCTGGAACTTCTCGGAACAGAACTCACCACTTTCGGAAGACATCTGGACACTAGATCAATCACAAAGCTCAATCGAGAGCACTTCCTCTTTTGGATCAGCCCGTGCGCAAGCGTCGTGATGATTTACTTTGTTTATTTGCGACTCGCAACCATATTCTCAGACCCCAAAGTCTTTGCTAATCTCCCTCCCCACAGCCTTCAAGTTCTCGACAATCCACAACTGTGCGTTGCTGAAGACCAACACAGCGCCTGGCAGGAAGGCAAAGTTGTTTGTCTCAACACCAACCCAGATCTTTCCAATTAGCGTTCCCAGGGGATTCCAAATGTGTATGCCGTCACCACATCCAGCCCAAACATTACCCTCCGTATCTGTGTGCAAACCATCAGGAAACCCGTTGTCTGAGTAAGCGAATGTGCGTCTTCCAGTCAGCCTCTTTCCGTCTTCCGTAATATCGAAAGCGTATAGTGTTGCTGGCCGCGTAAGGTTTTTGTCAAACTCCACAGCGCCGGTGTCAGAAACGTATAGCGTCTTATAGTCAGGGCTGAACTCAAGGCCGTTGGGTTGAGTGAATCCATCTGCCACAGCAGCAATTTCACCAGTCCCGGGAGAGAAGCGGTAAACATGCTTGGGGATGGTCGGTGCAGGTCGGAAGTGTTGGATGTAGCCATAGTCCGCGTCTGTGAACCAAATGTCGCCTGTCACAGGATGTTGACGTGCGTCGTTGGGTGAGCTAAAATTCCGACCAAGGTAGTTGTTCAGGATCTTTTCAGACTCGCCTGTGACGGGGTCTACGGATACCAGACCTGCTGGGTTGACTAGATCACCTTGGTCACAGTACAAGACGCGTGATGGGGTCGAGCTGTTGGTCTGGGTACCAGGTGGATAGTAGGACGTTGCACCATTAGCTTCCGCAAGAGCTGAGTACCGTGTTGAGCTGATAGAATAGTTGTTTGCCAGGTCGATTATCGTAACGTTGATGGGGTTGTTCAAGTCGCCGGCCCAGTTGCTTGTGACGTAAAGCTTCTTTGCATCCCTATTGTAAACACCGGCCTCGTGGAAAGCTTGCCAATCGAGATTGTGAAGTTGTCGCGCTGTTGCATTCTCTCCGACCACAGACACGAAGCTTTCATCGTATGCGAGAAGGTTGATGACACTGGGGTTGGAGGCATTGGTAGTGACTAGGGTATTCAGGTACAACGGGTCCGTCGCAAAGGATACCAGGTCCACGGGGATGATGCTCGACATAATATTCGTAACGATGGTGACGATTATTGTTTTCCAAATCACCGTCACCTGGGCTTCCATCTCTTGTTATAGTTTTGTCGCCGATCGTCGCGCCAAATAGCACTCGGTTCTTGTCAATTACGCTGGCGCGTCATCTAGCCGCCAAGTAGCCGATCCATGGATACAAGCCATATGCCTAAGTAACGGTAATGAGGTCGGACGTTGTTTAGCTTGGCTATAAGCTTGGCTTGGTTGCTTGACTCGGAGCAAAGTGTAGGTTGCCGCGGCGTTTGCCCCGGTAACTGCTGGTCGGCAATATGGTTCTCCTCCGAACGATCGCTAGCATAAGGCTTCTTATACTATTACCGATGCTTGTTGCTCCTGCATCACTGATAGGTGCTTTTGCAAGGCTGAACACCCAATGTTGAAGTCAGTCCCTAGTATTTTTGATGGATTTTCGTCAGGCGCATGACGATGACATCATTATCACCGCGGTTACACCGTTAGCTTAGTCAAACTTTTACCTCCTGTTTAATGTAGATTTGTCTGTATCTGACCCAAGCGCATAAGCTGGCTGCGGATTGTTAATTGGTCCCTGCATTTCCATTGTTGATAAGCCATATTCTCCGATCAGATTGCCTGTTCTAATATTCAGATACTTATCCATTAACTGTGGTTCACTCGCTCAGCGCGCTGCTGTAATAGCGTATACAGAGATATTCATGCTTGTTTCATTACGTCGCCAATAGCGTCAGCTCCCTTTCCACCACCTCTTAGCTCCTTGTTCGTTGCCTGAATCAATACTCTCCGGTAGCTTGTTAGAGACGGCGTCCCGTCATCGGTAACTTCAAGTATCAGATGAAGCAGTTGACCTTGAGCAACCGGCTTTCTGCTCATCAGCTCTACCGCGCACTTCTCAGGCGGTGGAAGCGTAATCTCGACCTTTCTGCCCTCGTCGTCTAGCTTCTTGATTCCGAGTTCCGCAACTTCGGCATCAACCCACCATTGCGTAGCTGTGGGTTCACGATAATGCCACCATTTGAACGTGAGCTTTCTGCCATCAGGATCGTAAGTAGCAGAGGCGTCAAGAAGGACGGTTGATCCGGCCTCTGCAGTGATCTGCGCAGGTGCCAAGCCTTTGAAACCACTGATATTGATGACTGGGTGATGGTTCGCTTTTGCAAAGTCAGACTCCATGCTCCATTTGATACGCGCAGCAAAGTCATTCTGAAACGCATCGCGCCAGCGCCAGATAGTCGCATGATTCGATGTGTAGGTCTTATCACCGACTTTGACTCTGTCCACCACATCACTGTAGTGGTTGCTGTTCAGTCCCTCGGCGCTGACATCAGTCCGTCCATAGCGACCTCCCCAAGATCCGTAGTTCGGGCAATCCGGTACACCTAAACCGTTTTGGATGAGGTAGAGAAACGTCGGTGTGTCGCCTTCCGGAATGAAAAGATAGTCAGGGTACGCGCTTCCAAGTGGCCCAATCTGGATGTTATCCTTGATCCAACTCTTTTCCATTTTGGAGAAGTCCGGCCCACCCTCATCGAAGCCGTAGTACTTGTCGCCGGAGATACCAGTCCATGCAGCCATACCATACTGGTTCCAGCCGTGGATGGAAGCGATGTAGAAGACGTCAGGGAAGTTGTTGCGAATCCACGCGCCCGTGTCATCTTGGTCGGAGATGGCGTAAACACGTAGACGTGAGAGCAGGCGCTTGGAGTCCTCAGGCTCGAAATCGTCGTCTACTTTGAGCAATGCCGAGGCGAGTGTGTTTGTTCCGCCCCAGCAAAGGATCCACAGCGGCTGTGTGGAGGGTGCGATGATCCGATCGTACAACAACTGACCACCTGGAGACAGTGGGATGTCTGTGCCAACAGCAGACATGCCGTAGGTCTACACACTATCAGCGCCATTCGCAAGTGACACGTTGCATGTTGTTTAGCAAATGGAAGCATACCTCGGCGCCCTTGCGGATCAACCCACGCATATGGTCTGCGGTTGGGTATTGCCATTCCGGGTGTACGTGCTTATTCAGGTTGTCAACAACGTCGGCATATGCGTCGATGATTTTTTCCATGTCTTGCGGGCACACTCTGTTCTTCATCCAGGTGCTTGTACAAGCTACAAGGCCCTGTGTATCGAACTCATTGGAGTACAGAAGGTATCGACATAGCGATTCGGCATCATCCGGTTCATTAGAGATGTCGGATAAGATGAACACGCGGGGCTTTTGCGCGTATGTCTGGAGTCTCTCGGTAGCCATATTGGATGATCTAGTTTCGGGCGATAAGGAGGGCAAGGTCGACTACGAATATAATGGAAGACAAGCTTCTGTCTTCATGCTGTTGAGCTGTTGTGGTCCTTCGATGTTAGACAAAAAGCAACCGAAGTTGTACCACGACGTCTCACAAAGGTGGGGCGTTGAGCAGCGGATGCGGTGTCCTTAGGCAGCCCCTTCCGTCTGGAGTAAAGCCGGCTATACTTTCCACCCGTCCTTCTCCGCCTCAGGTTGCCCCTCACCATCTTCTGAATGGACTTGGTGGCAGTCGCCTCACCATCCGCCTCGGACTCTTCACAACAAGATGCGAAATAGCCGTTGCCACGCATTCTTAGTGTAGTGCGGCTCAGTCGTCTGCGCCACAACTAGGCTGCATTAAATCGTAGCTCAGCCTTGCATGCTATGACGTCCTTCAATCTACCTGCCCCGCTTCAACACCACCAGCCACGATCAAAGGACAGCAATGTAATTCAGGATTCAGGCGCCCAGTCACCCAAGGCACGACCATACATTTGTGCCGCTAATCCGTCCGCCAAGAATGAACGATCATAACCCTTTGACGTATAGCATCCGGTAGGAGGTAGGCTGTGTTCCTTGCTGCTTCCTTGATATCTAGCGCACGTACTACGCCCATATCGTTACTGCTCACAGAGATATCAATCCTAACACCGTATTCCGACATGTCAATCCATAACAAGATCCAGCAGGCAGCCCATCAAAATGAGCAACTCCTCCGCGGGCTAGAGGAAACCGACGCTGCACCCTCACAGCTCAAGCAGCAGAACGCATACATTGCTGACCTCGACTCGCAAATCAACAACACCAGAAAGCGTGTCAACGACCTAAAAAAGAAGACTGCTAGTGAGCTAAAGGATCACGAAAAGTACCGCGACTCAACTTTCCGCCGTTTTGCACACAAGGCCAGCGGCAAGAAGGAGAAGTTTGCCGAGAAGGCAGCAAAGGAAGAGAAAGAGTACTTTGATGCGATCCAGGAGCAGAAGAGTGCCGAAGACGAACTAGCCTACGTCAAGCAACTACGTGACGAAGCTGAGATACGCAAAAACGAAATTACATCGCAATCTAACCGTCACGATACCCTACAAGCCGAACTCGATGCGCTTTACAACTCAATCTTCGCCGGCCATACGCCCGAATTCCCCGATGAAGACCGCAAAGAAGAGGCTTGCAACGCCGCATCTGCCCAAGTCCAGAGCTTGAACCAACGCCTCGAGCGCGAGCGTCACATCCTTTTCCTCCTCGGACAAACCGTCGTCAAGCTCTCGGCGGCGCGTGAATATCTCGACGGCGCGTACGGCATGAGTCAATACGATATGTTTGGTGGCGGAACAATGGCCAGTATGCAGAAGCGCAATTATCTCGAGCGCGCAGAGAGCGCTATACAACAGGTGCGCATGCTACAACAGCAGGTCAAACAAGTCGCGCCCGAAATACCCGGGCTGGGTCAACTCAACATTGCAATGGGCAGTATCTGGAGTGATGTAGTTTTTGACAACATCTTCACGGATATGCAGATGCACGATCAGGTCAAGCAGTCTATTGTACAGGTTGACCGTGCAGGCAACAAATGCAGCGATATCATTAGGCAGCGCGAAGCGCAGGAGAAGAGTCTGCAGAGGGAAGTGGACCAGGCAAAAGCCAAATTGCAGCACTCGAGATTAGAGCTACAGCAAGCGCGCGAAGAGGCGTTCAGGAGGGTACTTGGTGGTGCGCAAGCAAACGCCGCTATGGGAGGTTTCATGTCTTCGGGTGATGAGGCCCCTCCGCCTGAGTATACTGCGCCGGCCGGCCCGCCACCTGGGTACTCGGCTTGAGCAGCATGTCGTGCATGTACTTGTTGATACGGGGGATGGCGGAGCCTTCATTCGGGCCGGATACCCTGGTACTATGCTTAGTATGCTATAGGGGCTCGGCATAACTTCAGTTCTCGTACAGTAGATAGAGGATCCTTATATGATTGCACATGAAGCTCGTAACGATATGCGTACCTCGGTAGTTTCGTAGTATAATCAAAGACGTGAAAACATGTATTTACGGCTCAGAAGCTGAAGCGAAGCACTGGCAAGAGCTTTACGTCTAGCATTCTATAATTGCGGAATCTCGTATTCGAGAGGATCTTTCCGTAGGGGGTTCGACGGGTCTATCGCAGAGACGCCGCAGGCATACAATGTCACTTGAGTTGTGATGCACGACAGGACATGGTACCTGACCACCATTGTGAAATTGGCCGCTGGGTCTTCTGATGAGATAACTCTTCAAGAACATTCGATGACATGGGAGAATGCATGAATTGATAAAGTACTATATGAGATGCTCCTATATACACTCCATAATTATGTTGTTGATTACACTTGACTACTCTAAATGAAAGCATCAGTGAGGTAGGATTCGAAGTTGCTGTCCCGGAAGGATGGTGTCGCGTCACCAAAGTCTGTGTTCTCAATCGCACTCTTCGCCGCGGCAGGCATGCTATCCCACGCAATCACCGGCTGCTCTCCACCCTTTGTGGTTGTAGAAATAAGCTGGTGGTTGACAGGGAAAATGGACCTGTAACCAATGAGGGGACGAGTACCGTCAAGGTTCGGCTTAGTAACCTTTTGGTAGTCACCATGAGCAGAGATGGCGACGCCGCGGATAGTGGCGGTGGTGGATTGAGCTGACAGCCATACCACAATGTTCTCCCAATCGTGGCGGTGGCCGAGACCAGGGCCAGGGCTGTCTTTGGGCATGTACCACGAGTACATGATGGCGTAGGCGCCGTTGTGAGCGCCGGCACGGGCGTAGACTTGGCCGGGGCTAGAGCTGCACATTCCTGAGGGGTCGCCAGAGGTGGCCAGGCCGCCGCTGTCGTGAACTGTTAGCCTACAGTTGTATAGATGCGTGTACGAGAACTTACCCAGTGTCACCTGCGGCATTGACAGCAGGGAAAGGAACGCAGCCATTCTCGACCTTTAGGAAGGGTTTGTACTTCAGCATGAGCTGGCCTACGATACCAGAGGGGACAGTTTCGGGGAAGCCAACAACAGCATCATGATTGATGACAGCACGGCTTTGGAGATTGACAGGTGACGCGAGGACGACACTCGCGGCTGCGAGGAGCTGAAGGGCGAAGTTGAGCATCTTGATCTTGACTGTAAAGTGAACGAGCGTAGAAGCGAATGTCAAGGTAACTGTCTAGCGAGTGACGAACGTCCTTGAGCCGGTAATGAGTTGGCTTGTTCTTCGTGATATGTCGGGTACAATGGGTTTTATAGGAAGTGATTCGAGTTGTCTTCGGCTCTTTCCGGTGTCTTGCTCAGCGAGTAATCGTGTTTTCCCCTCTATATCTCCCGAGGTCTCAATGAGGAAGTTCACGATGAGACTAACGCAAAGGCGAAGTGCTGAGGACCGTGGACAGCGCGTGTGCAGCGCACATGCCCTAATATACTAGTAACGATTGGCCGTTCGTTACGCTACCTTGGATACGTAGCAATGTTGCCGACGTTGTCACTGGGGTACCTGCAGCACACCGGCGTCCGGCACGGGACGACTCAAGACGTGCATGTCTACGCTCGGAGGAAACATCTGCGGACGGTAACGCAAGATGTCGATCGAACAGATTGAGGGCCAGGATGGTGCTTTGCTGGCGAATAGGAAAAAATCGCGTGGTTGATCGTGACCGAACAATTGGTCCGTGGCCGAGGCTAAGCCGAGACCATATCAGGCAGGTGCAGGGGAGGTGAACATAACGTGTGGGAGCAAGTAGAAACAAAACAAGAAATGCATCAGGTTTATGGTAGCAGACACGGAGATGGTGACGCGTTGGCATGGGCTGGTTGGAGCATTAAACATACCTACAGTCACTGGAGGACACAATGCATGATGGCGGTTATCGAACGGAAAAATGGGTGATCATATTCCGCGATGCAGTCAATCATCCGAACTGTCTCCAGACAGTATTCCGCTGATCTTTTGGTGGTGTGTCGGGGCCTGGCATTAGCTCACGGAGCATGTCGTTAATGTCCAGACCTCGCTCCTGACAATCATGCCACTGTCTTGGGTATCCCAGACTGACCTCTTCAAAGCGCGTATCGTCTATCCAGTCTGTTCTCCTGATGTGCAGATGGCCAGAGACGACGATTTTCGCGTTGTATTTGTTGTGCCAGTCTTCCGTCTTCTTGGTGCCGCACCACAGTGAGAAGCGTGGGACTCTGAAGAGTTTCACCAGGTCTTCCCGGAGCGGCCAGTGGCCTGCTATTATCAGTGGGATATCTGGATGCGCTGCGACGGCAGCCGCGAGCTTCTTCTCTGTCTTGTCGAGGAGAGCGTTACACCATTCGATACGCGACGAGTAGGGATCCGGATGCAGCAGGTGCTCGTCGGTCGCTTCTATGTCTTCCTCCCTCGCCCAGTCGAGAGCATCTTCTAGCTTCACATTACTGGGTCGGAAGGAGTAATCATACAAGGTGAAGATGGGTGCAATGAGACATGGGCCTCCCTCGCCCTCCCACAAAGTGTATCCATCCTCAGGTGTGAGAATGCCATACTCGCGCGCAATGGCGACGCACTCCATGTATTTCGCCTCGCCTCTCGCGCCGTGGTCTTTCTCCGAGGGAAGCGTATATAGCTCGTGGTTCCCTGGCACCCAGAAGACCTGGCGAAAGCATTCCTTGACCTTGGTGAAGGCTATGCGGCAATGCTCTGCGGACTCGCCGACATCGCCGCAGAGTATCAGGTCATCGTGCGGGTGCGGGAGGAGCTTCTCGAGAGCTTCGCGGTTGCCTTTGAAAGAGAGGTGTATATCGCTGATACCCCAGAGACGGCTCGCTGGAGGTGTTTCGGCGCATGGCGGGGAGCTAGGTGGGGTACGCGTCGCGTCTGAGGCTGCGGCGGCGGCATCCGCAGCGGCGAGGAGAGGGTCCATTGTGGCGGGCGACGACGGTTGACCACACGTTAGCGGCAGCGCGTGGTGAATTTTATATGTTTATGGCGCCTCCCAGAAAGCGACGTGTCGTAAAAGAAACTACATCATAGTCCGCTTCAAATCGCGTCCGCCGTTTCCATAGGCTATTATTATCGATTCGCACAGACCAGTAAGCTGTCAATCCTGATGACAGGACAGGCCTGCTGCATCCGCTCATCTATCTATCAAACATTAGTCGTTTGCTCAAGCCACGTACATTCGACATATAGATGCCAGCTGCGCGGCCTCTGGACACCGGATCCCCGCTGCCTACCGGCTCACACCGCAAACATCAGGCGATAGACATTTGTTCGAGCTTCACTGCTGACGTGGATGAATCCCACCAATTATCATTCCAAGAATTGCATCAACACTTGACAGTAAACGAATTTCCTGCTCCACAGGTGTTCCAATTGGAAAGAAACGCGTACGGTTTGTTCCAAGACAGACACATGAGATACTATGAGTTGGATCTGTCTGTAATAGCCTCTGAATCGGGGATTCTTGGTCGTGCCCAACGTCGACATAGTATGTCTCACAATCACGAAGCTCTTTCCGAAACGATAGCTCGTCTTCGTATCATGGCGAAACACTGGGACCTGGCTCCTGAGAGCACAGCCATCTCCTTCGAGATGTTCCAGAATGGGCCATGTATGATTTTCTGTACATGAACAAGAGTCAGTCTAGCAGTCATCCTCACGCGCGAAGAACTTAAGCGTGTCTCCGCTGCTATGGTAGTAGATCAGATTAGATCAAGGCGCTATACTTTCCCTTAGCAGATCTGAAGTATCCCGGATCAGGAGGGCAGAACTGAATTGGAGCTTTACGTAGAATTAGCGGATTGATGAGAGACGCCATCATCTTGGTGACTGAGAATATAAGATTTCATCGGGAAGTGGAGGAAAGCGTGGAAGGTTGTTATGATGAGGCCATTGATGATAGTATCAGTACTTTCGGAGCTAACACGTTGTCTTCGCATGGACGCTATTCAACTGTGACCTTTCCTTTCGCTGTGCTTGATATGCGATCACACAGTCGTGAACGCAGTATTTTGTCATAAGCATACTACGTAAACGCTAGATCAGTCATCGTCTCCAGAAATTAGCAGTATCCCAAAAGACTGACCTGCATGATGAGAGCATCACTCACAACACATCTGTGTTTAAGCAGGTGAGCATCCGTAACGACAACCACCAGAGGGCTTGGATCGAATGTTATTGACACCTAAAATGGGTTGAAGAGCTCGACGCATTACTCAAAAAAGATGACAAGACAATCTATGCCTCCAACTCGTCGATATTCCTCAACATGCGAAAAGTGTGAGAAGTGAAGTGAATGAGACATTGTTCCTAAATATACACTATCCCAGCATTGTGTAAAGGATGAGTTGAAGAAGGCTGTAAGTACACGGCTCATATTACTTATGGATCCGCAACAACGAAGACACCAAGAACTACGATGCAGCGATACATATCGCGGCCGTCGTGGTGACCGATGAGTGCGCTAAAGAATACTTATGTTCAAGTCTTTGGTCTCGGACTATCAGAATGTCCCGAGCTAGATATAGGATAAATGGATCTAGTCACGGGATGAGTCTCAAGCGTGTAACTGGCGAACAAGGTGACATGCTCGACACTATGTTAAGCGTCCGGATAGCTAAAAGCTCGGCCAAAAACGTGCAGACGTAAGTCGCTGTTAAAAGACGCGGTGCAATTTGTAGCGTAGTGCATACCGGAATGTGGGAAACCAGAGACCCTGGCGTCGAACCGCTGACGTCATGGCTCGCTGTCACTGAGACAAGAACCACTGAGTGGCAGCCCATCGGTCTTGTTATTGAGGTATTGACCGGACCTAGAAGGGATAACCCTACATGTTGTAAAGACTACGTCTCGTGTACTCGGGTCAAAACAGGTTGTCATTTAGCCACACGGGTCGCGTACGACCACGACGATCTCGACGATCTGAATGACGTAGCATATTCGCACTTGAGCTGTCACACTAGCACTAACCCATTGACCCAGCCTTCTGTCTGGACCCTTGCCATAACATTACCAGAATTACACCTGGACGAAAAGATGCCACCGAAACAAGCACAACAGAAACCAAAACCAAACGCCGCAAATCCACCAAGCCAGAATATGGCTAACAACAGCGCCGGTGGCCAACAAGGTGGCATTCCAGACCATGAGATCAAACAGAACGCCGGCGTATCAGCGAGCATGGCGCTCCAGGCGGGTCAGAAGGCGTGGGAGTTGAGGCAAGCTGCGCATGGAGCGGGCGACGCAAAGGCAAGAGAAGAGATTTTGGCGAAAGCAATCAACAAGGAGATCGAGGCAGAGTCTTTTGGAAAAGCGGCGAAGTACACGCAGTCGGGCGCTTTCCAGGGTCTTGCAGCTGGTGCCGGATTGGGAGTGCAGCCGGGTGTCACCATCGGAAAATTGACTGGTGCCCTGGTTGGTGGCACAATATCTACAGTGACAGGATTGCTCGGAGGTGGCATCGGGTCCGTTTACGGAGCGATGAACGGTCCCATGTGGGACCTTGGTGAGATGGCAAGTCAAGGTGTCCAGGGAGTTGTCGGAGACTTCCTTCCGGACATCAAGTCGACTCCATCGCAGAAGAAGGCTTTGGAGAAGATGATCATGCAAACAAAGGAAACCCAAGCGCCATCCAAAGAGGAGCTGGAGCAAATGAAGAACGACGCACCAGACCAGATGCCGCAGTCTTGGTCTCAGTCGGCCAAAGACATGACAGCCTGGAGGCCGAGCATGCCGAGCATGCCATCAGCTAAGGGTATGGGGGGTGCATTGGGACTGGGTGGAATAGGTGCCGCGATGAATCCATGGGGAGGACAGAGTCAACAGCAACAACAGCCGCAGCAGAGCTCATCACAACCGAAGCAACAGCCTCAAAAGCAGGCTCAACAGGCTCCGAGTCAGCCCAAACAATCGACCCAGCCTCAGAAAAATTCTCAAACAAAGCCACAACAACCAAAGACAAACAACCCACAACCGCCAAAGCAAGAGAAACCACAATCCAATGAACCACCAAAGGAAGCACCCAAACCTCGTTCTCAGCGGCCGCCTACCACCAGAGGGCCTGCTAATCCCCAATCGTCTCAGCAGAATCAGGCACCGAGTGCACAACAGACCACAAGTCAGTCAAAGACCTCGTCACAGAAATCGAACTCAACGAGCAAGCCCGCCAATACCTCCAGTCAACCAAAGCGTGTGTCCTTTAGCGATAACAAAGAAAACAATGCCCCAGCCACTACCTCAAAAGAAAAAAGGAAGCCGAGAAAGTTGGGTCAGCAGGGGAGCAACACACAGAAGAGCGGCGGTCCAAGTCAACCATCTACTCCGAAGAAGGCACCGCGCAAGTTAGAACCAAGGAAGCCTGCTGCATAGATTATACGGCAGTGAAAGTAGGGGGCGATGTGAAGTGAATGAGTAGACAGAGGTCCGCATCGCTGCTGCAGACCTGTATTTCTTCTAGTACCTTCCAGCGTTCTGTATGCTTCATACACGTATTTTAGCGACAATGTAGCTTTACCCTAGTATTTTGAATCATTATCGATCACGTATTACACAACGACCCTCAATAGAAATCTTACATGCACATTCTGTTTCCTAGTTAACTCCCTCCTGATGTCGAACAATATTTGCACAACGCTGTAGCTAGAAGAAACGGATCACTAGGAGATTGCCCGTATCAACAGTCCACCTTCAATTAGATGCTTGTTAGCTTAGCAAGACTACCGTTTTGCAATGATGGCGACTCGGACGCGCAAACAATGCTAGCGAAATGTCGAAAAACTATCTTACAGTACGCCCTACTACACTTGACCCAGATAAGACTTATGTTTTCGTTTCCAGTTCGACGTTGGCTAAGTACTAAGACATCCACGAACCGCTGTTGCTAGAACATCTCTGCTTTCCTGGTAATCGTTGCTACACAGCGCATGGATTATCCATCTATAAACTTTAACGGATACTATGGATTCACTGGACGAGAAGCACCACGACGCATACAGGACAACAGTGGACTCTTCCACCTCGATGGTCATCAGACCACAACCTTCCAGTCTCTCAACTAAGTACTGCCTACAATTGTCCTGATCCGACTAGCGTTTGATTTGTTCGCGAACATTCAAAGCATCTCCCAACCATCCAAGAGTTTCCACGAACCAGCACCTCCATAAACCACGACCACTACTTCTGTTATCACTTGGGCATGGCTCAATCGAAGCCAGGGGACACCATTAACTACAGCATGTCTCAGGGCTACCTCCCGGTCGAGAACTCTGCTGTTAACAAGGACTTTGGCCTAGAATTTCCTGGAAACCAATACGATTTTGAAGCTCAACATCAAACAGCATCGGACGACGGAAGCGCACAATGGACTTCTGATAGTGGCATCACCGTGTTCAACTTTCCCGAAGACTGGGCCCCAGAAACAGAAGGCAGTGATCTGGATGATGTTTTTGGATACGGAAACAACAACGTTCAGCATCAACATAGCGCCACCCGAAGGGCTGAACAAGCACTTGAGCAACTGGTAGCTCAGCGTGTCCCATACATACCAGATCCGCCTTATCAGTTATTCCAAAAGCCTACCAGCTTTGTGGGTGCCCAGAAAGACGCATCCGATGCGCGCGCTCAAGATTATCGGGGGTGTGCAACGCTCAATCCGCATGAACGCACTCAAACTACTAAAATTGCGTCAGCGCGAGGTGGTACCTGTGAATTGGCATTCCGTAGTCTTGTGGAGGCGAAGAAAGCCATGCTTTCCCGCCATCTCGACAAAGCCTGGTTCGCGCCAATTGGTGACAGTACAATTCCTACTAACGATGAAGAACGAGCTACATATGTTGCCGAACTGTTGGACGCAATGAAAGATACTTCGGCATGCTCAGACAAGCGCGAGACACCCGCGTTCATGAGCCGCTGGACTCCTAATGCTATTAACGCGCCACATTCAACACATATGGAGAAGGTCTGTTGGCAGCTTGTTGATGTCGCTGAACGTTTGCACATCGATGGTCCAGCGTCGCTTCCGATCTATGACAAGCTGGCGCTTGCAATGGCCCGAAAATCACGCTATCTTACCTTTGGACAACGCATGAGTCATCTCAGTGCGCTGTTACGATTATCCAAGTACCGCTGTTTCTCGCTACTCAAGGGTAAGCAATGTCTCTGTACGGACCGCATGTAAGACAACTACTGACTTGGCACACTGATATTTAGGTGAGAATATTGAAACTACAGTTGCATCGCCAGCCCAGCGATGCTCAGGCACCATCGTAAACTGTGTACAAAACAGTAAGCGTCAAGAATTTATCAAGGAAGGACGACCGGTTTGGAAGGACAAGAACGGTGCAGCCAACAAAAAGATACAGTCAATGCCGGTGAACACCGACGAGTATATTAGCTCAGAGGTTTCGAGTTTGGACATCGCAGTGGGCCAAGCGCACACTGAAGATGCTCGCCAGGATATACCAGTCTCTGTTCGTTCCCCTTCACCTGCGCCCACAAGCGATACACACCATACTCATATTTGTTCTGTCAATGATAGATCAGCTCCTTGCGGAGACTCCCACTTAAACGGAATTTACGGCAACTCTGAGCGAGGTAATATTGTCACAGGACGGTACGAAGGCAACCACCATGTCAGTGGCAATTTGTACAATGCCAGCCACACACCCCGCTCAAACTACGCAGGTGTTTGCTATCTTCACCCTGGCGATGTTCCGAGTTCCTCCCAAGCACTGAAGCGCACTGCCAGAGATGCACAACTCGACAAAGATTCATGCCCACCTGCTCAGCGCCCACGCTTCGACAATTTAGTTGATCGCTCATATCAGGTATAGGAGACTGTACGGGCAGCTGGTCTGGCTACGCAGTTTGAAATCTTCAAACCTCCTTTTATCCTATGGTATAAGAAGAGGAGACAAGGAAAGTTGCGTAAGTTGATTATGGAACCATGGTTCACAAGTGGAAGAAAGGAAGTAAGGAACTTCTCGACGTCACTAGGGCCATTGCCGATCGGTCTGCCGTAGTCATGAGCGGAGTGCGTAACTCGAATAGTGTTTTCCTTCCGAAACCGTTTTGTCTTTAACTCAAGCGTACCTTGAAGACTCATGCTAATTCATTTGTCATAACCTCCAGAATGATTTTCCACTTCGGTGATCCTTGAGGTATAGCACTCTCGCGTGGCCTGACAAATAGACATGCCTAATTCATGGAAAGGTCTTGTGCGTTGTACAAACTATTAGGGTGTGTGTGTGTGTGAGGCGTCGATCGTAGGCTGCAGTAACCGATGTCGATTCGATACAAGGGTGCTGCGAAGGTCGCCTAGGCCACACCTCTTGAGCCACGTGCCAAACTTTCTTCTCCAGAACGCGATCCTCTGCTGAGCCGTCTATCTCGCATGACGGGGACGAGTGTGCAGTGTATAACCGTGACCAGCTTGATGCCAGGTAGTGAGAGCATCCTGTCGATGGTTTGACAAGACTACCTGCAGGTAGTGGAGGCGTCTGAACCGGCTGAACCCAAGGACGACAATGAGTCGTTGGCGTCCGAAAGCAGCCGATAGTCCCGTAGCGTGGTAGATTGCTATCAATCTTCCTCAGCTATAACGCGATTCGATATGTGAACAGTCAAAACGACAAACTTCCAGCGCTAGTTGAGCTCAGGAGCATCATCGCGTACACCAAATTGACAAACACCGTCGTCCAGCACATTGGACATCTTGTCTCTCGTCCTTCCTCAGCTCTCTTTTCCAACATCGCCTCTGGCCCACTCTGGTCCCTGCCCTTCCTCTTTGTCTTTCGCTAATTTCTTTTCCAACTCCTGCCTCGCTTTCTCGCCAAACTTCTTCTCCCACTCTTTGTCTCTCTCCTTCTGCGGTGCAGCGAATTGAGTACTGAGACCACCTCTACTCTTGACTTGCATTTTCTTCTCCGCTGCTTCATTCTGCTTCAGTTGCTCTTCGGCACTCTGTATCCGGCGCTTGAGACTGATCTCGAACATGTCCCTTCCTTTATGTCTCCCCTTGAGCCCGTTGTCGTCTTTGTCGAAGTATACTGCCCAGCGTAGTCCTTCTTTGCCCCACGGTGTATCGGGATCTTCATCAGCACCATCCCATTCGTCGATAGCCATGAAGCCTTCCCAGCCGTCGAATGTCAGGTGGGTCTCGTCTTCGGTCCAGTCCCAAACGCCTACATGATGCACGATACTGCCCGTGCGATTCGAGTAGCGTAGCTCATACGTCTCTCTGTCGCAGTATATCCAGTTCAGCATAGGCGGGTCGTCGCTGATGGTGCTAACCAGTCCCCTTTCCGGGGGGCAGCGATCCTCGTCAGGATATGCAATATAGAAACCTGCAAATGGATGCAACGGCTCCCGTCCTTCACCGTCTACCCCATCCGGCCACATCGGTTTGTTATCCGCGTCCCTCGGCACAACCCAGACTTTATCGTGGCGCACAACGAGGATGCCATTGTTGACTTCTTCTTTCGCGATCGGATCGGGATCATCGCAGGCTACAAGGCAGTTGAACTTCCACATGCGCGACTCGTTGGCGGCTTCTTCGTTCTGCTTCTTTTGGTGCTCGACACCTTGCGCGACACCAGTAACGACAGGAATGGCGACCACGCAGCCGCCAAGGAAGATGCCTAGAGGAAGCGCCATATCGAATTATGCGACCGATGGTTTTGTGGTAAGGATTCAAAGCGGTCGCATTGCGGGAGAGGGTTGAACTTCGTTGTGGATGCAAGGCGGTACCGTCCAGAGTGGGATGAGACAAAAACGCGTTGCGTCATTGTTGGCACCTTTCCCAAATAAGCCTAATCTCCTGCGCGTTGAACCAACGCGTCCCGAGCTCGACATGTCGTTTCACAGTCATCGCACAGTTGATGTTCGGTGACATCGACAAAGAAGACGGGATATACCTCGTCGCAGTCAGCCGATATGATATCGACTTGCAGTAACCTTGCCAGTGACTCGGTGAGTAGCAACCTCATCGTACAGCCATTGTTGTTATCAACGTATAGCGGGATGAACCTGCATACAACGCTGAGGCCGCGGCTGCATGTCTGCACAATGTCTCGTTTCTCGAGAACAAAACGTTACTGATCAAGCTATTTGTATTTCTTTCGCCCTTGAAATAGCAGCCGAGCGATCCATTGCGCAGCCACCATCAAGCACGACAATGAAGTCTACAGACACTAACTTCGCCTCCGCAATCACTTCTACAGCAGTTCGTCCCAAGCCGTCATTCCACATCAATGCCTCATGCTCAAATCTTCATCTTCCTGTCGCACAACCATCTCCCTTGTTCGATGGCATCAACGAAGACATCAACATACATCGATTTCCCGCCTTCCAGGACCCGCTCACTATAGGCCAGGGCGTACCAGCGTTGGCGCCGCACTGTACGTTACATTGCGGCCATCGGGTCTGCATGCACTTAAGCATGAAAGGATTGGATTCTCTAGCATGCCAGTGTGGATCCGAAGAACGTGAGCCTAAGGAAGAAAAGACGGTCATGACTTGGTACCGACCAGAGATGGATCTCGACTATTTAGTCATGAACTCCATCGAAGACTCGATCGCCAACGCTGGCCCGCTTCATGAGATTGATGTTTACTATAACGAAGTTTTCAAGATACTTGCACACCTCCAAGAGCGTGCCAGATCTTTGGCGCTGCACAACGAGTATTTGGTACGTGCTGTGCACTGCGACTACCCAGGCCACGAAGAAGAGATTGCTTATGCTGCAGTCGACCATATCTTCAGGATCATGCGCTTGTACTTCCATCGCATACTACGCTCTCAGGACCATCATCTGATAAGTATCCAACAGCTCCAGCGCGAATTGAACGTATATCTCTGGACGCTGCTTGCTGAGTGGGTGGAGGCGCATTGCGACGATGAGACCCGTAATCGTGTAGTATTAAATGAAGGCCCCGCCTCTATAATCCAGGCTATTTCTGGTTCTACAGCTGCTATCCTGGAGCTTTGGGAGGAGTGCATAGAAGGAGTTCTTGAATTGCTTCTTTGGCGAGACGAAGAGGTCAAGTGGTGCAACGTGGAAAGCCGAGTGGTTTTTGGTGTCTTGACGGTAATACTCTTGTGGGTGCTCATCATAATCCTTTGGGGGAACGTAGGTTCGCATATATAAGATCAAGGGATAACATAAACCTATAGATTATCTTTATAATGAGTTTATAGGTTGTTCACGGCAAATTTTGGTACCTGTAACCTTGTCATACCAGCGTGAAAGTCTCTCCTTGGGCGTGGTGCCAAGGATGTGGTAAATGCTCCAAAGGAGCGAAGTTTGGAACTTTGGTGATCTCCTCGTCGAAATGGATGCAAGTCTTCAAGAGCCCCACCCTTCTGTAATGTCCATCGCTATCCGTTGGGACTAAGGCCAGCCCAAGTAATGTAAAGCAAGCTTGGACTTTCTCCGCTGGTCCTGGCCGCTGAGTCGATTCTTCTATGCGTGCCTTCGCCTTGCGTAATCTCGGATTGGAGAGGATACTTTTGTGTAGCATGCTTCCGACTTGCGAGGTTCTGGAATGGGACTCTTCTGTATTTTTCGATCGATTTCCAGAATCCAAAACCTTGCACAAGCAAAATTTGATGTTGTTTGTCGGAGTGTCGACAAGACTAGAGTCGAGAAGCAGCCATCCATAAGCTGTCTGCCGCTTTGACTCAACGACTGGCCTAGCTCGCTTACTGTAGTCCATTTCCAGATAATTGTTGTAATGGAATGCGGTATGTCGTGACTTCTGCCATAGCATTTTTCTCTCTTTGGTTACCAACACCGTGCCGATCTCAAGATCGATGCAGCGCCCATACAGTGTCAAGGATTTGTTGACTATACCTTGCATGTCCATAGTCGGTTGAACATACTCTGAGTTCTCATCGCTGGTAATAGCATCCACCTTGATGCTGTAAAGAACATGTGTTTGCTTCCCTTTCTTATTGGGTTCAAATTTGATGTTCTCACCCCACTGAGACACCCAACTCCACGAGATCGAGCAGAGCGACAGCCTGGTCACTGAATCTTGTACTTGTGGGCCAGGATGCTTGTCCTTGCGACTGCTATGCACGGCCCATAATAGACCAGATGTAAAATCTTCTTTCCAGATCCCATTCAGGTAAAAGATATGGTGATTGGCTGCAAAAATGGTTGCAAGACCGGCAAGAGCTGGTAGTACATCGGAACTATAGCTCAAGGATCGGCGCGAAAAGGCTTCTACGACTCTATACCATGTTTCAAATAGGCCTTTAGTTGCGTGGAGTGAAACCTCTGGTGCATTGGTGCTGTCCAGCCAAAAATGCAATAGTGGTAAATATGTTGTGACCATCTCAGGTTTACGTCCAACAAGGCCCTTTTTAACGTCGTCGAGGGTATCAGGGGATGCCGCATGGGTAGTAGGCATGCTTTCTGACAGCTCACAGCTCCGGCATGTCCACTGCATCTCTGAATGCCGAAAACCCAGTTGTCGTGGCGCAAGCACCTCCTCTTGCAGAATCCATCCCCTAGTGTCCAGCGGACACGGACTTCTTTCGGGCAAGGATTGCACGTACGCTGAAATTTGATGCGTCTCGTCTCCAATAGTAGCTGCAAAGTCCAGTTGACAAGGCTTGGTCAATCTGGGATCTCGTGTCATAGACAGGCCCGCATCAACGTTGTCTCCAGCGCCAGCGAATATTGTCAACGCGGACTGTTTATATACATCGCCCATTCGTGCAATCTCTGTGCGTGAGTCCTCGACTGAGTCCTGGATGATCGTTAGGGCATCTATCCAGATATGTTTAAACCCCAATCGAGAAGCGAGGTCAACGGCCTCCTGGAAGGTTTTCGGAAGGTCACATCGTGGGATTGAGTTGTAGTGCTGCTCGAAATTTCCAGAGTTAGTTACGTATCTTTTCGTGACGTTACCCCATACATAGCTCAGCGTGGCGTATGAACGTATGCTAACCACCTCGTTGTCTTCTAGAAAGGGATGGCTTGGATTGACAATGTTGATTAGGCGCGTGGGTAAATACGAGGCGGATATAGCGTCTCGACAGGCAGTGTGGGTTTCCGAGCATGTCTTGAGCCATGCTGAAGCCAAGGCAATGTTTGCATCTGACAAAGTTGACGCGTCGCACTCTGGGGAGAATTCGTGGTTGCTGTGTTGTTCCTCGTCTTGCTGGGCTATTGCTTCTGCACTTAATGCGTCCGATTTTGGTTTACTCGACTTGGTTAGAGTTGCCACCATGGTTGAAAACGGTTCTAGCACAGACTCAGCGCAATGCCTGTCTTCGAAGTGATTTCGAGCACCCACCAGCCATCCGAGGTACCAAGCATCTGAATCCGTAAACCATCGCCTCAAAGTATACACTCAGGACAGCTGTTTCAAGCGAAGCCAGAGTCTCTTCCTGGAGCTTCCGACTAATGCTGAGGATGATGCGTGACTCGGTGTCATTTTTCTTTCGCAGACGCCGACCAATCTGCAATAGTGCTTGAATCTTGAGACAGAATTGACAACCGGTGTCAGCAGTACGTTGCAAACACTGAAGGTTGCACGAATGTTGGAAGAACAGTATGTGATCATTTTTAATGTCTTTCATATAACCAAGTAATGGTACCTGGAGTTGCTGTACAGCTGGAGGGCATGCTTCGATATGCCTGAAATGGATGCTGGTACACTTGGAACAAAGCATCGAAGTGGGAGTGGAACGAAGTTGCGAACAGCCCCAAACGAGGGTTGCCGCTCAAAGTCTCGTCAGATAACACAATGGATAGATAGCAACGAATGTGTCGGTGGAGAGTTGCGCAATTTTGTTGGACAGAAAATCGTGGGCTCGTGCAGGTAAGCTAGACAGACGGTATTGCAAAGGGTTTCGACGCGTGCATGTTCACGTCATTGGCATTGCAGCGGGTACGCGTCCGTGGAAATGAACGTGGCGGGGATGGGCCGCTAGGCCCAGATGATGCGCGTTATTTCCGATTGGCCGTGAATAGGTTTAAAACACGCATTGGAGGGTACGACAATCTCCATGTATGAAGTGCCACCAACAGCCTACTCTTCATACGAGTTTTCTATCCACTTGGGCGGATGCTTTTGCACACTAATCTTCCCCCAAGCCATCCCCGAAAAGACACCCTTTGTCCAAGTTGTTCATACCACCATTCATTCCATACTCCTGACGTCCGGAAACCAATAGCGTCGACGACTGGGGATTCTCCAGTCTTCTGAGCGTTGCTGACCACGCGCCGCCGAATGTCACCAAACACCTTGCTTAATACCCTCTGTTGTTTTCTACAAAGATGCATGTCGTGGCTAAGCTTTGCAGATATTTCCAAAAGTCCGTTGTGGGGCTCTTCCCCCTTCTCTGTCAAAAGAATACGTACCGTATCGAAATAGACTTGCTGAATCGATTTGTTATAGTCGATCTCTGGGACACTGGAAGAACGGTTGACTATCCCCAGGAGCCCGTATACTTTGTCACGAGGGTCTTCGCACTCAAATTGCGAGTAGAGATCAAGGCGATCAGACAAGCTCCATAAGAACTTACTTTTAGGACCTGATGGATTCTTCGTCATAACGTCGGAGAACAACCAGGTTGCTATATTGTTGTTCCTGCGTAGCATAGTCCTCTCAAGTTCGGAGAACGTTCTTCTAAAGTGGAGCCAGTCGACTAAGAGATCGCCACTCATGATCTGAACCTTCTGAGCGAGTACGATCTCCTGAACAATCCATATGCGCGTAAAATAGCGATTACTAAATATCTACTCGAAATGTTTGTATTCGAAAGTACCATCCATGATCCGTTGAAGCGGCTGATAGCAGGAATCATCTAGCCAAGTAATGACAGTATGACTATTGCCGTATACTTCAGCCATCATGCCGACTTGATGGTTTCGCTCCTGTATATTGGTCTGGTTGATGCAGAGTGAATCCACCCATATATGCTTGGTTTGTTGCGCCTTCTCGCTCTGACTAAAGGCGTTAAGGAAGTTGTACAGATTCTCGCGAACAAACCAGCATTTACCGTTCAACCAGACCCTGTGTGTGGGAAGTGGAGCACCCCAGGTATAAGAGAGAGCAATGTAAGGTGGAGCTCGGTCGATCTCATATACATCAATCGTACAGCCAAAACTAGCTCCTCCGAGGTGTGGGTAGGGATATGCAGAAGCCCGGTGGACCTTGATCAGTCTGATGTTGTGTCCAACAGGGGTCAGAAGCCCATAAACATACGGGTCTTTGCTTGCGACCGAATCTAGTTCGTCGAGCTTAGTGGTTGGTGTCAAAGGGCGCGACTGAGGTGTAGATCGAGCAGGCTCAGAAAGCTTGGGTTTTGCTGAGACGAGCGGTAGACTGGTGCTACTCTGCCCTTCTGCAACGGCCTTTCGCTCCTGGTTGCGGTTCAGGAAGTCCTGCATGCTGTGTCACAAGGACGCCCTTCCTCAGAAACAAAAGGCTTTTCTGCGATTAATGCACGTGTTTTGTGCTGCGATGATAGACATGAGGAAGGCAAAATGAGAGCGGGGTCTGAGGTGTTGCGGCCCACTGCTCAGCCTCGCGAACACGAGACGCAAGTGACGTAGCAATGCCTAGAGAACTCATAGATGCAAACAAAGGAGCGCTGCCTTAGATGTAGTCGTTAAATTACCGACCAAGATGCTAGGCGGAACAAATGCTTGGTGGAATGGAAAGTGCGCATGTAGGCATGGGAAAGAGGAAAAGAAAGGCGGAGTGAACGAAGAGCTTTGGGTATGTCGTGTTCATTAATCATCGCTCGTGAGACAAATATACATAAAGTACTGTAAAGAATGCAGCGTACAGCGCAATAGCTCAGGCCACATGTATTAGAGCAAAGATGGCTCAAAAAGTATCCAGCCCCATCTTCTGCAGGACGCCTACCAGGTCGACCTCCACGATCTCGTCCCAGCCCCTCTCAGGGCCCCAGGCAACGCGCTTCTGGTTGAGCTTTGTCTCTTCTAGCAAGCCCCTCAGGAGTGGGCTGGATTTAGACACACTCGGGTAGGCGTCGAACTCGACGTCGTCGATCGACGGCAACTGTGCGAGCAAACCTCTCAGCAGCCCGACGCAGTACTCAGTGTAGAAGTTTTTGCCGGCACGGAACCCTTCAAATACATCGTTGGATGCAGGGTCGAGCTCTACAAAGACCTTGAGTTTATACACCTTCTTCATCGCCGCCAGGCCAAGGCGGCTGTCCACCACCCAGCATTTCGGCGGTTTGGTGAAGCCTGGCCCTAGTCTCAACTCCAAACGTGTGAGCTGTGCTCTGTATTTGCGAGGGAACCACGCGAGTAGCGGATGCTTGCGGTTGATGTAACGTCCGATAGGGAACACGCGGAAGGTGTTGCCACCGTAGAAAACGCGCGACGCTTCGTCGTGCATACGGTGGTCTACGAGGAAGAGGCGGAGGGCGGGTGCGATCGTGCGATAGTTGGCTTCATCGAGATCGATAGTCTTGGGGAAGATCAGAAGCTCTTCGTAAACGCGCAATCGCAGTTCGTAGGGAAGATCGAAGAAGCGAAAAGGCTGGCGCTGAGCGGCTTCCTTGCCGTCTTCCACTGGATCGTCCTGAGATTGCGGCGGTGCAGCAGCCCGCTCATCCACCAGCCGCACTTTGCTCATGCGATTGACCATGTGGTCAATCGCCTTCGATTTACGCGCCATCCTATTGAACAGCACCCTCCAAAGCGATCACTTTTGTCGCTTTGGTTGTATTTATGCATCCATCGCGTCACTCGTGCGTATACGTATCGGTATCGTTCGAGGCGAGAGGAGACGTAGCAATGATGAAAATTCTTAAGAGGATGTCTCGGAGCCACGGGACCGTCAGCCCATTCGGTAGGGGCAGGCAGTTCTTGGGGGCAAAGAGGTTCGATCTCCCCAGCTTATGTCAACTTCAATCTTGTAGAGGAACAAAGAGTGAGGTCAAATTCTGTGGGTGCAACTTTCTATATGGAAAAAGAAGAGAGAGTGGCGGCGACGCGGAGAGTTTTGTCCAAGGTCCGACTAGCGTATTAGTCAGCCGCCTGCCGAGCCCCACCGTTCGCCGACCCACCGACTTCGCGTTCTGCCTGCCAGAATAACAGGCTCCGCTTTGTTACCTTGCACAACCATGTTGCATAATCACTTCATCGTAAAATTGTATATCTTTAGGGCAAGGTCTGCTCGGTCGAGAAAGGCCCATAAGAACGGGATTCTATTGCTGCAGACGTGTGTAGATGAGGAAAAGAAAAGAACAAAACAGATTCACTTGCAGTTCATTCTTCGTTATCAGCTACTGCCAAGTGATTCGCCCACTATCGTATTCATTCCTTCCCAATCCCATGCCTCATAATCATATGCAACCAAAGCATGTTTTCATCGCGATACCAATAGACCTTCTGTTTCCAAAATGCTCTGTTCTTACGGTCCTCTTATTCAAGCTTTCTTCGAAGACATCGCTACTAGGTCAATGGTCGGGAGCGCATGCATTACATGGCTCGCCACCGCCCCGCTCGGTCGCGACGGTGATGTTGACCAAACCACAGGATTCGTTCCCAATCGTGTATCCAGAGTAATCAAATGGGTGAGCGCCGTAGGTTTGACCTTGGTCTGGTCGGCCTTGCGGCGGGACAGGGTTCGGGAACGGTGCCGTAGCGTCAATGGGAACACCGGCGCTGCCGCGACCACCATACAAACCATTGCCACGATTGTTCCGGTGGCCGTGGCGAGGAACCGTGTAGTAGCTGGGAGGGTACATGTTGCGAGGTCCGGACGGGAAGCCAACGTTGCGCACAGTGGTGAGATCGACGTTGAAGTGGCGTGGAGCGTTGCTGTTCGAGTGACTGTTGAGGGCAGCCTGTTTAGATATCATATTGAGCTGATTCTCAAAAGGTCGATTTGCTCCAGCGTTGGCATTGTGCGGGATTGAGACCTCTCGGTTGGAAGCAGGATGACAATTCTCTTGGCGGGTCTCTTCACGACGCCGAGTCGTAGGCAAAGGTGGTGGAGGCATTAGCTCCGCGGAATTTGAGCGCTGATTCGCTGCAGCAGAGCGAGGAGTCGCTGGCCTGGGGGTCATGATGGGAATCGCCTTTGAAGAAGGATGAGGAGAATCGACCGGAGAAGACAGAGACGTGCGCTGTTTTCTGGATTGCTTGAACTTCTTGGGCGATTTTGGACGACCATTACGATAGCCCTGCTCGTAAGCAAATTGTACACCGTACATATACCACAGGAACGGTATGCCGTTTCTATCGAGTACCGTTGCATCTGGCAGACCAACGATGTCATGAGACGAGACCGGAGGTACGGTTCTCGTGGTAGCTTCGATCGGGCCAGCTATGGACGAAGCCTGAGGTACGAATTCCGCAGCAGTTGCTCGAAGAGAGCCCACACTAGATTGAGTTGAACAACCGCTATCTCTTTGTTTACCCTCATCAGAAACATACCACTCACCTCTTCCTCGAACGGAAGTCACGTTACCAACAGCGTCATCGATATCGTCCGTGGAGGCAGAGACAGGCTCTTCTTGTTTGACTTCGATGTTTGTGTTTTCTGCATCCAAATTGTGAGCCATCATGACGACGATTGCGGGTATGCTTGTAGAACATGTAAGCGTCGTACCATGAGTAAAAGCTGGTGGGGCATCCCATGACATGTTCTCTGGCTTCACAGTCTTGTATGAAGCCTCATGGTCGACCGTACAGTTGTTGACGTGGACAAAGCTTGCGCCGCATTGTGAGATATTCTTTGGTAGGCCTGAAACCTCGATATTCGGAGCAGACATGGGACTGTCAACGTGAGCTAGCTGTTTCTGCTCGGCCTTAAAAACAGTGTCCAGTGTTTGATCATCACCATGTAATTCAGATGTCCGGGAGATAATCGGAGTTGAGCCAGTACTGTCGACGGTGCGTACGTGACGCAGAGATGCTGGCAAAGGCTTTGGCGTTTCGGGTAGAGGCACTTTTGACGCGTCTGACTGCATAGCTTGCAGCGTTTTGAGCTTGCATTGCAAAGACTTCACCGACTCAACTCGCTGGACGGTTGGGTTCCGAAGGGGAACCGCAATCTTGCTGGTAGCGCCAACACGTGGGATGCGAGACATTTGTGTAGGAGATACCGGACTTTGCGGACTTCTCAACATATACGAGCCGCTCGGCGCTACTGTTGGTGCCGATGAAGAATCTCTATGAAGATCATGGCATGAAACAGTTGGAGGAATTTTGAGCGCAAGCTTTGGTGTCAATGAACTCCGCTTGCCTTCTGTGTTCCCTTTCGCTGTCGTCGAACGCGAACTGTTGGAGTCATGATGCATCTGTTCATCATCAATGTTAGCCTTGAGGTCAAAATCAGGAACATCAAGGTCTTCGGGGTTCTCTGCAGCAGACTGAAAGCTATGTTCCGTGCTTGCAGAACTCCTTACTGGCGATCCTTCTGCGGTATGAAACGACATCCGGCCAGTAGAAGTAGCAACACTACTAGGTGTTCGTGAGTGCGCTGCTGATATCGACTCGGTGCTGAGATGTGTCGACTTGCTAGGCGATGTCCTGAAGGAGAGATTTTGCTGACGCACGCTGCTACGTAAGGGTCCAGTAGGACTGTTCCATGGTCGCTTTGTTGGAGAGCCGTGTAGTCTGCTAGGGCTGAGCGGAGAGGTGGGTGATGCTATGGTGCTATCGACAGCAGCTAGGGCCTCTTTTGTGAGGTATAGTGCACCTTCTTTGCTATGTGTTCTTCTCAGATCGGTTGAACTACGTGTTTCCCTTAGTGTCTTGACCTTGTCTGGAGAATCACTGTCCCAGCTATCTTTCGAAGTTCGTGCCTTTGCCCGCTGAGCGGTTGCGAGATTGGGACCAGTGCTCTTCACCAACCACTGGGTAGGTATGGACTTGCGAGGACTGTGACCCGCTGCACCAACTCTATGCGCGGCGTACCGATAGTCCGCTTGTTCTTGATGATGCATAGCGATCGTATCAAGATCAGTAGTCGAATCGACAGACTCGTCGTGAGATCCTTCGCGGGCGTTAGAGTGCCCGCTACATGACTCAAATCGAGCAAACAGTTCAGGAACCTTACCGTCGTGAGTAACCTTCATATGCAATGAAGACTGTGTATTCAAGGGCATATCAATGTCGACGTTGCTGTAGCTCTGCCTGTCCAGTACTGGGCTAGCGTCGCTAAGACTGTTTTGTTGTTGCCGAGGGCCGTCAATAAGGGCAGAGCGTGGAATGAAAGCAGCCTGATGATGGGATTGTACATCTCGCTCTTGCACGACGACGTCCCAAGTTGATGCGTGCCCGGCTTCAGACGGCTTGATAATTGACATGTTATCGTTGTACTGTGATTGGTGCTGTTGCTGAGTATGCGATGGTAACTGCGAATGCGATGAGCTACCGTTGTTGGCGGATGATGCAGGTGGATGAGCAGATGAGCCAGACTGAGCGTCGGGTTTATCGTTGAGGTTATTGTCTGCACTCTGGTCGTCTGGCGAATGACTGTCACTATCAGTTGTGTGCCAGTTATATCACAGGAACGGTGCTTACTTTCTGGGCAGACCGAGTGCTATCGCGTTGTTACAGTAGGATATTCTGGTGAACTCGGCGTGGCAACAGGTCGAGACATAAGAGTAATGATAAACACACATGATGTCGGGTAGCGGTTGTCGACTGCAACCAGCAGGAAAGGTCGATGTCGATTATCCAAAAGGGATGCAGGTGGGGAGAGGTGGGAGCGACGCAACAGAAAGCGCGGCGTTGAATGCGGCGTATGAGTAGCAGGGACTAGGTAAACAAACGAACGCGGAAGGAATGCGCAATAGCAAGTGAAAGTGGAAACTGTCGAGAAGTATGAATAGCCATACTCCAACGCATTGTTAGAAATTTTGTACAACGTTTGCCAGACGTCATATTATAGATACGAGACTGAATCGGACATGTAAGTTTCCACGTTCATGTAAGATAAAGCAGTGAAAACATTGAACGAGTCGAACAAACGTCAAGAACAGAGTCGACCATGCGAATATTAGCGATAGATCCGGAACCAGTCGTTTTACGTCTCAACACTTGTGGTCCTTCAAGCACGTAGACTGAAGCGTCAGGGGTGGATGGTCTTCTTCTTGACGGCTGTTGTGAGATAACATGTTCATTATTTGATGACTCAGAATCTCTTCTTCTTTTTCGCCTGGGCCTGTTTCTTCGCTGCTTCCTCATTCTTCCGCTTGAGTTCAGCCCGCTTTCGCTCTGCTTTCTCCTCTGGCGTTTCCTCGTGGACCTCCTTGACGGGCGACATCTCTTTCACCACCCTAGACGGTGGCGGGGAGGACGGTGGTTCTGCAGTAGGTGATTGTGTGGTTCTGATACGGTTGGTACTTGGTGAGATTGTTATCGCGCGTTGTGAAGCGTCTCCATCTACTGTCTTTCCTTTGCCTCCGATTCGGAAAGGCTTACGGGCTTTCTTTGGTGTCATGACTGATTGGGTCGTTTGCGAAGAAGGCACAAACTCTCTGGTCGGTAGGATCTCCGACTCCTGTTCCGCATCTATACTCCCCGGCAATGGTTGAGGGGATTCCACCCTTGTTGATTTGCCGCCTATTCGGAAACTGCTTACCTTGGCCTTCTGGACTGGGGATGAAGCCGTCTTGGGCGGGGAGTGATGTTCAGGTGTGAGCGACCTCTCGCGAATTGTCTCTTGTATTGTCTGGCCCTTGCTTTGGCTCTGACTTTTGGGAAGTGCATCCAAATCCTCGTCGTCTTCAGTACTATCACCCTCTGTCTCACTGGTCTTCTTATGCGGCGAAGAGGGTATGGGCACTGAGGATTCTACGCGCCTTCTGACGATATCGCGTGTCTGTGAGACTGTTAGCAGCTTCGCTTCGTGTTGTGCTCTCATGTGCTTACGTTAAAATTTTCATGAGTTTCAAACTCGTCCTCCGTCTCTTCATCTGAGTTCGCAGTAACCTTCATTGACTTTGTAGCTGGAGCAGGCTTCTTAGCTTTGCTTTTAGCCGGAACTGTGACTGGTCCCAACTGAGTAGGTATCTCAGTCCACCACGTAAATTCTTGATCTGATTTCAGTTTCCGTGGTACTCTCGGGGTAGTCTGCGCCAATGCTTCTTGGAACAAGCCAAGCGTAGTCAGGTTTGCGTCTTCCAATTGCTCCGTCTCCTGCCTCCATGCTTCTTCGCGAAACGGTCGTAAGGCGGGAACGTGCTTCGCCGCTTGTTCGCGTTTGACCACCTTCCTCCCCGTCTTGGTTCCGCCGATGCTGGGGAAAGCGGCAGCCAGGTCTACGTTGTTGGAATCAAACTGATCTACGAGTCGAGATATTGCCCTGTCCTTTTCGGTAACAGTAGATATAAGTGTGGTGATTCGTTCATTCTGGATGTGAGATGATACAAGTAGCGGAAGAATCAGTTCGTTCTTTAGAGTTGCAGACGCTCGCTTTTGCAGGTTGAATGTCCACGTCAAGCGGTCGAGGGGCTCTGGAAGGCAGATGCTAGTGTGCAAGGTGATGCCGTCCGTGTCGTTGCGAGTCACACGGCATATGGCATCCTCTCCACTCGCCAGGGATTTCTCAACATTCTCGAGAAGAATGACAAGCTGCGCAGTATCCTGTTTGCTAACTTCGATAGGCGATTGCTCCTGTGCAGCTCGTTTGACTATGCCATAGACGTCTAGCTCTTCGCACCATATGTTGCTGAGGTCGGTAAGATGCACAATGTACGAGTCCAGGTCGAAGGCGGGTTTGATGAGTAGCTGGGGGATGTGCTTGCCGTCAGGCTGCTCGCAGAGCTCCAGCACGCGCCAACAAGACATTTCAACCCGGACAGAAGGATGGATTGGCACGCATGTTTGCAAAGAGAGGGAGACGCGCGATTCCACGCAACCTTTTGTGGAGTCTCGATGTGACAGGTGAATGTCAGCGCGAGGCGCAAGTGAAAGGCAGCCGCGCCAAGGATGGGCGAGCAGTTGCCAAAAGGGGAGTAGATGCCTGCAGGCGCGGTAGGCAGGCCAGCCGTACGTCACCAGCCTCGGCCAAAGATTTCGCGATCTGCGCCGACCTGGGCATTGACGCAGTCAGACATCACCACAACAGCCGCATTTTCTACGTCTCGATAACATGTCGTCACGTGAACCTCCATGGCGCAACGAGCGCAGCCGTCTGCCCCAGCGCGACGCGCCGTCTTCGTCTATTCCAGCAAAGCGGTCAGCCGACTCACGAGCACACGACAATCCTGCGAAGCGGTCAACGAACGCGGCCGAGGAGGCATGGGTGGCAGACGAGGATCGCTTCGTGCTGCAGCAGGCGAAGAAGAAGGCGGCACTGCGCGTCAAGGGCGGACGCGCGAGGCCCATTGACTGGCTGGCCGTTACGCTGCGCTTCATCGACCCTACAGAGAAGTCGATACTCGACGAGGAGGTGGAAGACCACGAGCTGGACATCGTAGACCCCGAGGGCGTCTTGGAAGGCCTCAGCAACGACGATATCTCAGAGCTGGAAAAGGAGATTGAAAACTACCTCGCCCTCGAGACAAGCAAGAGTAACCGCGACTACTGGAACGTGAGTGACACACCCATAGGCGTGTCTTGCACAGCTAATCCTCCCAGTCCCTCAAAGCAATCTGCAAAGACATGCGCCGCAAATCCAAGTCGTCCAAGTCCGAAGCACGCGGCACCGGCTCCGTGGCTGCTGACATCGACCAGCTCCTCGCCCCTAAAACGTTCGAACAGCTTGAGACACTCGAGGTGCAGGTCAAGAAGAAGCTCGACTCGGACGAGCCCATCGACTATGACTACTGGGAGCAACTGCTGCGAAGCTTGCGCGTGTGGAAGGCCAAAGCGAGGCTGCGTCGTGTCTCGCAGGAGATCGTCAGGGAGCGCCTACAGACGTTGCGCAAGCAGCAGGCTGAGGCTGCTGCGTCGGTACAAAACAGCATCTACGCTATGCTCAACGGCGCCGACGAAGCGGGCGACGCGCAACCGACGACTGTCGCCTACGATGCAGCCTTCGATCCACAACCGCTGCTGAAGTTGCGCGCAGAAGACAAAGCCCTACCACAGACTGACGAGAAAGCGTTTCTGGAGCACCTGGCAGCTGAGAGGAGGAAGATCCAAAAGATTGGCTACGTGCCCTCTCAGGCCAAATCAAGTGATGCTACTGTCAGCAGTAGTCAGCCCACAACGAGCCAGACTGTAACCACAAGCGCCTCACGATTTGCGCCCGTGGAGAAGGAGGATTACTCCAAGGCAACCATGGCACTATACGAGAGGGAAGTCGCGCGAGGCGTCGAGGAAGGCGAGGAGATATTCACCGCCGAAGAGGAAGTCACAACCGCCCGACCCCAGTGGGCTGGTAACTACAAGCCCCGGAAACCCCGCTACTTCAATCGTGTTCAGATGGGCTATGAATGGAACAAGTACAACCAGACGCACTACGATCACGACAATCCCCCGCCCAAAGTCGTACAGGGCTACAAGTTCAACATCTTCTATCCCGACCTCATCGACAAGTCAAAGGCGCCCACCTACAAGATCGAGCGGGAGAATGGCCGCAAGAAGGGCCAATCCTTTGCTCCCGCCGGTGAAGACGACACATGCCTCATCCGCTTCATCGCCGGCCCACCGTACGAAGACATCGCTTTCAGAATCATTGACAAGGAGTGGGATTATAGCGCTAAGCGCGAACGCGGCTTCAAGAGCAGCTTTGACAAGGTATGACCCAGCTTTCTCTGCCATCGCTGGCTACGTGGCTAACGCAATTCAGGGCATCCTGCAACTTCACTTCCAATTCAAGAAGGTATGTCAAGATCGCATGACCGAAACGGTATCACGACTAACGCGTGGCAGATATACTATCGAAAGTAGCTGAACCTCCTATCAATGACATGGACGATCCACAGCCTACTCCGCTACATCTGGCCCCTCCTGGATTCAGCGGCAGCGATAGGACCAAGAGTAGGGCGGACGTTACACGAGTCCCTGCGCACCTATAGGCACATCATCCGGCAGGCTATACCATCAATGCCAGGTTTTCCTTGCTGTGCCGTCACCCGTGGTCACCACTTTGGCGGTGACGTCTCAACCGACCCTTCTTCGTTCCCACGATGGAGTATCTTCATCTCCGGGACCGTTGGCGGTGTACAATCCTATTCGAGCGGTGACAGGCCTCACGCCATCGGCCAATCACAGACAATTGTTACTTTATGTGAGCTCGAGCAAGGACTACGAATGAACTTCACCGGAAGCAGGGTCGCAAGAGCTGTGTTACATGCTTCTGTAGGGTCTGCTCCCAAGCGGTTGCTCGCATCTTGCCTCTTTGCATGCGCAGCACATCATGTCACACCCCTGCGCATGCAGAACATTCGCCGTTGGCGTCCTTTTTCGAAAAGAGTTTGCACGTAAAAAACCTATTGTCTGTTCCTGAAGAGACTTGCCTCTTATGGGACGATTGCTGTAGTTCGTGAAAGGGGCCTGAACATAGATAATAAAACCTTACAATGGAGAACTGCTGCCTGACTTGAACGGGGACAAGACCTACAGTGGACCGTTTCCGTCGCATGTACAGAAGCCGGACATACACATCGAACACCGGGACATTACCGCACAGGCCGATGGACGTTTCGATGTTGCAAATGGCCCAGCAGTATGCAACTTCCCGCCTACGCTGTGTCAAGCTGGCAATCGTTGGCTGTAATGGTCGTACAGAGAGTCACTCCGAATGCCTGATGGAGTAGTGTAATGAGGGTCTGTAGGCTACGTCTCGGCCCGTGAGGCAATGATGCAATGTCGGCACTTCTGGACCCGTGACAACAGCCCTGCTGCTGCGCCCAGCGATATCTTCAGATTCTCTGTCTTTGCGATGAGATCTCATGCTTTGTTTGCCCACCCAAGCCCTGCCGCAGTATCAAGCCTGCAGGTGTGCTGGCAGCAGGAACCCGTCCAAGAAGCATCTAGGTGACAATGACATGGTTTCCAAGCAATCCCATTCGTTGGGGCATAGCGGAACATCATAATGTCTTAACGGCCGCTTCATTTGTGAGCATAGTCTCTCACTACTCTCATTTTCTGCCAGTCTTTTGGTTTCACACAGCACGTTGGCACTCGTTTCCGCGTATCCCATATCGATACGCTTATCATCTCTATTGTCCATACCTGTGAGAGGCCAACAACACGACAGCCATGCCACATACGCAGTCAACTCATCGCCCCTCTTCTACAGACACCTGTGGTGAATTTGATACTGTCCACTTATCTAAAGACGCATTTTGTGATACCGCTCACCCACCCAAAGACGCCTTGCGCACCCCGCTTCCATTTCACGTCCCAAATCCGCTATTGTCGCTCACTTCCAGACTACCCATTGAGGTCCCGACCACCGCGGCCACCGCCCAGGACATTGCACCTTCCAACGAACACACAATCACGAACTCCAGTATGAGCCTCGACGAACAAGAGTCAATGCAGTGGACTGCTCCAGCAAATTTTCTACTCGGCTCCATGATCCAAAATGCTGCTGGTTACCATGCGCCTAATCCGTTCCCACCTAGCACTGGAGACCTTTACCACTACGCCGAGAACGGCATGTCATACAACGACAACTTCAATATCACATACCCACCACAATATTCTAGCTCAAGCTGTCCACGATCGTACACCGGCATCGACCTCACCGGCCTTCCTAACGACATCGATATGACGGACTCATACCCACCAACTGCATACCACATCGAGCCACCAAAACATCATGATGCCATGGACCTGTCAGATCATGAAATCAGCGATCAGCTCATGCAGCTGAGCAACGACTATGATCATCACCAATATGGCTCTCACGTAAAGGCCGAAGATCTTAATGACTACCAGAGCCCATACTCTGACCTGACTCGAGTTTCTACCCCCCATGATGATTCCTCTCTACACCCGCATGACCTTATTGCAGGTGAAGGTGGCATTATCGATAAAGAGCAACCGTATGCCCAGCTGATCTACCAGGCGCTGCTCAATGCGCCGAATAAGACGATGATACTGCGTGATATCTACGAATGGTTCAAGAACAACACCGACAAAGCCAGTGCCTCGGAAACAAAAGGATGGCAGAACAGTATCAGGCACAATCTATCAATGAACGGGGTATGTCTGTCTCTCATCCACAACACTGAGCGACCTAATAGAATACTAGGCCTTTGAGAAAGTTGACCAACCAGGCGAAGAATCCCGCAAAGGTTTCATGTGGCGTCTTACCGATGAGGCGATTCGCGAAGGTGTCAAGTCAACGACACGCTACCGCAGTAAGCAGCCCAACAAACGTGGTCACCGTACCCAACAACCGCAGCCGCAGCGCCAGGCCTCGGGGGCTAAAGGTGGTCAAGCTGCTCGTCGTTCAGCAAGGATGAAGCGCTCGGGCCGCATGCAGGATACATATCGCAACGATCAATACATCTCACGTTCCGTGCCCGCAGCATTCGATCCGTCCTACCACGGTCCAGACTCCTCGATATCCTACCCACCTTCTCCGTACTACGGAAGCGAAGTGGACTTTGGCTACGCCTCCAGAAATGACGACTTTGGTAGCGTCCCTGTACTCGGACATGCTCATCTTAATCTCTTTTCGCCAGCAAGGTCGTACACAGGGAGTCCTATATCGCAAGGCATGCCAATCACGGACACAGCTTATGTACTTGATCAGAGTCCGACTGAGAGCCTGTTTACAAACAGCCCTAGTCCTAGCACTGACGAGCCGCAAACACCTGTGGACCAAGGCTGGCAGGAAGATGTAGGAATGGGTCCGCCGTGTGTGTTTGATGATCAGCATGGTTACCGACCATATGCCGGTTGACCCGCTGTTGATCAAGAGATGTTGGCGTGTCAGTCAGTCGGACTTAGCCGAGATGCTCCCTATCGTCTTCTGCAATGTATTTTGGCTTTTTGAGATTGTGCATCTGTGCTATTTTAGGGCGAACTGGCGTTAGGTGCATAGTATATGCTAAAGTAGAGTCTAATGCATATCGAGCATGCCTTGTATCGTTCGCATAGCGATCTCGGAGAGTCACCTTCGTGAGATATCCTCGACCGTTCAAATAGCATCAGGCTTTGTCAGTAGCATTTCAACAACGGAGTTTACCTCTTCCTATACTGTTCTGTTCGACTGAGTTATCTTCCTGTCAACGATTAGTTTTTGCAAGTCTCACTTTTCCTTCCTCCAGCCAAACAACAATTCGATGCATGAGACCATACCACAGGACTTTGTCTTATATATCAGAACGTAGCACCCAAAGGTTGCATGTCGAGTATGCGGGATGCACGCTGACCGACATACATATAGACGTCGTATACAAGCTGACCATCCCTGGGATTACACAAAAGTGCTTAATCGACACCTGGAGCGATAAATCGTGAAGACGGTTGTGATATCTTACCGGCCTCAGGTCTTCGTGGTATCAGTAATGCAAATGAATTGCTAAGCTTTCGGGTCGGAACGAAAAGAGTGCTCTTGGCTCAAGCCGCTTCTTGGGTTCTGGCGCCCGTCACGAAAGTTTCATGTTGTGAGCAGGATTAGTATTGTGTCTTTTGGCGTAATTTCGGTTCGATATCAGGACGGAGCCGGAACGCAGAGGATATCAAATGACCGAAACACGTCCGCATATCATCGTTGCTGCCAACGTTATCTTCATAATGGAGGCGGTCGCGCTGCGAATTTGACAAAGCCTAGAAGTTCCAAGCAGACCCTGCCGAGCTTCTTTTGGCCGGTCGTTCCGCGGCAATACATTCAACCGCCACGAGGATGCATGTTGTTCGAAGAACGTAGCCGTTGACGCGTAGACCGTCTTTTGGAAGCTGCCGTGGGGCGACAGGTCCGGAATCTGGGGTAGCAGAAACTCCACCAATCCGAGGAGCCAAGCGCCCAGGCGTGTGGGGAAAGCTTCGCTCGTCTTGGCTTAGCGCCACAGTCTTGCTCCAATTAGCCACTGTGGCCGTGAGGGGACCCCAGGATGACCCAGCAAAATTCCCAAAGTTCCTCCGCGCCTCCAATCTTACGGGAGCGCATATCATGGTCAGGAACCGGGGCCAAGGCCGCGGCTCGGACGGCTGGTAATACTACGATGAGGGTATATTAGACTGGCCGTCGTCGCGATAGTTTTGGAGATACAGACGTTGACCTCAATCTTGTCAATTAATACCGTCGGCCCCTGAACGTCTGCCAAGATGCGTGTCAACGAACTCCTCACATACGCTTTGCTGCAAGCATCAGCAGTACTATCGACACCTCTCGATGAGCGAAGCGTGAGCGTTGCTGCTTCCAAGAGGCCACACCATCCCGCGTATCCGTACCACCCAAAGAAGGCGTGTCCAGTCTCACCGCCACGAACCAAGACCTGCAGCGTCAAGGCTCTCGGCAACGGTAAAGACGATTCTGCCAACATCTTGGCTGCTATTAAGAAGTGCAACAATGGCGGGCACGTCGTTTTCCCCAAGGACCAGAAGTTCACCATCGGAACCGCGCTGGATTTGACCTTCCTCAACGGTATTGATCTTGGTATGTAAGACCCTGGACTTGTTGGTCGTTCAGCGCTTATCACCAGAACAGACATCCAAGGATCTATTCAATTCACCAACGACACGGATTATTGGCAAGCCAATGCTTTTAAGCAAGTGTTCCAAAATGCCACCACCTTCTTCCAGCTCGGTGGCAAGGACATCAACGTTTACGGAGGTGGTACCCTCGATGGTAATGGTCAGGCTTGGTACGATCTCTATGCCAAGGACATCTACATCCTACGACCTATTCTCTTCGGTCTTATTGGTGCTGAAGGTGCCGTGATCTCGGATCTGAAGTTCAGATACAGCCCGCAGTGGTACACATTGGTTGCCAACTCAAGTGACGTTGTCTTTGATAACATCGACATCTTTGGCGGTAGTGTCAGCAAGAACCCCGCGAAGAACACTGACGGCTGGGACACGTACCGTTCCGACAACATTGTCATCCAAAACTCACACATCGACAACGGCGACGACTGTGTCTCGTTCAAGCCTAACAGCACCAACATGGTTGTTCAGAACCTTGTCTGCAACGGTAGCCACGGCATCAGCGTAGGCTCTTTGGGCCAGTACCCTGGCGAGGTCGACTACGTTGAGAACGTCTACGTGTACAACATTAGCATGTCCAATGCTTCAGACGGTGCGCGTATCAAGGTCTGGCCCGGCGCTGCCTCCGCTCTCTCTGGTGATCTGCAGGGTGGTGGCGGTGGTGGTGCAGTCAAGAACATCACATACGACGGCATGACCATCTCCAACGTCGACTACGCTATTGAGATTACTCAATGCTATGGCCAAAAGAATCTAACTCTTTGCAACCAAGTAAGTGAAAATATGGCGGTTTGCTTGTACTATGGTTCTAACGCAAAATAACAGTTCCCATCCAACCTCACCATCTCCGACATTACTGTCAAGAACTTCCATGGTACTACCAGCAAGAAGTACGACCCGCTAGTTGGATACCTTGTCTGCTCCAGCCCAACAGTATGCTCCAACATCAACATTGAGAACGTCAATGTCACCAGCCCAAGTGGAACCAACCAGTACACTTGCGCGAACATCGATGGCATTGGGAGCCAGGTCAACTGCACCACTAACGGAACCAAGGGAGGTGAATCGTAAGCCGTTGTCACTGTTAGAAAGTAGATAGTCACAGTAATTTGCATATATTGCTGGAGGAACCTGCTCCGTCGTTGCCATGTATGGATTTGTGATCGCTACCCTTATCAATGGAGGCTCGTAGTGTTTTTTTTTCTCGAATCAGTCCGCTTCTTATGACTTCCGCCAGATTCGAGTCAGGGGAGATTCGTTTTGACCACGATGTTGGAGATTTGAAAGGCTAATCAGAGGACGCATCGGTGTGTTGAACAGATGGGCGGTACAGAGACCAGTAAACATCATCGCAATTTTGCGCTGTATAGACATCACGGCCATAGTGGCAATCACTCCTAAAACGTCGCAAGAACGTATCGGAGCCTCAAGCATATGTCTTGGCTCCGTGCTAAATGAGTGCTGAGGTTCATGTATTCTCGCAAAGAAAGCCGCAGTGACAGAATGCGGTATGATGACATGATGAGAAAAGTAGAATTGCAGTCATGCAATTGGCTCTTGGGGATATTTCTTTTACAGTGCCGGTTCTAATAGGCTAGAGCCTAGAGTATAAGACTTCGTTATACCTTAGTAGTACAACTTACATTGCGGGGTGCAGCAACACCTTAAGTATTAACTATGTAAGACAACACGCAGCTTTATTGTCTTATGCTAGCCTTTTAGCTACCCTGACGACGAGTGTAGTTGCATGCAAGGCCTAGTAATGCCCGCCCGTTACACTAGTGCAGCTGATTCCTAGGTTTAGTTAATGTAAGGGGCTACGCGAAGGGAGCTATCCCACAGGTATACTAGAGATTGTATTTAATATAGAGGCAAGATCTCATCTACGTAGCCTAGAGCTTAGCTCCCTATCGAGAACAACTCTAGTATGCCTGTGGGATAGCTCCCTCAGAGTAGGCTCTTACAGTCGTTGGCTGACTTCGCTCTTTAGGTGCGCACAGAAGGTGTTTTTCACCTAAAAGGTTTCGATTCATCCTTCTACATCACTTGGATAATTAGTTTCAAGAAAGGATCTGTAATGGTAAAAAGTAGCTTGTCCGCTGCATGGGCACTGTAGACCGTCCCACACAGCATCCTACACGTTAAAGATATTCGTGGCATTCGATTGATTGTGTCAAAGGTGCCAACATAGCCAACCTTGTCGATAGCCGCTTTTCATTGTCTTCCTATACTCATTGGGGCGTGATTCATTTTCTGTAACGCCTTAAGGGCACAGTATCGTCTTCTGGCACTGGAATGAGTCCTGCTCTAGCAATAGACCTGAAAAACTTTCCCGGATGAACGATCGCGAAACAAACCGCGGTTAAAAACAAAAGAGATGCATCGAAGACATACATCAATGCCTCAGTCTTGTAGATAGAGCCTCCTGCACCTTCCGCGAACTCGATAAATCGAAAGACACTTCTTGCTATAATGAGCGTGCTCACTACGTAGAGAATCCAAACCACCCGTTCCCAGGGAACATTGCTCCTTTGAGATGTAGCAGTAGGAACTCTCAGAAGCCTTTGGTGCAAGATTGTAGTCATTGCCAGAAAGAACGCAAACGCGATAAGCTGGATAGCAAGTCCCCACATAACAATCTGCATTCCTTTCTTTGCTCCTTCTGCACCACTGGCTTGCGCTGCAGTCCCCATAATCTGACACACAAAGCTCGCAATGTCGATAGTAATATAGATTTTAGAAATCCAATTTGACCTTACAATGGAGTGCTCTTCAGCACCGAGGCCACGTATGATTCGACCGAGCGTCATGTACACGGTCGCTGCGAGTAGTGGTGCAGAACCAAGGATGAGCATCATTTGAAGGAGATAAGGGGTTCCGTTGCGAATATTTTGGCTAGCCCATGCTCGTCCATAATATCCTGCTGCCTCTCCTAGGAAAAAAGCATTAGCTAAACCTCATAAGATAGAACATTGTAACTGGTCATCCTACCTATACATCCAAGAATGAAGGGAATAAAGAACCAGCTCTGATAAATGATCATTAACACAAAATGTGCTATTGCTGTGATCCCAAATAGTACGACAAAAGTCCAACCAGCGCCCGCTGAAGGAACATAAGGGAAGAGGTCAAAATCGGCGACACCACGCGGTTCAAGGCGAAGTAAATCCATGTTTAACGATAGGGTTGTTCAGGAACCAGTTGTGGGCAGGCGCACAATTGGGAGGGACCATGTGGAATGTTGATGATGATTATTTCTTTCCAACAGATCTGGCCCAAATATAAACATATCCAATGTCGTATTCGTACCGAAAGAGTGATGCAATCGACATGCTTGTGAGATTAGACGATACACTTTCAGCAATCGTCTACCCTCTGTTTATCCACTTCAAGGGTCTAGAAATCAATAAAGAAAGTGGCACAGGATAGCGACTGGACGGTTGGTAACTTGACTCGCACAGCCGCGTACTCGTTGCGAAATACGCATCGATACGAGACTAAGTCGCTGCTATTGGCTCCCAGAGATTGCATTGCCACTCTTCCGTTAAACAGAGATAACATCTAAGCGTAATGCAACCATACCATCATAGCTTTTCGCCGAGATACACCGCATATTGTCATCCCAAGCTTTCGGAGGAACTTGCGCGATAGCTTGGCTTGGCTTGACATCACCTCCGAAACAGCCCTACGGGGAATGCTATATGAAATGCCTTACAAGGCCTCATTGCATTCAGATGCCAGCTCTTGCCTTATTTTTGAATTCTATTTTCTTTTTCGTACAGGCTATACTGTGTGACTAACTCGACCGTCTGCCTCCCGTGGTTATAGCATTTCAAGGTCTTCTTGGTGCGATGTTGAAGCTACTTATAGTCAAAGCTCTTGTCGGCGCGGTGTATACACAAAGTTCACCATTGCCAGAGGTTGATCTAGGATACGAGGTCCATCAAGCTGCTGGCTTCAACGTAAGCGAATTGAAGTTGTAAATGCATATCGCTAACGCATGACAGAGCATCGGTAACTTCTACAACTTTACCAATATTCGATACGCCGCACCTCCAGTTGGCGATCTTCGTTTTGCGCCCCCCCAAGCTCCTGAAGAAAATCGATCATTTGTCAACAATGGTAGTATTCCGAGGTACTTTAACAGGCCCAGCGCACGTTTCGGATGAACAAATTGTGCATGGATACAATGTGATAGTGCTGACTAAAGTAGGATGTGCCCACAGGCTGAACCGGGGTGGTTCCAAGAAGCCACGGCGTACGGCATTAGTCGTCTGCTAGGGCTGCCTTATAACATGACCCAGCCTTATACTCCATCTGGCGCAAAATCTAGCAGTGCAGTGCCAGCACAGAACCCAAACGAGACAGAAGACTGTCTTTTCCTAGACGTCTTTGTTCCAAAAGATGTTTTAACCAAAGCAGGTAAAGGTTTTGGTGTTCCTGTCCTTGTCTAGATCTATGGCGGTGGCTACACGATCGGATCAAAAGCTAACGACCCTGCCGGATTGCTCGCTGCATCCGGTAATTCTTCACATGGAGAAGTGATCTATGTAGCCCTAAACTATCGACTTGGTGCGCTTGGATTTCTAGCTGGCCCTTCTTTCAATGCTGAGGGCGGTGTCTCTAATCTTGGATTATACGATCAGCGCTTTGCGCTTGAATGGGTCCAAAAATACATTCACCACTTTGGAGGCGACAAGAACCGTGTCACAGTTTTCGGTGAAAGCGCCGGAGGAGGAAGTATCATCCATCAGATCACCGCCTACGGAGGAGCAAAGGGCAAGGCACCCTTCCAACAAGCCCTTCCTCAAAGCCCCGGTTGGTTTCCGATTCAGTCCAACGTCCAAACGGAAGACACGTATCAGAAACTTCTTAATCTGACGAATACCTCCTCCCTTGCGGGTCTTCGCGCTTTACCGTCGGAGGTGATCATGCGTGCCAATACCCAACAAGTCTTCTACAACTCACCATACGGCACATTTACCTATGGTCCGGTCGTAGATGGAAATTTTGTACCACTCCGACCAGGACAGCTTCTTGCGCAAGGGCGGTTTGACAAGGATGTCCGTGTCATGGTTGGTCACAACGCAGACGAGGGAGCATTCTTCACTCCAACAACGATCCATTCAGATGAAACCCTACAGGCTTATTTGAAGGGGTTGTTTCCGGTCGCATCGCAGCAAGTCATTAGTCATATCACAGACACCGTATATCCGCCAGTCTTCGATGGGTCGTTTCCTTACCACGATCAATACTCGCGTGCTGCTTTGCTCGTATCAGAAGGCATATTTACATGCAACACGAACTATCTATCTACCGGTCTCGGCAACAAAACATACTCTTATCTATTCGCCGTTCCTCCAGCACTCCATGGCCTAGACGTATCCTATACTTACTACACTGGAGGTCCTGCGTCACTTGCAGTTGCAAATACAACCATTGCGACTACAATGCAACGGTTCATCACAAGCTTTGCTAAGGAAGGTCAGCCGACTGCAAATGGCATTCCTACATTCAAAATGTACGGATCAAATGCATCAGTTCTAAAACTCAATATCACTAGTATCGATGAAGTACACGACAGCAATACAAACACACGGTGTAGTTGGTGGCAAAAGGCTCTTTTCTAAAGGAGCCAAACTGTTGCAAACACCTAGCACAAGGTTTCACTGCTTAAGGTGCTATGGAAGCGAACCGAATATTTAGCTTGATAGAATTATCGTCAAACAAGCTAACAAGATAACAATAGAAGCTTGTTAAAAACAAAACGAAAGCTTTGTGGAGAAAGCGAACGGGATTTTGTGACAATGTCTACCAGTACGTCGATGTAGCGCGCTATCCGAATCGATAGGATGTTACCGTCTCGCAGCAACAATAGTGTAGTTCATCTCGGGGTGTTTTACTCATGGTAACCATTGGCATATCAGGATCAGCGGGCTAGTGTTACCGACAGAGAACATTGTCCTATCTGGGTCTATTTGAGTTGCGGGGATACTTGTCACGACTTAAGGGTCAAAACGCTGACACCCACGCCGCAACTACGCCGCACGACCACTGATCAGGATGGAGATCCTCCAAGACCATGACTAATAGCAGATACGTGACCGATCACTCTGCAAAGGACTACCCCACGCAACACACGAACGCATTACTTACCAGATTGTGCATCGCGAATCTCAGTCTTCGACGACAAAACTCATCCGATATGCTTTAAGCATTTTTTCTCCGCAAACTGTCCGCCGCCTGGGCAACATCCGCACGAACCACGAATCGCTTTACACTCTCTTCGTCGCAGACCAGAACTGCGTAACTACTCTTTTTATCAGCAACCGTGTTTACTCGTCACAAAAGAAGGAAAGCACTCACTATAAGTGAACTTCAGCAGCGTGTCCGGCTGTTCAGCATATAGGCTATCGATGCTCTTCCTTGACGTATGGTCCACGTCGAAACCGAGCAGATCTGCCAGCTGGAGCATTTCTTCAGCAGAGAGTTGGATAGCGGAATGAGTACCCCATTTAAGCGCTGTATACGCATTAACCAGAGTGAGGCGGTGAAAGGGTCACAGGAAATGTACAAAGATTAGGGATCCAGGAGAAGACGACAGTAACTTACGTCCAAGATTAATCCACAGTCCACCAGGCTTCAGCAGCCGATGTATATTACCCAAGAAGTCAACCACGTTCTTGGAAATATCGATAAAAAACAGTGTGACAACAGCGTCGAACTCTCCGTCCTGAGGAAACATGTCCAGAAAATCACCCTCTACGAGCTTGACCGCTTTGTTCGGCCAATGATCCGGCACTGTCAGGGTGGAGTAGCGTGAGGAGGGATTGGACTGATGCGTCCATTTGGTCACAAAGGGCTGGAATGTGTGTTGGTGCAGCGAGCTCGTGTGGTTCGTCAGCAGGTGGTAGGCCATGATGGAACCGTAGTCCAGCTCGTTAGCCGTGACGTCGTACCCTGCGCCTGTGTAAGCCTGCGTCAACAAGAAGGGATAATGGACGCACCAAGATCAGCGATATCGCTTGCCAGACGGCCCAAACCACTTCCTGGAACAAGTATCCTTTTCCCCCTCCCGTTTCCACCAAAGTGTTGCTCAAGCCCATGCAAAACAGGCGGAAACACAGTTTGTCTCTCCTTTGCACCCTGCGGGCTCCAGTCTCGCGAAAGGTGTCCAAAGACCAGGTCCACCGCCCCGAAATCAGCGTCTTCTTTGTCCTCGAGTGCTTCTGGGCCGGTGTGGTAATATTCTCTCGCTATATGCGCCATCTGTTCCGAGAAACGGGCGTTCACCTCGATTCCCTTCCTGGCTTTTTCAAAGTGCGCAGGATAGCCGAGTTTGTTGCTTATGGTTTTCTGCGTAGGTGTCTGCTTGGTGTATCGCGCATATTTCCTTTGGAGCACACGCTCAGCGAGGAAAGGATACTGCTCGAAGGAGTTGATACAGTGAGCTAGTCCATCGGAGAGGGAAGGGTACTTCCTCCTTTCACTCTTGTATGAATTGGCAGCCTTGGCATCTTTGGAGATCTGTGTGGAAGAGGCGGCAAGCTGGGAGGTGAGGGCAATGTGAAGCGCTTCAGTACGCTCAGATAGGGAAGATATGAGAAGTTTAATGTCGGATAGAGAAGCGGCGGCACGAAGGGCGAGGTAGAGGGGGAAGACAAGGCAGAAGAGGAGAGTGAGGAAACGAGTGAGGTAGAGGGAGGTGCGCATGGTTGTGCTCGTGGCTCCAAATGGACGTACCGTCAGTACCGCGAGGGAAAGCAGTGTATATACAAGCGTGAAGGATGTGATAAGGTGTGACTATCAGTCTAGTCTGGCGCCTGTCATTCCTCATCCGTATATCGATAACACAACGGCCAAGCCTCGATATCAAACGTATCCTTCGGCGCTACAGGCACACTCTGGACGTCGAAGCCCATGTGATGATCGGCGTGAGCATTGAGGTCATAGCGCTCGTCGGTCATGTTCTGCGGATTTAGAGGTATGCCGGAGAAGGCAGCAAAGTTAGATGGGTGTTGGCGCTGCCACTATGCAATCCATGTCAGCAGTTGGGATGGTAGTAGGGTACAGGGGTACGAAGGCGCACCTTACTCCACAGCCGATCGAGTTGCGCATGATGCAGCCAGAAAAGCGGGTCATTAGGCGTGAAGCTTATCTTCATACCCCGGCAATCTTCCTTAGGCAGGACCTTTGGACAGTCCCCTGCCAAGTCGCCCCCAACAAAATTGTGTACATGGTTGTGCATGAGTGCCATTGCGAACTGGAACCTGAAGAAGTCGCCTGTCGTTTGCTGCGTCGCATTACGCACAAAGTCTGGCCCAAGGGTCAGGTTTTGAGGTAGCTCATCGTCGAACCAGCCGGTTATGAGTGTCAGGTTTCTCCGCAGTGGATGGGGAATAGGCCAAGAGAGCTCGAAGTTCCCGGTGGACGGGGCAAAAGCGCCTGTGGTAACGATACAATCTGCATCGGGGGACGAATCGCAATCCCCCGTTCCTCCCAGCCCATATTCGGGAGAATCCTCGAACACTGGTGCATCGAACATGTTTGCGTGATCGCGTGACCAGTCCCAGTATGGCGTTGGTCCGCTGTACCCGCATGTCTGGCGAAGAGAGGTGTCGAATAGGTGGAGAAACCAGCGATCTGCGGCCACGTAAGCATGTGTTTGGGGAGGAGCGGGACGGGACGCCCGCCACGGCAAAAAGTAGGCGTTTTTATGCGCACTATGTTCGGTCGATGCATGTGAGTAAGAAAAATCGTCGTAGAGGCTCCTCTTTCCCTCAAGCATATCCTGATCCTTGGTCAAGGATAGCCGTTCGTGTCGTATGCTTGCTAAGCACTTGACTGCTCCCACCCACTCTCTTTTCTCGCTAGTTGTCAACGTCCGCCACTCCTTGCGTGTCAGCAGTTCACCACACTTATGTGACTCTGGTTCCTTCCAGTCGTGCGCATAAGAGAGGTGGAAGCTGGGAAAGATGGTGAGTACGCAGAGAAATAGCATCGAACGGCCCATAACTGCCACGTAACCAGATAGAGAACAGCGAGTAGGCACAGAGAAGTGATGAGGTCGCAATACTTGGGTAATCGCAGTACATCCCACCGCCTAAATAGGTAGGCTCCATACCAACTCATTAGTGCAAAGGCACGGGGTACGACGGATACTCCCTGATGTCACGTACTTAGCGACACATCCTGGTACCTGTCTCCCAAACCGCCTTGCATCCGAGAGTGGATCTTATCTCAGATAAACCAGCATCGTCAACCCCACATCTCTCCCGCATTATCTTCACAAGCTCCTGCCTTTTCGAATTACATCTGCCCAGAAGATCTGACGCTAACGTGTGGCTAGGGAGGACGTAAACAGCCATCTGATCATCCATTTCTCTTTATGCGAGGCAAAGAAAGGCAGCACTCGCATAACACGGTACGCCTTGCAGAGTTCCACTCACTTGCGAGCGATGCCATATCAATCGTTCCTTATGGTCGTATTTCCCATCTGACCGTACCCACTAGTCTCATCTATGCTCTCATTCATCCCCAAATTCCACTCCCCATGACGCCTTTCCATCCAATCATGCACCTGTCTCCAATCCCGACAGGTATGCAGAGTCCCTACCCCGGAGGCGACTGTATCCCCACTAGCCAATTTCATACTCATGTTCCCCGGTTCTAGGGTTGTGTCTGCGGCGCAGAGAATGCTCTGCCGCAAATAATGGAAGCAGTGCGCTGTATACTCTGCGCCGTCGTTTCCTTTAACGAGCGAACCGCGTATGTGGTTAAGGCAGTGCATTTGGTGCCACATCGACACCCCGAAGGCCAAATGCTCCTCCCCTAGAACAACGAAACCCTTCCCTGGAGGAAGAATCGCGTCCCATTCAGCCTGAGCGGTGATGCCTTCTATCCCATAGTGTGATGGGTCATCATGAAAGGCGGCCTGAATGGTGCGAACCTTCAGGGGCAGCTCGCGGGGTCGGTCACCAGCGAGATAGGCTGCTGCATGTTAGCTCCGAACGTCAGATGAAGCTGTGACATCGCTCACTGTACTCCCGCGGTCGGCGCGTTAAGATGCTAAGGGAGAAGAAGAGGATGGCAAAATTCAAAAGGATGGAGACGCATAGCGCAGCGATCAAGCTACAGAAGAGGCCACGTAGGTGCGGGGCTAGAGATTTAGGAACCATCTTAATGTGCTGGTAGGGGTGATGCGTTGAGGTAGTAGAAGGAGACGGGAGATGGTTGACCACCAGGAGGGAACTGTTTACAAGTCTATCTCCGCCGAGTCACGCATTCAGAAGAGCGAGATAGGAGAAGACCCCTGCGGGAATGCTCCACATAACGGAGCTCTACGAATTTATATGACTTTGCCGATCACAGGCACCTTATTTGGTAGGGTACGCCAGTAGGTGGAGAAACGCCTCGTATGATAACGCAGTCTTGAGCCAGTAATGGTACATATCAAGCGGCTTAGTGTATGAAGTTGGGGGTGAGAGACGGATCTACTGATTTACACAAGTATTGTAGCTAGTCTGGACGGCGCTACCGGGGTTACTACTGTACTCTCTCCCACCATGACGCTGGATTGCAACGGAGTAGTGCTTCATGCAACAACAGGCCAACTGAGCAGGTGATCTAGCGGTGGTTAATACACCATCAATCCAGTCACCAATCCGCCACTTATCAATAGCTTCTTCCTGATCGGCAAGAAAGCTGGAACGGCGAAGCAGCTGATTGCGTCTTCGGTGGGTCCTAATAGTACGAACTTGCGCGCTTCCTGTTTGGCTTCAAACGTTCTCTGCGTTTCAGAGGTCTAAATGCTGAAGATTTTGACACGTGGATATAGCGATGAGATATCTATGATGGCAGTAACATAACACCAGTAGGCACCACTTAATAAGACGATATACAAATAGCTCAATCAGATAGCTTGTGAAGCTCACGAGAACTCGAAACGATCGCCAAAAGGTTTCCTTGCAGGTCGATAGGTATGGACTACTTGGAGGAGTTAGCAGAGCTATACGAGCTGACCAATCCTGTTCAGGTGGAAGACACCCGATGCACATGCAGCTGCTAGCCAGGAACAAGCCTTTTAGCGCACTGGGCTTTTAGTCTTATCTCTGCAAAGCAGTCAGGTTTTGACCAGGGTATACAGCCACCAAGGCCTGGTTGCTTTGGTTTCACTCTGAACCACGATCACGTCAAATGCGCTAACAGCGGAGCGCTAACTTGTCATGCAGTTGTTACAGACGACCGCCAATCTACCTTCTCCATATGCATCTTCGTTGACCTTCCTTAGAAGATCTGTTCAGAGGGTAAACTGCATAAATACTCAAGAGAAAGACCAAAACTAATAGCATCCCATCCACAGTCTACTCCTTTGCCTTTTACAACCAAAGCATCTACTTCTTACCAAATTGCAACAATGCAGCTCATCATCACTCTTCTCAGCCTCGCCAGCATTGGCGCAAATGTCCTTCCTGTTCAATCTGCGGTGGTTCCCGTCGCTGCTGCCTTGGGCCCTCGCTATCAATGGGACGATGAGGTACCACATCGTCGCCGTGCTGAGGCAGAGTTGGACATGCCCGTCCGTCGCTCTGACTATGCCCATGAATACAGACGCGATCCCGACGAGAAAGCCCACGAATACAGGAGCGACAATGACGAGAAGGCCCATGAGTACAGAAGCGACAACGACGAGAAAGCCCATGAATATCGCGCAGTTGCGGATTACTGAGTTCAGATGACCAAGCTTCACAAAAGCCTGCTCGAGTAGTTGGCTTAAGTTTTGTGGGAAGTGCGGTAGGCCAGGGTGCCTTGGCGGTAGTATTGCGTGGATTTAGCTCAGCTCTATTATACTCACCACACTCATTTGATCACCATAAGAGACAATACATACAACACAAGATAGGTTATTATACTTCAAATACAAGAGCCAATTTGCTCGCTCGAATGGAGAAACACAGCTGTGCCTCCTTCCCCCTACTCAGTCTTAAGTTTGTTTTCCTTCCTAGCTGAAAGTCCTTCTCCCGCTGTGACTCGAATGTAAAACAGGTTCAGAAGAAAATCACACTATATTTACATAAAACTACTGCTCTTAAACATTTTACCTAAAGGTACTCATCTGGCATAGAGATAAGCGTCTCGTTGTTAGCCGCGCACATGGCCGGATGATCCTCTGGTAGAGCCATCATGTTGGCCATCTTAACGTCTGAGCACTGTCTTTGCATCAGCATGAGCTCTATCTCTCACAAGCTGAAGCAACTGACATAGTATTCCCAATTGCCCGTCTTTGAATCTTTGGCCTCAAAATACATGACACCAATCTCGTCAACAGCTGTCTCGAACGGTATCGTGACATTCACACATAGTTGTCCAGAAGGCTGGATGGGTACGTCTTGCATGATGATGAAGGGGAAGTCTTCCCTCTCTCTCGGCACCCTATGTCGGGTATAGAGGACCGTCACAAGATCCCCAGGATGGCCTGAAAACGAGAGAAAACCGCGGGATCGGCGGGAGTACCGTTGCGGGTTATGCAATATCTCCCCTTCCTGGTATCAGCCCACGCGGTCGAGCCAAAGACAAGGAAAGATATGAGTACATACCACAAAAAGGAACGTATCTATCAATCGATGGTCGTCCGCGAGTCATCCATGGAAATTGGACGTGAAAGCCGGCGTGTGCGGCGTAGACTAGGTCGGCGCTAATGGCAAATAGGAATGTGATTGTAGTAAGAGGGGCCATGATTGATAGAGGTGAGTTTACGTTCTGCAAGGTGGAATGCCAGAGCAAGATGTAGTGGGCTCAGTCGGTCTAATGCCAGAGTTAGGAAGCCTTGCGAGTCGTGTAGGGTCCCACCCCAATATGGCTAGACGCTGATCGCTCTCGGGTCGGCCCAGTTTTGGTAGCTTCAGATAAGACTTAATATTAATATACCAAGCGGGGCGGGGCGGCTCACACAAGCCTTCTGCAAGTCACACGCAAGCTTTTTGGCATGGTTGCTTGTCTTTAGGCCTCCCGCCTGCCACAAAGATGCACAGGGTTTAGTCCCGCCACGCAGAGATGCATGTGAGATCCTGCACAATCTCGAAGGCACGGCCAGCTTGTAACCAAACGTGCTTTCTCTGGCTAACGGAAAGTCTTTCGGCGAGAGCGAGTGTATTCGATAGCAAGAGAGAACGGCAAGGCTTATCTGGCGCCATGCAACCCCATTTTCTGAGCCAGCGCCTGTTTTGACCTTCGCTTCGCTCACGGCGCAGTCCCTTCCCCTCACTCCGCTCTCTGACCACGTCTCTCCATGTTCTTCTCCAAAGCCAAACCTAGCTCCTCCAAATATGCCCCCCTGGCGATAGACGCTGACGGTGAGGAGACCATCAAAAGTCCCGAGAAGCGGTCCATCTCTGAGGATGACGACTCTTCCCTTTCCCTGATTGCATCAAACAATCTGCCCTCCCTTGCACCATCCAAACTCTTCCAGCTACCCAAAATCGTCGCTTATCTCTCCTTCGCCCTGGCACTGCTATCAGCAGCAAATATCGCTCTCCTCAACGTCACTCTAGCAGAATATCAAGCCTACCCATTCTCTGACTCTGAGCTTGAGGCGCTTCCTCACGGCGATGCCAGACTAGGACTAAACAGAGCAGCGGGCATGCTTGCCCCTTCCCATATATATCAATATTCTTGGGCAGATAGAATTGCACGAGTGAGCCGAAAGTTGAAGAGTACTGTGTGGGGCCAGGGGGTACAGGTGTATGTCACGGTTGAGGTTCGTCTTTTGTATTTGCTTCTTCTGCGTCTCCTTTAATGAGTCATCTACCTACTCTGCCTCGACTCTTAGGTCCGCATCTGCTAACGAACAAGAAGGACTCGACAATAATGCGCTTTCCGGTCCCCTCCCCTGGCATCAATGCTTGCGCACTTACCTGGAGTCCGCCTCTTGAGTTTTCTGCGCGTACTTGGAACTTCACAACGAAAGGGGATATCACGGAGATCGAGGTCTGGCAGCTGATCGCGCCCTCTCCCGCCTCCGCCATCACCCCCTCTGGTATGGATGAGCTCGACTATGATACCCTGTCATACTCGACCCTTCCTGTGCGTGGAGAGCTTCTCGGGGTACTGGATCTCACGGTCAAGCTGAATAGCACAACATTGGAGTTCGCCTGCCCCAGCGAGGCACAGAATCTGATCGTGGAGATGAGGTGTCAGCGGGTGGCGTGTCATTTAAGCTATAATCAGCTTGACGTGGCCTCGGGTTTCGGGTTTAGTCTGGCAAGGAGACAAGAATGAGCGGAAGTAGAGTAGTTATGTTGCTTCCCACCCGCGTCTTTATCTATATAGTACGGATGACAAAATGCCACGATCCTGCATGAGAACACAAGCTCTGTTCGAGAGACCACACTAGACTGAGGACGGGATGTAGAACCGATGATTTGTAGTAAAATCTATTGACACACGATCACCTTAGTCTACCTTTCCTCAACTATCATCCTACCACGAATAATGTCACGTGGGTACTTTGGCAAGGATGTAACCCACCTTCCCACACAAGCTTAGCTCGATTCTCACAACATTGTGTTCATGATATCTTATAGATAGCCCACACAGAACCCGCCTAGTGGTCTGTTGTACAACACTCATCAAGCACAACATGTCTACCCAATTTGACGCTGAGTCTATCGCTCGTCTCTCTCTACACGACGCGACCAACTTCGGCATTCAGCATTCCCAAACCCTTCACCGTCTAGCAATTCTGCAGCACTGGAGAGTTTCCACTGGTTCGAAAGTACTGGAACTAGGATGTGGGCAAGGAGATTGTACGACTGTGCTTGCCTCCGCCGTGGGTGAACAGGGCAAGGTCGTCGCCGTTGATCCAGCGGAATTGGACTATGGTACCTCTTTTCCGTTCCTACCTTACTGCTGTCTTTATGGATGAGCAAAGCGTAGCGGACTAATCCTCTTACAGGCTCTCCATATACTCTAGGCCAAGCACAGGATCACATCTCGCGAAGCCCGTTAGGTAGGCAGATTGCTTGGGTCCAACAGTCTCCCGTGGACTATCTCTCATCACTGCCAACCAGCAGCAGTCAAGAGTTCGATGCTACAGTGCTCGCCCACTGTCTGTGGTACTTCTCCTCCCCTTCACTTATTCTTTCCACTTTCCGGGCCATCAAGCAGCACAGCAAACGTCTGCTCCTTGCCGAGTGGTCTTTGGTAGCGACACACTCCTCTTCTCAGCCTCACGTACTAGCTGCGCTCGCGCAGGCAGCGCTGGAGTGCCGTAAACCCAATAGTATCTCAAATATACGCACAGTGCTGGGGCCAAAGCGTCTTACCGAGCTAGCTCTGGCTGCCGGGTGGCAATTGGAGAGTGAGAGCCGTGTGCAGAGTGGAGAGGGGTTGTTGGACGGACAATGGGAAGTCGCTGCTTGTCTCTCTCCTTCTTTTGAAAGACAAGTAGAGGAGAAGATAAGTGATGAAAGGGAACGAGGGGTGGTTTTAGCATTGCGGGATGCATGTGAGGCGAGCTTGGAGAACGTGCCGGGAGGACCGAAGGGAGTTCGGGCGATGGATGTTTGGGTTGCTAATTTTGTTTGATCAGGCGAGCGGAGGATGTCGTCCGGGGAGAAGTCAGATCTGGTATTGTCTCTACGTAGTGTGACCGCACCTACATCTTGGTTGGTACGCTCGTATAATCTAGTGCAAATCTTGACCTTTGATGTAACCACCAGAGGTCTTACTTCGATTCTCATGACCGAAGGATTGCTGTGCTGCATCTGAGCATCCATCGTCATTCATGTAATGGTAAGCCCTATCTTGGTGTCATCCAACCGTCACGCTGAATCTCCGAGGAAAAGGTCTCGGGTTGGAAGGCACAGCTCAGCTTCTCGGGATGAAGCTTACCCGGCGAGCAAATCCCAGTGCATACGCTTCGTCGCAGCCGATGCAACATCGACTACGTTAGATGGGAAGAGCTAGGAGGACCCAGGCAGCCACTCGATCCTTCGGGCGGATACAAGCAATGACAAGGCCTTGGAGTGACGACAGTGGTAGAGGATTACCCAAAGTTACTTCGTCTTGTGGGGAAGGTTGGGGTTGCGGTGATAGAAGGATGCTTCAATGCAAGGCCACCCTCAGCATACGAAGACATTTAATCTATAGTGGAACACAGACTGGTTCAATTAGCCTCAATCATACCTGATCTTCCTCGTAAGGTGTTGTATTTAGACCCCACGGGGCGTACGGAACGCCTTACCCACCCCCAGGTTTCGGGAGTGCAGAGAGATGAGGTTTAGTTCCATGCAGGTCGCGATCCGTCGCGCAGCCGTTCTTCCCGGTTTCTATTCTCCATTTGGTAATGGTTATTCATAGCCTCCTAAGGAATCAATTTGGTAAAGGCCTCGAAAGGTGTATAAAGTCGTCCTGTGTCATCTTGGATATCCCCTCATCAACACAACTCGCATCCTCTCTTCACGTTCCATTACCCAGAACAGCACTCTTCTCTCAAGAAGCAACCAATCATCCTCTTGCAATCACCATGCGTTTCGCTGCCATCATCGCTGCCCTCGCCGTCACGGCCACCGCGCTTCCCGCAACCTCGCTAGAGCAGACGGGTGCATCTCTTGGTACGTGATGTTTCTGTCACCAGTCTCCACGTCCGGGGTACTTGGATAGTGAAAGCCCTGGCTAACGATTGGTTCTCATGTTAGACGCTCAGGCGGCCGCTTGTGCCCACCAAGACTCATATGACATCTGCCGTTCTAACTGCAGCCCGCTCGCTCCGGCGTTCGCCTGCCAGATCAACTGTCTCATCGCCTATTGTGCCTAAGGTACTGCATCGAGCGATTGAAGCGTAGTGGAGCGGTACTGGATGGGGAGGATCCTGATTCACTGTTGAAGTAGAGTTGATAGGGTTGGAGACACGCATGCTTTCATGTAGGGCCTATAGACTGGCCAGCCATTCGTTGCCCTTGTGCACAATAGAAATCAGTCAGAACCGAGTCAGATTAGTCTTCTCGCCGCAGATCCATGTGAAAGTCCAGAAATCTAATGTTTAGTATTGATAGAGCAGATAATGTGTAGATTGGATATCATGTTCAGTACATACCCAAAACGCCCAAAACCGGAAAAGCATGCCATATCAAAGAGTCGTCAAGAATGAAGGGTGTTCCCGCTGCCAAACCATTACGCCGTGCAAAACCCCCCATCAAATCATTATTATGTCATGTCGACTAAAATTTACTAGCGCCGTCCAAAGCCATTGGCCATCTGTTTCTGTACATACTTGGCACCCTCTTTCTTGATGATGGGCAGCGCGTAGTCCTTGAACATGCCCATAGCCTGCCTCTGCCACTCAGGCTGTCCGGGCTTTCCTGGCTTGCCCACGTCTCCTCTACCGCTCCTACGGCGGTCATCATAGCGGTCGTCATCGTATCGACCGCGCCTGTCACGATCCCTGTCGTCGTAGCGAGAGTCGCGACGCGGCTTGGTGTTGAACATGTCGTCGTAGCGGTCGTCGTAGCGGTCATCGCGGCGTCTGCGATCGTCACGTGGCTTGTCTCGGCGGTCGCGGTCATCGTAGTAAGGGTCGCGGTCCTTGCGGCGGCGGTCCGACTTGTAGCCTTCAGACTTGTAGCCATCGCGTTCACGCCGGCCGTCGTCCTTGGGTCTGCGAGGCGGATAGTGTTCGTCGTATGAGTCGTAGGTATCCTCGCGCCTAGATCTACGGGGACGATCGTCGCGGGGGCGGTCGTCGCGGTGACTGCGTCGCGGAGGGGGCGGGGAGTCTGATTCCGAGTCGTCGGACGAGTACGAGGGCTGTCTGCGATGGCGACGTGGGCGAGCGCCGCGGTCTCGGTGGTCACGAGGATCTTGCTTTCTGTTAGCCGGTGTTGGGAAACTGCCTTGACGAGCCAACATACCTGGCGGAGGGGGAGGGGGGTAGTCTGATGCTCCAGGTGGAGGGGGAGGGTAGTCTGATGCACCGGGCGGGGGAGGCGGATATTCTGAAGCTCCCGGCGGGGGTGGTGGATAGTGTGCAGCGCCGGGTGGGGGAGGAGGGTTCATTGGGTATGGCGGCGGCGGCGCATCGTCTTCAGCAGGCCGTTCCTTTCGGGGACGACGATGATCGCCCCTGCGGCTATTGCGATAGTCGCGGTAGTCTCTCTGGTTGTCCTTTCCAGGCGCCCATTTCGGCTTGCCATTTTCGTAGTTCTCAAAGTGGTATGTGGAATCTGCTGTGCCTTGTTAGCGCTGTGCCTACAGACTGGGCAATGGCATCTTACGGGGTGGTGGCTGCCCCATGGGCGGAGGCGGCGGCGGCGATATGGACGGGTCTCTATTTCTGTCACGGCGTCCCATACTCGTAGGCGGGTGGTGTTTGTGTGGTGAAGTTGGCTGTGGTGGTGGTGTTGAGGTTTGAATGTGGACAAGGAAGTGTGGCCTAATGGCAGGCGGCGAGCATCTGACACTTAAAGCGCGGCTCTCGGCAGGGCTGCAGCTCTCAGCTCAGTCTCACAAGACACCATGTCGTCATCTGCCCTATTGCCTCAGCCCGTAGCGCAGAATTGGATTTTTGCGGGGCTTCCGACGCTTTTCGAAGCTTCGCGACGGCGTGGCAGAGGTCGAGTGGGCTGTGTATGTAGGCTGCGATCATCGTGCATGGGTAGCACCTCTGCCCGGGCCCACTCCTGCAAGCCATAGCCGATAGCCACACTCGACTGGCCAGCTTGCGCGCGCTCCAAAAGGACCGACCGTTCCCCCGCACCATCGCGTGGGATACTGGCAGATCAGGGTCTCGCGGAGCATATCCATGGATGTTTCTATGGAGAATGCTACGTGGTCTCCAGACGGTGGTCTACTCATCCTCATCTCCTCACACGCCCAGAAAGACGTCAGGGGCCACTGTGTCACCCAATCGCGACACTTGCTGACCATGTCTCGTTACCTCGTCACTGATGTCCTGACCTTGACCACGGTCACGGGGAGCGGTGAACGTCGACACCGAATACAGACTAGCCGTCTCATGACTCAACCTATCGGTGCCTGCATCCATCAATCACATTGAGATTGAATATCCTGGGTATTTCCACGATATCAAAGGCGCCCACCGACACATGGTTGATAAAGCGGCCTACGTCATACCGACTGCGCGTTGTTAGGGAGCTTGGATTCATCAACGTCATAAAGTTTAGAAGATCTTCATAGCCAGACGAGTGGGCGACGGCTTCGATGAGCCTCCGACGCCTACTACGTATGTATTGACTAGCTGCCATGATGCCTATTCCAGCTTCACCAGTACAATCACTCAAGACTCTGGCTTGCGACTGGCACTCTAAATCTCCTTTTTCCATTCCAAGACCAGTCTAGCGCAGCGCCTAGGATAATCGCACCAAGAATCGGTCCGGCATACTAGATATGGATGTATGGATTCAGCGTATATTTCACATGCACTTAACATGGAGACACTTACGTTCATATTGAACCTGTCCAGAGGAAGGACAGTCGGGAGCGGCATCCAAATGAAGGTGAATAGGATGTAGCACAAGGCACCAATGTTGATATATGGCCCCGCAATGCCCAATCTAAATGGTCCCCATGGAATTGGCGATGGTGCCGTCCTCGACATTCGATGCCACAAAAGGAACAAGACAGGAAGGAAGTACGAAAGGTACAAGCCCAATGCTGTGAGAGAGATGATAGCGTTGAACGCCGTGCTTGAACCGACGTTGATCAGAGCGAGTATGCAAACACAAAGAGCACTGAGATATAGCGCGTTGACCGGCACTCCAAAGGTCGGATGAACCTTTGCGAATGCAGACGAACATGGTAATCCCCCGTCTCTTGAGAAAGCCCAGATGAGACGTGAGACTGAAGCGAAGACGTTGAAAAAGGATACAAAGATGATATATATTAGCATAAAGATGAACAGGTTCGTAGCTGCTTTAGATCCAGTGGCTTGGTAGTAGACCTCGATGATCGGCAGAGGTGAAGCGGAGACACGTTTTGCGTCACCAATGGTGAACAAGACAGTGATCATATAAATGAGTTGCATGAGGCCGTTAACCACGACGGAGAAGATGATAGACCGTGGAACCCGGGTACGTGCTTGTTTGACTTCATCAGACATGTGAATGATACTATCGAAACCTACAGATCATTAGTATGTCCGAGTTAGAGATTACTTCCGCTAGCTTACCACATAGAGGGTAAGTAACAGTGATGAGTCCTATACCCCAGGCTACTGCCGAGTTGTCCCATCCGCTGACGTCCTTGGTCAAGGTTTGGAAGACGTATTCTGTAGAGCTTTTCTGTGCCATGACTGCAGATGGGAAGACACAGAGTCAACATATGCCTCACGTGCACTTCGTAGAGTCTAGCATACCTAATAATGTAATGACACCCGCAAGAAAAAATCCAACATGGCATATCGCTCCGACTGTTTCGAGTATGTTGATAAACTTGGGTAGCCAGAGGTTGCCAATAAAAGGAATGGCTGTCGCAGCGCACATGATAAGTGTAGTATGCCATCGCTGGGAGACGTATCCCTGGTTGTTAAAGGAAGCCAAACCGACGACAATGTTCGCTATCAATGCTGGATTGGAAGCACAGCTACAGACCCAGGCGAAAACCGTAATCCACCCTTGCATCAAACCGAAGAAGCGGTTCCACCTCGGTGCAAAAGTAGCAGACCACCTATACTGAGCGCCGACCGTAGGATCCATGGATGACATTTCAGCAAGTGACAGGGCCACTAATATTGTTCCAGCCCAAGCGAAGATGCTGCCATAGACGATGGAGGCTGGACCGCCATTGCTCAACGCGAATTGGAAAGTAACTGCAGATGCTTCCCATGAACATTGCATGAGGAAATTAAAGTTTACCGAAGAGGGGGTATTGATGTATCGCTGAAGGGCATTAGAGAAATCGTGTACTTGGACTGTGAGCGTACGTGTAGTGCCCCTCCTTCAAGGCCTCCTGCGCCATTAGCCCTCTGGCCCTCGACAGCATCTTGTACAGTCTCCTTGTTGGTGCTCGTTATATCGCACTCTGAACTGACCAGCGTCTTTTCTGTCATTTTCATCATCGGCCCAGGCAGTCGTCTGATTTAGAAAAGTCATCTCAGGAACATCGGGCCAACTTCTTTTCTTATCGACGCAAGTTTTTTTTTCCGCAGACATTAGCCTTAAAAACTGCATACATAACTGATGATCATACGCCGTACAAGGCGATGGCATGCATGTGTGTCAAGGAGCTGTGCAGCATAAGCTGCTACTTTTACCCAACGGCCATTCGAGGCCAAGCAAACATATACTATCGTGCATTGCGGATACCCTGTCAAGCGCTTACTCTTCAATCTGTGATAGGTCTGTTGTTCACGCTCTATGCTCTCAACATATCAGCCTTGCCTCGTTCGGGCAGCACTTAGCCACAAACGTTTGATATTTGAATAGCACATCGTTTGGAGATGAACAGTGACAATCGACACCGTTTCTGCAAGGTATGCAGCCCCTGAGTCGTCTTACGAAGAACTGAATCTCGGACGATGACGGCTTCCGTGAAGCAAGCCGATTAGCGGCATTGAATGACGTAGTGTTTGGGGTCTGAAGACCCGACTGTCGCTCTCTAAATAGTAGGGTACATAAAAGACACGAAACACGCGATCGGCGGCAGTAGAGACTATCGCCAATCCCAAGGTGACAGCGATGATGCAGGTGGATGAAGAGGTGGCTGGACGGTGATGCCCAGGGTCGAATTTCCTCCCTCTTGATCCACAAGCCGACGTTTAGCGTCAGCCCTCCCGCCGCCTTCACAACTCTAAATTTTACTTTACATCCACGCCTGTTGGTTGGGCGTCCCCGCCCCCGCTAATCGACGCGCATCCGCTACGCATCAAGCTTTCGCAGCAAGTCCGCCCACTGGACGACTGTAAGGAACCTGATCTAGCTCGGAAACCCTCACAGATCCTGGCATTTCGTGCAGTTCACTTTCCCCGCCAGCTAACTGTGCAGGGTTGCCATCCTGCTCGTATCGATAAATGTCCTTTGGCGTGTACTCTTCAGGTACACGGGTCGAGGGAGTCGCATCTCGCGCTCTCTTGCGCCATCGCAACGCCTGAGCGATGAAAATCCCCAAACCAATCAAGGCGATAGCTCCGAGTGCTGCCCCAACACCGATGCCAGCTTTCGCACCCGCAGACAGTTCACTGTTGCCGGTGGCTATCGCTGTGCTCGTTGCTGGCAGCGTCGTTATCGAAGACGAGATCATGGACGACATGGTTGAAGAGACAATCGATGAAGTCGCTGTAGGTATAGGGTCCCCGAAACGCGCCGCGATCGTGTATCGCGGGATAGTGCTCCTCTCAGCGCAGCATTGATTCGAAGACCCGCAACACCACGTTGCCGAATCAGCAGCACCAGTACAAGGTGTGACTATTTCATCGTTGTCTCTTTGCGAAGGGCTCTTTTTCAAGTTAGCTTTAGTGGCCTATACAAACGCCGTGCCTTGTGTACCTCCGCTGAGCAAAGCTCCTGGCATCCTCCTCCTTCCCAGCTGCTCTTCGTACACGTTTCTCGATAGATGGTCGACGAATCCTTATTCTGGCACAGTCCGTTCGGTAGTAAGTTATCCCACGAAGCGCAGCAAATGGTGCTGAGTGGATTCGAGGTATCGTTAATTCTTGGTGCGTACGCAGGATGCGTATTCTCGGTTCCGTTGCGCCAATAGCAGGCTGCCATCGCTTTCTGCAGGAAAGTGTGATGTTGTAGTAGAAGTACGGTGACTATATAACGCGACACGACAGGAGGCTGGAATGACTGAAGAGCCAAAAACCAAGATGAGATTCGAGCTGGTTTTGGTACCAAGTAACAGGCCCCTTTTGAAAGATTGGCTTACCACCGCTCGCAAAGCGCTGGGGGCTAACTTTCATCGATTTTGACTGCCACCAGTGAGACACAGCGAACCAGACACCGAGCTTGAGCAACAAACGAGGTTTGTGAGTCTGCTCAGCCTTGTAACACTCGACGCTTACAACGGTTGGCTGATATGGTAGCAGGTAATCTCAAGCACGTAAGCCTTTACGCCCCAACCGTCTCACCGGACTTCGCCTCACCGAGTATAGCCCTCTAACTATAACCAAAGTACAACGGAAGTCCCGCTTGAAGCATCGTTATTTCTGCGGTATTCGACCTTGAGTAACACCAGCTTACCCTTTAGCTGTCAGCCTTTTGTATTGTCATAAACGGAAGCGATAGACCATAGCCCATACCATTAGCGAAGCTCATCAGTCTTTGAGATGAAGGTATGTATGTACTTGGTATTGTCAATATATACAATGAAGTCGCGAATATGGCACAGTTCAGCCCTCCTGAAAGAGCACTACGAGATGCTCAAGACCAGCTTAGGAAAGCTTTAGGTGCAGATGGTCCTCCCACCATTGCCAGTAAGACTCCACTTAGTCTTGTTAGCTGTGCAAGCTAGATTTGGGTATACCAAGTCAGTACATGTTTCACTTGCAGTTCGTATGGGGATACTTACGGCTCTCTCTCACAGTAGTTCCATCAACCTTAATCGCGATCGCGATGTCCCTGCTGTTTGCAAATTCGGTCCTGGCGGCAAGACGAACTTCACCACCGCCGCTAACAGTACCAGCCTTGATGTTGACATTGTAGCAGTTCTCGAGCAAGATGGCGTTGTTTCCAGTGTTGGCGACATCAATGGTGCCAATCTCCACACCACCAGAAGCAGAGACACAGAAGATTCCGCGACCACCACCACGAGCCTTGACACGGTTGACCTTGATATTAGTTGCGTATCCGCCGTTGAGCTTTCCAGCTTCGTTAGCAAAACGTAAGGCGGCGTATCCGGTGCCTGCGCCGCAATTGTCGCAGTCTACGGTGCCGATGTTTGCGTTTGTAACCTTTTGAACAAGTAGACCACACTCTCCGACATTCTTGCCGATTACGGAGCCGACCTCAAGCTTGTCGATGTTCCATGTCTCGACGCAGTGCGACGTGCCGCCGGTGCAGGTGATGGTGCCCATCTTGACGTTTGTGTTGGCTGCTCGGTCACGGTCGAATCGAATTCCCATCCCTTCCTTGAGATTGAAGTTGATGGTGCCTAGAGTCAGGTCTTTGGTGCCAGAGAAGCGCATGCCAAAGTAGGTGGAACCAGCCATGGTCAGGTAAGGGATCTTGACGCCGGACTGATCGGTCACTTCAATGTTTCCTCCTCCGCTTTTGGGAGAAACTGTGATAGTCCCGCAGCCTTCGAACGTCTTTCCACTCGTGATGGTAAGGGTGCTCGCGCCAATGTTACCGGACGCTATAACGGAAACACGCTGTCCACTGCTGATTCCATCGAGCGCACGTTGGATGGCTAGGCGGTAGTCGGAGCCAGTGTAGAGGTTTGTCGAGCCCTTGGTTGCTGTGTAAGAGCTACCGGATCCAGTGACTCGTGCGTCGGGTGTGCCGGAACCGCATTGAGCATAGGCAGCTGAGGCAAGCGCCAGCACCGCCGTGAGACCAGTGAATTGAACCATGTTTATCGCTTGGACGAAGGGAAAGGAACAGAGAAGATATGCTATGGTTGGTACCATTCACAGATCATCAGGGGCGCACTTCTTATAGGACCGAAAAGTACGGCGACGATCCTTCACTCCTGCACTTCTCCTCTCCAAATAATACCAAGACTCCGATATGACCTCCATCGGACCGCTTTCACCATTTCGGAGTCATATGCAAAACAGCGAAGTATGCCAATAAGCGGCCCACTCGTCACTGTCAGACAAACATCTCCCAAAGTAGTCTTTGCCGTAGTCCCGCCGATCAATTGCAAACACCAGTATCCGGATATACCACCTATCATACCAGGCTCTCAAACGCTACCATGTCGTCCAAGACTATTGGCGCCCGCGCCACTCTCGTTTCATAGTTTTAGCAACCCCAGATATTTCCAAGCTCGGCAGATTAACTACTTCCCGGCATGTTTGGGAAAATCTCCACCACTGTACTACCCCAGAACATATCCATATTGCGGTAGTATCCGATACTTGTCTCGTTTGCGTAAACCTTCCGCATTACTGCATACACGATGTCGTGTGTTGTCGACAGCCAGTTCGGTGCATCTACTCCCTGTGCCTCATGGTTACAGTTTAAGTGATCGTCCGGGGTGCGTATCCCCCGCAAAACCTCGTTTGCGCGCATCACGCGACGCCATGGCTCCACGTGAATATGCAGCCTACTCGGGTTGATTCACCCCGCTAGACGTTTCTTGGCAGCATATTTCTCCGCCGCGTTATCTTGTGCATATTGTTCCGCTGCCAAGGTTACCAAGATCAGCCATCCTGTTTCATCGCTTTTACAGCGGGACGGGTAAGAGGTTTCGCATGTTGTTCTAGAATTCATTGATTCATGGTGCCGCTAATACAATCAATCGGAGGACGCTTGGATTCAAAGCGCATCAAAATATTTACTAGATACAGTACCGAAATTCGAAGTCTCTGATCCCAAGAGAACAGCTTAAACTATGAAACTCTTCTACTCGAACACATCGCTCACGTACCTATCCTCCTTGATCTTTTCCAGCCACTCCAAGGCATCTTGTTCCGTCTTGCCTGGGAAAGTATCCCTAAAGATTTTCATGCACACTTCTGCTGTGCTCTTTGCCAACTTACTTGCACTACCACAGATGAAGATCTTCGCGCCTCCGTCCCCAAATAGCTCGGCTAACTCCTTCCGCTCGTCCCACATGCGATCAGGCACACGTTGCGCTTTCTCACCGCTAGGAGCGACCTTCGAGAAACAGCCACGCACACTGACGACGCCATCGGTCTCCCACTGCTTCAACTCATCAGAATAGATGAAGTCCTTCTCGTAATGACGACAGCCGAAGTACAAAATCGCCGGACCGACCTTCGCGTTACGAGCCTTCTTAATGGTTGCGCGCTCTTGGATGAAGCCCCGCATGGGAGCGAGACCTGAGCCTGCACATATCATGATAACGGGTACAGTCGGGTCGGAAGGTAGGTGAAAATTGATGTTTGTCGGACGCGGGAAGCAACGAATCTTCTCTCCCGGCTCTTGACGTGCTAGGTATGTAGATGCGACACCGTGGAAGCGGCGATCATCACCGCTCCATGCAGCCTCGTCGTGGACGTCGTAAGTCAGAGATGCAGTCAGACGCTGGCTAGCGTTTCCTTCAGCTGTCTGGACAAACTCAACATTAGCGAGGGGCGATGACGAAATGCTGTATTGACGAGGAGACAGTGGTTTGAGTGAGTCGAGATAAACCGCAAAAGGTAGCTGACAGTCTGGATGGTCTTCGAGAATATCAAGAATACTGTAGCGCTTGGGTATGACTTCTTTCTTGTACGTCTCGTCATTTGCTAGGTCCAATAGTCTGGCCCGTTTGTTCTCCGGTGTCGCCTCTGCAAGAGTTTGTAGTTGCTTTTGCGAGATCGGCGTACCCAGTTCCACACGTGTCATCAGCAGATCGAAGATCGAGATTGGTGCTTCGGTCGTGATGAAAGTCTTGTTGGTTCCAGTGATATGGATGTTGTCATCAGGTGACAGGTCGAAGCGCTTCATCACCCGTCTGACATTGGATATGCTGTTGAGCGGCAGGATGACCATATAGTCGCCTGAACGATATGATGTCCCCGGTGGAAGTTCAATCTCCATGTGCTTTTTGGTAAGGCCGACCTCGCCGCCACCCAAATCCTTGTTGACCTTAACTTCACCGTAACCGATTTCTTTACCTCCGAGGTACGTGGCGAACTTCGGAGGTGTGATGTCGGCCTGAAGCTGTCCACCGAGTATTTCAGTAGTAGTGCCACTCGACTTGCGAAGATCACTCCACATTTGTTCAGACCACTTCTCCCACGGACCCATGATATCTTCTTTCACATTGACGAAACCGGTCTCAGTAAAGTGTTTCGCGCCCATCTTCTCGAACAACTCATCGGTAAGTTTGGGAACACGGTGATATGAATGAGTCCAGTCGCTATTTCCGACCCCAAAGACAGCATACTGAACTCCCTCAAGCAGCTTGGAGTTTGCATTGCTCTCAAGCCATGCGGTGAACTTCTTTGCATTGTCAGCTGGCTTGCCTTCGTAAGACGGTTCAATGATGACGATAGGCTGGTCCTTAGGAATATGCTCAGTGGCTGAGTCCAAACTGCCTATGTTTGCCTTGAATCCGTATCGCCCAGCATTGGTCTCTAAGTCCTCGGCATAGGACTTGCATGTACCGGCGTTCGAACCGTAGAGTACTGTAATGGGCTTGGCATCTTTGGTAGGTGCATTTGGTTCTCCAGTCTTGCCGAATCCATCGCCATCATCCTTCTTGGCAGCAGTGGTACTGGTACCAGCGCCACCCAGACTAGCCATTGTACGTCCAGGTCGCCTGCGCACTTTGATCTTCAAATCCTTCGGTTTTTGCGTGATGGTGACTGCGACATCTGAATAATTGGATCAGCAGTGTTCCTGTACATCAGGAAAATGATACACATACGAAGCTGGTAACCAGGATCCGCTAGCTCAACCTGAAACTTCTGCAAAATGAGTGCGACAACCATGATCATCTCCTGCTCAGCGAATGTCCTACCAATACAAGCGCGTATTCCATCGCCGAAAGCCTTCCATGCGTTTGGAGGAAGATTCTCCCAACCGCCGTTGAGAAAACGCTCGGGCCGAAACACGTCAGCATCGTCGCCATAGACTTTAGGGTCATGATGGAGTCCTTTTAGGTTCATCAGAATCTGGTCCTTTGGCTGCACCTGATATTTTCCCTTGTTGCCATTAGCACACCAATCATATTGCTGGGAAAATAAACTTACTGCAATCTTAGTAGGCTTCAACGAGTGCTTTCCATTGATTGCAATGGGGCCAAGGAAACGCAATGCCTCGTAGATTGCGAACTTTATGTAGGTGAGCTTCGGGATGTGCTTGAGTTCAAGCGGTCCGTCGCCAAGTACTTCGTCAACTTCTTGCTGAGCCTTCAGATACTTCTCTGGGTTTCTGAGTAGGTGATAGAACAAGAACCCCAAGGTTCCACTTGTGGTCTCATGCCCGGCGACCAAGAAAGTCACCATGTTGTACCTTACAGATTCTTTTGTCATCTTTTCTCCTGTCTCCTTATCGACACCTTCAAGCATAGGGTTCAGTAGATCCTTAGCATCTGGCTGAGGGTGAGCAATCCGGTCTGCAATGATCTGGTCGCACAGTTCGTGCATCTTCTTCACGTTTTCCTGCCGATGAGCTTCGGCAAAGACACGAAGCTTATTTTCGACAGACGTGCGGGTGGCTCTTCTTCCGGACTCTATCAGAACCTCGACCATCTCTTCCACGAAGGGATGTGCGCGGTCGGTATAGAAATTGTTGAACCTGTAACCGAATGCACACAACCCGATCATGTCAAATGTCAACCTCGAAGGTATTAGTAAAGAATGGCAGGTCGTGCGAGAAGGGTGTGATGGTTACCTTGTGAAATCATCACTGCATTCTATCTCGTGCTCTGGACCGAAACGGTCCCATCGAAGCAGCATTTGTGTTGAGATGTCCATCATGCCGTCGAACATCTTCCGTATCCCCATCGGTCCAAACACCGGCATCAGTAGCCGATGTGCAACACCCCAGGCCTGAGTCCTCTATTAATGTGTATACGATAAGATCGAATGTTCATTACGTACCTTTTCGCCAGGGTAGGCTGTGAACAAACCATCTCCAGTCAATGCGCGTACCTCCTCCAGGGTTGCATTGATGGGCTTTTCGAACCTCTCGCTGTCGCAACAGTCGTTTATCGTATCATACGAAGAGACAACGATGAGCTTGCCATCTCGTCCTGGAAGTTCGAGTTGGTAGATCTCGCCATAGATGTCCGCAAGCCGCTGAAAAGATCCTGGCGCATCATTGGGATCGATCTCAGCGAAATTACCCACGAACAAGTGAGGGGGAGGCTGAGGAATAGGGAGGGATTCCGATGATTCAGAGGCCATCGTCAAAGCCTGCCAGGTAATATGCAAATTAATTAGGGTAACAAACAAACTCTTGAGTGATAATGCAGAGGTAAGAAACGACAAGAAATTTGTGTCTCAGCTGCTCATGTCTGGAGAGAGGAGCTGGGCTACATATACCCTGGGGAGTACCACATCCCAGGACTTGTCAGCCTTGTTGTGTCGACCTCCCATAGCAGCCCTCCACCGAAGCCTTACCAACTGATGCTGCCTAGTTGCTGACCCCACAGGGATACAGAGGGCCTAGAGGATATAATTGCAGCCAATGGGGTCCGATTAGGCATCACGCTGTGGGTAGTCAGCAGGATTGAGTTCAGCTCGGCTGTGCTAGCCACATGATAGGCTACCGATTTTTGGTGTACGATAACACAGCGGTATACCGATGCTGCGCCTCGTGCGAGCTGTCGACCGAAGTCCTTCATGGAAATTAGCTCGAACAGGGTGCGCATCCTCTGCCAGTCTAGAATATCTTCACCGGACGGGCCGAGGCGGGGCCACACGACCCGTCCACTCCAATTGGCAAGACCTGCGCCACATCGTAACACGCGCAGCGCCTACTGTTGGAAACGTCACAGCGGCTCAAACAAGCTTCTTGAGGAGGCAGAATCCGACGGAGCGGTTCTCTGTGGGTTGTGAAAGTTGAGTAATCCGCCTGGTAAACGGAGGAAACATCGATACAAGCGTTCGGCGCTGGTCAGTCAACAAGTCGATCGTGACAGCGTAGCGTGACTGAGCGCATCGTCAAGCTCAGATGCATCACTCTACGCCATCTTCACCGCTTGCGTAGGGGTATTGGTGCTATTGGGTTTAGTGATCATTGTAGGTGTATACCCTATACATGCGTGGTAAGATTGACGGCGGTGGGGTGTTCAGGACGCGCCTTAGTTCGGCCGGCTCGAACCGGCCGAGGTGTGCCCTGCTCAGAGCGCGCATTGACCAAGTTCACACACTTTGCTTATACACATTGCAAGTTCGTTTGCAGCTGCAGGAGAACATCAGTCATCGATGTCGAATCCAATTTCATAGGAGAAAAGGGGTTAACCGAATTTCAGCAAGCGCGTCTGTACACTCTCTGACGTCGAGACAAGGACCATCGTCTTTACGAGAAGTTTGTCTCGATTGAAGCGTGACGTAGATAGCTAAGCTTGAGATAGATATAAACACGGCTATTTATGTATTAGGATGTGAATTCTCTTCGGCGCATATACGATCCAGGTACATCCTTAATGGGTACGACTGAGGAAAGCAGAGCTTCGACCCAAGATAGGATACGAGCCGCTTCAACTCATAGCGAGGCTTCTAGGGAGTCGATGCCTTAGCCTCCTTCCCTTTCTTCCAGCTGGCGATGGTACGTCCATCAAAGTGAATCTGGTTGTAGTGTACCTGTAAACCATGTCCGCCCACATGACGCGTATATTTGCCAGTTGCTTCGCCGATAACATAGTCAAGTAGCTCGTAGTGCTCGAGATCCAACATACCCAAGCGGTCGAGAAGGACTAGAGAACAGCTGTACATGTTCTTCAAATGAAATCCTTTAGGAGCGCAACCTTGAGGGAAGCGAATGAAGATAGTGGGATGTTGAGTGTTGATGTCGAAAGTGAACTCCACGAGAGTACCTACACGGACGGTGTCGCGGAAGATCTTGAGCCAGGAATTGTTGCTGTTACTGAGAAATGTGTTTAGTCCCTTCAAGTACCGATAGCTCTCCTCCATTTCCAAGCGTGCTATATCGAAAGCGTCTTCGTGATCGCAATAGTCATCGCATGCGCAATGAATACTATGTCCACAATCACCGCATGGGCAGTTCGGCACATCGTCTTCGAGTACCCGGCGGGAGACGAATTTGGCAGTAAAGGTGGGGCAATGCGCGCGCAGACGGACCAGGAGCGTGATGTCTGTCAGAACATCCTCCATCGAATCCTCGTCAAGGCCGTCAAAGTCTTCATAGACTTCTCCAAACTCATCTTCAATGAGTCCATGATCCCAAGAAATCAGTAGAAGCTTCGGGGCGTTCTGATAATCCGTGACTTTAGGGTAGTACGTTTTGATAAATTGAGCAACTGCTGGGAGCTCCATACGGAAGCACGATTGGCGAAGCCAGATAGGCCGGAACTCGGCCCGAATCTGCTGGCAGACTTGAGTGAATGCACGATAGCGCAGAGTGCCTAGTTGACTTGGGCTGACAGTGCCTCCAATTGGATTTTTGTGGCCCCTGCCTAAAAGGGACGTGTGCGAAGTCAGTGTTTGTCTCACATACAGTTCGTACAGGGACACTTCTTACTCAGCAGTGGTGGTGTCAGCCATTCATCATACACCTTCTCCTTGGTGAAGTGGTATATGCGATTGCGAATCTCTGCGGCTTATTAGCCACCGGGAATGTAGGCAGAAAAAAGAGGGACATACCGGCAGGCAACTCGAGGAGGTAGCAACGATTGACCCCAAACTCGGTCGTACTCTTATCGCTGAGTGATCTGTCACTCCTCTTGCCGCTGTTACTCTTCCGGCCTTTAATCGTCGGAAAGATGTGGCCTCTGCGTCTGTTGATCGGTCAGAAAACACGAGATGACTGACAAAGTGATCTAGGACAACATATACCCGTTAGAAGGCATGTCTGCTGTAGCGTATCGAGTTGGACGGGAATAAGTCAAGTCGCTGACTGCTGGGTTGAGTATAGTTGATTAGGCAGACGCGACGTCCAGAGAAGTGAGAGAGTCCTTTTTTTCAATATGGAAGGAGCGCAGGAGCGCGACGCGAGTTCCCGTGATAAATGACGCAACAAGTCTACAACTCTTGGTAGTCGCAGAACTCGCGAAATCGAGAAGACATCTCTACCACCTAAAACAGTGTCTCATGCATGCCCAAACCAAACGACATGCGTGGAGAGGGTGCTGAAGTGGAAACGGAAATGGCAACTCAAGCACCAAGTTTCAGTCCCTCGCTTAGCTACGGTATGGAGTGAATGCTAATCATCGCTGGCGATGCGATGAATCAAACGTAGCGGATCCGATGACAGTGGTGCACAAGTAGCACACTATGAGTTTTCCATTCCGATTGAATGATTTGGGGCCTCGTGGGGAGCTTTCCAGAAACGCGCACAAACAGCAGGCGCCAGTGAGTGCCCGTCGCAGTTTGCTTCCGCGCCGTACAACGAACAGCTACCACACAACTCATCCTCTGCTCTTCCCGAGATTCTCCACGAGGTCATAAATATAACGCCCTGCTTGTCGACGCTGTCACCGAAAAGTGAATGTGGCGGTATGGCTTTGATTTTGACCTTGTCCTATTGGACGCTTGACAGGTGAACGCAACCACATACCATGGGTGGTGACAATGAACCAGGGCAATAGAGAATTGGTACCAGCCACTCGTGTTATTTCTCCTTCACCAGAAAGTTCTACAACTCATGACAGCGAAAATTTCCACAATACTGACCCAGACTCACCAACCTCGGCTTCCAACTGCTCCAAACACCAAACTCGAGTCGCAAACTTGTAAGGTGAACTGTGAGTCAAGTCTCCAAGGCAATCAAAACACCACGGAATCCTTCGCTTTGAGCGAAACAGATCAGTATGTTCTCACAAGACTGCTTCCCGTACGAGCCAGAATCTGGGTTGTGTATCCACCAGCGCGACAGCACGCAATTTTTTCTGCTTGGGTGTAAGCCATCCTCTTCCAGCAATGTGTATCTACGCGAGCTGCTCGGCCCTACGATAAACCTGCCAGCCATGCCTCGCAGCTGCCGCGCTATCGGTTTACCTCATTGGAGTGGCTTCAGCACGGCACCAGAGCGAATCACACCGCCTGGGGAACTGAAAGCCTCAGACCTCTTGAGAGATCGCGGCATGACGCCCACTTACAACCCTCCGGCAGGCGAGTGGTGCTACTTGGGCGCAGATCAGCCAAAGCCCATCGTACAGCCAGTCAAGTTTCGCGTTCATGACCATCGCGAGCGAAGGCGAGGAACAGACATGAGCTGGATGAGAGTGAGCGAGCAAGATAAGGATGCCAGACCGAAAACGAGCACAGCACCTATCCAGTTTTTCAGGCAAGCGCCGAGACGAGTAAACACCAGTTCAGAGCTCACAGCGTCCTTTGAGACAAGATCGATGGAGAAAAGAAGATTGACGTTGGCGGAGGAATTCGCGTCCGAGGGATTGGACTGTACGGAGCTTCCTTCAACATTCGACTCAGATGACGAGGAGGAACGTGAAGATATCTGGCATGCCCGTCGATGAGACAATAGAGGCTGCTAAGCACCACTGCCTGCTTGATGGTCAACAGGTGTCGCAAGGGGTAGCTAGGGGTGAAATAGCGGGCACAGGAACAAAGGTCCACACGTGCATCGGTTGGAGAGTCATGCTGCCACAAGGCTCGCTGTATGGAATGGTCACATGGGCATACATCTGTACATGATTCTGAGCAGGCGACGAGTGGGGGAGTGTAAGGCGAGGCAGGCTGTATCAAGACGCCTCGCTTGTTGGCTGGTCCAAGCTCTCTTGTGCATCGATGACAGCATCGATCATGGCCTTTAGCATAACTTTCGGTCTGTCCATAGAGATACGCCACAACAATCAATTGCATACAACGACTATGGAGCGAAGCCTACTGCAATGCACGCGTCTCTTTTCAAGATGTACAGCGCAGACATCATGTCGTAGTCTGCCAAAACATAAGCCCTCGGCCGTCGCATCAGCACGACAAGCACGCTTCCTACACACGACACGCCCCGCCCTTCTCCAATCCAAACCTCCCAAAACGCGCGATCGCGGCCCCAAGAGTGATGAAGACACACAGACTGACTTCAGCGCTCTCGACGTCTTCCGAAATACAGTTGCGCCTGCTACGTCAATCGATGCCTGCACAGGCGATGGCTTCGCACTCAACAATCAGATGCGCATTAGCGGGTGCGGAATTCTCTTAATAGGCGGTGAAGCATATCGATGGCGGCCATGGCTACGCGAAGGAAGGAAAGAAGGTACTGTTGCTGGAGGAGGCACAGGAGATGATATGATGACGGGCAGACTGCTGAATGCAAAGGGCCAATGGGAAGTGCAGGAGCGGGCTTGGGGAGTGCTGGAGTTGCTATATCCAAAGCCTGGTATGTTTAGGGTCTCCCTACAAGGATTTGGCAAGAATGGAAACTGACAATGGCGCGGCAGATCTGCTCATCGTCGGCACCGGCCCCAACACTATCCCCCTTGCGCCTGCGGTTCGCAAATACCTCAATGATTTGGGCATACGACTAGAAGTTCAAGATACTAGGAACGCGGCGGCGCAGTTCAATCTACTCGCAACGGAAAGGGGTGTAGGGCAGGTCGCAGCAGCGCTTATACCTATAGGCTGGAGAGAGGGCCGAGGGATTTCACACTAACCGTAGTATACAATCATCTCATCACAATTCCTCAGAAATCTCACGCCTTGGTGGCTCACAGCTATCCTAGATGACAATCTGCATGATAGCGAACATCCATACAGCAAAGATGCCCAGCCCGTATGGGTGTCATGGAAGACAAAGATTCGTCTTGTCTCTGCAGAAGAGGCGACAGGAAGGTCCAGCGACCCGCCACTGTACAAGGACACGAGCGGGTGAGTCGGCGATCTTGTAAGACATACTTACCAAGTTGAACACATTTATTGTATTATATTACCTGCAGACATTCCATTGTTCTTGGGGGCCCGAAAATCAACTTCTGTACCCGACCTTCCTTTCGTATATTTTCTCTGTCATTGTCATCGCTATCTTTATCTACTTAGCTACGGGATATCTCGCGTTTGTTCGCGTACCCGCTCGCGCCCGAGCAAACAAACGCTGATTTAATTTACAGTCGCGACCTCCTCGCTCAAATCGTCTCCCTCAATCACGCCTTCCCAACAAAGCACGTGGCCCGATAGCAAGTCACATCTAGCAAGCCAATGCTGTTCGACTGCTTGAACCGCAACTTATCTTCCGTCCTCTCCATCGTCCTCATTGCGCTCACCCGAACTTGGGAAACAATGGAAGACGCTTCAATGAATGGGATAAGATGGACGTTTGGCCCGCGTGTTGAGATTGCGGATGAGGAAGCAGCCTTGGATGCGAGGCCGCTACTCCTGTCCGAGAGCGACTTCCACGATGAAGGGGTGGGATGCAGCTATTCGCCGACCTCGAGTATGTACCACAACGATTCTTTCACCGTCGCAGAACCATCGATTATTCGTAGCCCGTCGCTTCCAGCAATTACACTCGATTCAGATCCTATGCATTCTATCCTCCGTTCGCTCAGACTCGGCAACTTATCCCGCAACATCAATCGATTCCTGCCGTCCACAGACGCCGACCGCCACAGAGCGCAGATGGTGTCGCAAGTTCGCGAAGGCTCTCACACTTCACTAAGCCATATATTAGCACCCATTCTCGCAGACCTGCAGGCGCTGAAGGCGCTGACGCCCGAGAGTCTGCCGCCAGGCAACTTGGACTTTGCTACCAGGTCGCATGCTCAGGTTCTTAATGAGAAACTGCTGCCAATAGGCAAGTTTATCGGAGACTACCTAGACGGCATTCCAGAGGCCAAGCGAGGTGTTCTCGAGTTGCGGATATGCCGCTATATTGCCGACGAATACTGGCCGTTGCCCGTCGAAAACTTTACCTACCTCAAAGTACAGGAGAAATACCGCAATGCCCTCTACAAAAAGGCCCAACGCGCGACTGGTGGGCCAACCGTCGAACCGCCGCTGCCTGACGACACATCTTCTGGCCACCCATCATCTGAAGACCCACCACCGGAGGCTGCAGAATACAAGGATACATTGAGCCAAAATCCTGTCATCATGAGTCCAGAAGCCGTCTCAAGCGTAGGGAACAGGGATTTGAACAGATAGTATCATGTGATGATCTCATTCATAGACATTCTACCCCTAGAGCTAGAGAATCCACAATCACGGGCCAGGGATTGTGTTCTGAGCATGTCAATATTCAACAAGGAATGTTGCGGCTTTTGGGACGGCTCGTTCGAGATCGATAGCGACAAAGTCATCTGGAATGCCACGATGGACCCTGCCATCATCTTTTTCAATTTCCTCCTTCCTGCAGATCATATGACCGACAATGTTCTACCGCTCCTTCAAGCACGTAACCTGCTTGGTGGCATTCCGTTGCAGGTAGCCTCAGCCCTCAACGAAGAGTATAAAAACGCCAGAGAATTTCTGGCTCTCCGTTACGCTGCAGACATCGCAGACCTTATCATTTTTCTGACCCGCACACGACCCGACCTGGAGCCCTTCGAAGTCTTATGGTGTGCAGTACACGCAACGGTATAGGTAAATCGTGTAACGTGTGAAAAGTACAAGAAGATACCTACGACGATCCGCGAGAGAGTCAAGCGAGATGCGACAGCACATTGTCGAGCTATACTGCACAATCCGCAATTCAAATTCGTCGGTCCCTTACTTGGCCATGCGCTCAAGGCGCTTGAGGTCTATATTCGTCCTTTAGCTACTGGCTCTTCATCATTGATCTGGATCAATGCTCAACTTCTGCACGACCTACACGACATACACGAGCTGAGTATGGATGGCGCGAAAGCCCGCAAAACTTTGTTCGATTACCTACAACACAGGCATCCTGGAGTGGAGACGCTGTGGCACAGTCTTGTTCAGATGTACAACACTTACGACGCAAAAAACTTTCCTCAATACAGTACTAAGCCGATGTCAACGCCAAGTCTGGTATTTTGGGAGTCCTTTTACAGGCATATCCGAGAGGATGTGCCATTGGAATACCCGCAGTCGCGGCCATTAGTCTTGAAGCGGAAGGACAATCTTTCGAAATCGCAAGGGACCGTCGAAGAAGGTGAAAAGAAAAGATCGAAGAGGAAAAGGAAGAGTAAATCGAAGGGTGATAGAGATGTTGAGCCGGTGCAAGATCCAGCTTTGCCAAAGCACCACCCGCTTGAGACTCAACCAGTACCTGGGGAGCAGCTGGTATCTCATCAGCAATCTTCTGCAGCCACTGTCGAGATACTTCCGTCTTTGCCTACCGTACAACAGCCGCTTGAGAAGAGCGAGCGGAAGCCATCGAAGAAGGACAGGAAAAGTATGAAGAAGAAGCTAAAGAAACTCAGAGCTGTTGAGCGATCGGAGTCGTCTGTCGTGGAGGAGTACAAGCGATCGGTCATAGGCAACAACGCCAATAGCGGCGGCAATGCCACTAGCATGAGGACGACAATGGTAGAAGTATTGAAGGACGAAGATTGTGGCAGTACTGATGACGATGGCGTCTGCTTGACGTCGGCTAGAGATCCCACCGACAATACGTCAGTCGAGGAAGGTCCCGCTCGGGAAGACTCACGCGACAAGGAGGCTGTAGCGCAAGAGAGCAAGGTAATCGCAGCAAACGTGTACACCGGAATATCAGCTGAGAAGCGCACACTTCATGGTAGTTGTGGTGACTCTCCAAATCGCGAAGAAGAGGATCACGCAAAATCCTTGGATAGTTGGCAAAAGGTCGGAGTGCGCGAAGACTTGCCGCAGAAGCAGAAGCAGCGCAAGAATGATCGCAACTTTGGCAAAGATATACCCAATACGAAAAGCCATGTTCCCATGGATGCGAAATCACTGCCAGCTAAAGCAAACGTTCCAGTATCATCAGCCAATTCGTTGGAATACGACGCAGAACCACGATCTATGAAGGTAAAAGCCCCAGTGCCGTACATGGTCACCTCCGAACTGAGGGACGACAACAATAAATTCCCTCTAGATCAATGTACGTCGTGGTCAGCGCTTTCCAAGGGTTTCACAGACGCAAGGAGGCGCCGGTCCTTGCAACATTCCGATGTATCCACAGATACTGCGAGCGCACAATCGCTTACATCACCTGACACGAAGAGCCACGGATCTATCCAGAAGAACCTTCCGTCTCTTGATCGCTGCCCACTTGCGCGATCAGAGACTTCGATAGATGAAGAAGTGCCGAAGAGTTCTGCCGCTTATAGCACGTCCGCGCTGCTACCTCTAGAAAATGCCGATATGTCGGTCGATTCGCTTGCTATGCGAGACGCGGACATATCACATGTAGAGCAATGGCTCATGATCAGATATGCGTCTGCTTTTGTTGGGCTTACGCAAGCGGAAATTGAGAGTGCATACTGGCGACCTGAGTAGTCGAGCATCACTGTGGTTATGGATCGCTTTACCTTCTACAAGCGTGATATGGAACGCCCGAAGGAATAATGGAGGAACGGCGATGTAAGGATTCGCAATACTATCTGTTTCGTACTTCTGGGCAGTGGCGCAGTGATGGCAACGTCATGTAGAAGGCTTAGAGGTACCGCATCAAATCCTCGAGACAACCAATCTTCTAGATCGTGCCCGTATATCGTATTTCGTTAGCGCCGGGCGATGCAGGGTTTCAGGGTACGCGAAAGTGGATCCCGCATCTTGTTCCTGAGCGCACGGTCTCATGCCGTAGGGCTATCCGCGTATTCGTCTGGCAGTGGATCTTTACACAGGCTTGTGCACTTTGGGCGCAACTTGCGAGCAGGATTTCAGTTGTATAAGGAGAAGTGGTATGCATGTTGATGAGTCTTGCAAACCACACATTCACTTCATCTACTTTCATCTGTTCATTCTCTTACACACGACTTTCTTTCTTTCTACGTTCGTTTACAGCAATTAACCTTCTTCTGTAAGACGTGCTCGCTTCCTCTTCACCCCATTGTACTGCACTTCTAGACATCTTCAACTGAGAGTACCCTCGGAATATCACAATGGCAGGTGACACACCTTCCCAAGCCGGAAACAATGGTCTCTATCCCTACTCCCCTAGTGAGGTCGGCGCCATCCTCTTTGCTGGGCTCTTCGGCCTAAGTACACTCTATCATCTTTTCCAGATGATCAGAGGACGAGCATGGTTTTACACCGCATTCGTCGTCGGAGCAATAAGTACGTTCTCTTTCCCTTACGTACATTCAACACGTTTTCCAGAACTTCGCATGAACTAACGGTCTACCAGTGATGACGGTCGGTTACGCAGCCCGCTACCTTTCTGCTCAGTCCCCCGCCAAACTGATGACCTACATCCTTCAATCGCTCTTCATAATCCTGCCTCCCTCTCTCTACGCCGCAACAATCTACATGATCTACGGACGCCTCGTCATCTTCGTAAACGCTGAACACGCATCAATCATCCGACCTACACGGGTAACCAAGATCTTTGTTTGCGGTGATGTCCTCGCATTCCTCATGCAGGCCAGTGGTGGAGGTATGATGGCGCAGGCTAGCATGACAGACATGGGACAGAAGATCATGTTGCTCGGACTGTTTGTGCAGTTGTTGTTCTTTGGGTTTTTTGTGGTGATTAGTGTCATCTTCTATATGAGGATGAGGAGTTCGCCACAGAGACATACCATCCCACAGTATGGAAAGTATGGGTGGCCGGCTTTGGTAAGTCTCTCTCTCATTATGGTTCTTGCACCCTTCTTCTTAATTCGAGCCATACATCTCTTTTCGTCAACGGAATATACACTAACGGTATGGTAGTACAAACTTCTCGCCATTGCGGCCGTCGTCATCATCCTCCGATGCATCTATCGCGTTATTGAGTTTGCACAGGGTCACAGTGGATATCTGGCTTCTCATGAGGTTTACATGTATATCTTCGATACGCTACCCATGTTCGTGGTTCAGATTTTGTTTCATGTTGTACGTGCCGATGACGTGTTCGGGACGAACCATGGGGCAGCGAAAAAGTTGGATAGCGAGATTATCGGGCTGTACGAGAGAGCTTGATGGCATCAATGTAACTGCGCTCTTTGCAGTACCATTTTACTGGCGGCGAAAAAGATTCCCAGCATTCATAGGGCGTTCGGTTGTCATGGCATGGGTTTGGGCATGGGTTTTAGACATTATTGGAAAGCATACTTTCCAGATCCAAATGAATTACGGATACATAAGAAGGTCTCCATTATGCGAGTCATATAAACGACTATAACCTGCGGATGTTGCAAGTTGATCTTGTCGTGTCAAGGAGTCGGAATCGTCCGTTAGTACAACCAGCCGGAACCCTGTTGGTCGAACCATATCGGGTTAGATTCATCATGTTTCCATCAATAGTTCTAACGCAGACCCCACCGCTGCGTATTTCGTTCTTCGTTTCTCGTTTACCCTCAAGCCTCCTGTCGCCTGCGTACCTCTTTCACTACTTTTTCTTACACAACGAGCCAAGCAGGGATTGCAATTGGTCAGATCCAATGGTTTTGAAGAGAAAAGCTCACACAAAATCGCGGACGGGCTGTGGCACCTGTAAACGTCGCCGGATCAAGGTATGGCCCATTTCCTATGCGAACATCTGTTCTGACACACGACATAGTGCGACGAAGGAAAGCCGCGATGTTCGCACTGCGTCCGGCATGAAGTTGCATGTGTATATCCAGATTTGGTGCCACCGCGAGCCAAAAGCTCAAGCGCGGCCGCAACATCTCCCGGACTGCCACCAACAACTCCAGATGCAATACTACACTTGGCTACACCTCAGAACGATCCTTTCGCGGCCAGCACACCATGCTCAGAAACGAAAATCATCTCCTCGTTTTCGCTCAAAGACATGTCCCTGTTGCACCATTGGACAATAGCCACGAGCCATTCGATACGACCTGGCGTGCCAGCAGTCAACCGCCTTTGGCGGGATGTTTTCCCAGAAATCGCATATAACCACGCTTACATGATGCATAGTCTCATCAGTCTCTCAGCCTTACATATTGCCTATGTTCGTCCAAACGATAGACGCACAAACCTACATATTGCCGCGCATCACCACACGCTCGCTCTTAGCGGGTTTAGGGCAGACACTTACTCTATCAGGGCAGAGAATGCTGATGCAATATTTGCCACTTCAACACTCATGTTCTTATACGCCTTTTGTACATTTTCTAAACTTTCAGACGAAATGGTGGACATACAGCATGATGGCGACAATGCCAGCAGCATCTCAGCTCGTACATCGCGTATCCTAGGCGCAGAATGGATACCCCTAGTCCACGGCGTAGGGACCGTGGTACGCTCAGTATACGACTACCTCCAAGAGGGACCTTTGCGATCAACACTCCATCTGAAGGACTGGGATACTATGGATCCTGACGTACACCCTGGGCCTGACGACGAGCACTTGTTGCGCATCAAACAAACATGGGCGGACGATGAGAACAAGGCAACTTATGATGAGACATTGTACTTGTTAAGAAAGATGAGTGCGTGGGAGGTACATTTCCTGAACACTTGGGAGGCGCAACAAGAAGAGTGGGGATACAATGGTGGCTGGTCCGCTGTGAGTCACTCGATATTTCTCTCTATATCTCAAATGGACGCTTTGACTAATGAACAATATTTCTTCCATCAATACAGCCGTTTGTTTGGTTATCAGTAGTACCCAAGGAGTACTTCAAGCTACAGCGGCAAAGGCAGCCTTTGGCTTTGCTCATCTTTGCCTACTTTGGTGCATTACTAGAGCAGACTCTTCAAGATTGGTGGACAGATAGTTGCGGGAAGAGTATCGTCGGCGTGGTCGATGATTGCCTAGGATCGTACTGGGCTGAATGGATGGCATGGCCAAAACAAGTTGTCAACCAGCAGCAGCAACAACGTTATCAGCAAGACGCCGAGAGCTAAAGGATTTGAATTCCTCAGGATCTAAAGTAAGAGGTCGTTCCTCAAGGCTGAATCCCAAATGCCTCATAAACCGCCGCAATAAACGCTTTTGTCCTGGTATTACCCATACCGCCTTTACCCCCCTCCTGCTGCCCTAGCCCAGCCGCCTCCATCTTGTTCATAACATAGCCAATCGTCAACTTTCTGTCCGCATCAGCAACAACCTGACTTCCACCCCATCCACCCCAACTCGTCACGCGTCCCTGAGGTAGATTCGCCATCATGCTTCCTTCGGCGGGTAACCCGAACCCGAGTCCGAAACGAACCTTCACCGGTATAACGAGATCCTTGTGCTCTTGCTGCGTTGAGAAGATTCGGTCAATAGTTTTGGCGGAGAGGAATGAACGATTTTCCAGAGAGATGACGGAGAGGAGGCGGACAAGGCCGCGGGCGTTGCTATACCCGTTTCCTGCGGCGATAGCAGAGTTTCTCAAGAGGGACTAATTGGCCCAGTTGGCGTCCATACCAGGGTTCTTGCCTAGAGACCTGAACATGAGATTGTTTGGATCGAGTGCAAACGCCTGCATCTCTTGTTTTGCGGGCATTGGTGGAGGAATGATATCAGCGACTCTGTTCCACTCCTTCTCGGGAATGCCCAGTTGGAAGTCCGCGGCGAGTGGGCGGGCGAGCTCTTCGGCGATGAATTCTTTAATCGGCTTTCCTGTTACGCGACGGACTAGTTCGCCGACGAGGTGACCCATTGTCCAGCCGTGGTAACCAGTCGCCGTACCAGGCTCCCACCAGGGCGCTTGTTGCTCGAGGAGCTTTGTGCTCTTCTCGATGTTGCACATATCTTCTATAGTGATGGACTCCTCCCATCCACTCAGTCCGCTCGCGTGCGAAAGAAAATGTCGGACTTCCACGCCTTCCTTTCCATTTGCAGCGAATTCAGGCCAGTATCTTGACACCTTCTCGTATGGATCCAGTAGCCCGCGGTCGATGCATACCAGAGCTGCCAAGGCGCAGACAGTCTTGGTGGAAGACCAGATACACGTTACAGTGTCTTCCTCCCACGAGCAGGTTCGAGCTTCATCTGCGTGACCCCCCCAGATGTCGACGACATCTTTGCCGTCAACGTTGACGCAGACAGACGCGCCGAGCTCTTCTCCAGCGTCGAGGTAGGACTGGAAGAGGTCTTTGACCTTGGCGAAGCGGGGCTCGCAGGTTCCTTGGACTTTGGCCATCGTGATAGAAGTTCCTGCTGAAGTTCCGGGTACCTTCAAACGCTTTTGTATTGTATGTATGTTGTATTCGTGATGGTCGGAAACCTGAAGCACCAACTATTATATGTATCCACTGCTTTAAGCAAACATGGCAGATTAGGGCACCGGGTTGACGAGTACCCGAACTTCCGCGTTGCTGGCACAACAGACATGGAATTAGCGGGATGAGTAAACGGATGCCCGAAGTTTTGCGTTTCACGTATTGGTTGCGGAGTCGCGGTATTCCGATTCCGCCATGTGAAGGACGGTAGTGGATTCTACCTGCAGGGTTCATCTCGTATGGCGTGCATCTTTTGACGCCACGGGAACCAACGCCCGAGAGTGGAGTACCTATTGAATAGTGATCGTGAAAGGCGACAAGCCAACGAAAAGTGCTGAGATCACTTGGCTACATGCTTTGGCCAGATCCTTGCTCCTTTCTCACCTCCAGGGCTATGTCATAGGCAAGTAACCATACAGCCTCTCATCTTGACCAAATACCGTGACGTGACAACGTTCGGGGACGAATTGCGGCACAAGTAGTGCTATTGACTATAGTGGTGCTTGACGTTAGGTGTAGTACCAGTCCCTTTTCGATGTTCTCGCGCGGAGGATCGGCGGTATTCCACCGTTCTCCGCAATTCGACAAGCGGTAAAGGCGGGAGCAAAGCTACCGAGTGCGGAGAAGCCCGGGATTTGATATTCCAAGAGTACGGAGATACAATGGTTTAAAACCGAGTGAAAAAGAATCGGAGTACTTGTATCTACGACTCGCGCACTATTTTCTCTTCTATAAAGTATCACCTATTTGTTGAAACGCAAGCAACCACAGCCGCTACAACTCCCTGTATGCGAGCACTTGTTCATCACCATATGCCTCGGCACCATTGCCCCAGTTTCTTTTGAGTGATTACTACCCGTAAGCTTCACTTGAGGAACTTACTCACAAGACCTTTTCCACCTTTGATCAGATTCTTTACCTCCCTCTTGATATCATCCGTCGAGTTGCCGCCCTGATGTCCTGGCTCCATGAACCCTCCGCCCGCACCCCCAGCACCGCCACAATGACCTTGGCCTCCACAAGCGCCCCCAGGACAACCTTGGATGAAATGCTCGATTTCACAACAACATCTTCCACATTCGCCAGAACCCATAAATGGACCTCCTTGGCCCCACCCGACGCGCATGACGCGCGCTTTACGACCTTCCCATCCCGTTTTCGCATCAGTAGCGTGGAAGACGCCCCAGACTTCTGGACCACCGGGGCCGTTGACTAGGACGAAATTTCCGTGACCTGGTCCATAGGGTGGAGAATCGTCGCGAGCGGCTTTGAGAAGAGGTTTGTTGGACTTGGCCCAAGAATGTGGATCGAGAGGGTGACCGCCAGTGTAGTACAAGATATTCATCTTGTACTCGTGTGTCCAGCTTCCCGCGCAACTGTACACAAGGCCCATCCAACGGCCATCAGGAGAGCAGAGAAACTGCGGACCCTCGTTGATGCCGCTGCTACCAGAAAACTCAAATTGCAGGTCTGGTGTGCTGATGCGAATGGGATGACCGGTACATTCTGTTGGTGACACCATCTCGATGATGAAAATTTCCTGGCGAGATTCATCGGCGTGCGTACCGAGGGGCCAGCCAGAGTAGACAAAGAGCATGGAACCACCGAGCGTAACAACTGTGCCATCGATTGCCCATTGCTCTTCAGGGAGGCCACCTAGACGGCCGAAAAAGTTCCATTTGCTTGGTTCGAGAGGGTCCTCCTCTGATGATGGTCCAGCAAGGACATACATGCGGTGCGATTTGTTGCCATGTTTGGGGTCGTCAGCCGCAAAGTATACATACCACCGACCGTGGATTGAGTGTAGTTCGGGCGCCCATAGATCGGCGGAGTAGGGCTGGTCTGGTGGAGGACGCCAAATTACGTTCTTTTTGCACTTCTTTTCGAAATCGAAGAGGGAGTCTGCAGACCAGATCTCGATGTGGCCGCCGCAGGTAAAGGTCATATAATACGTACCCTTGTCCCAGAGTACGTACGGATCCGCACAGCTGCTGTGCGTGATGGTGAGAATCGTATCGTTGTATGCAGGTCTCTGTTGAGGCCATGCCGGCTGCAGTTGTTGCGCCATGTTGTCGACTGCTCTTTGCTTTGCTCCGATTTCTAGTGCTGGTGGGACGTATAGCTTGAACAGACCTAGACTTCTGGAGGGGTAATCGAAGTCTGCTCTCAGAAGAAGCGCAAGTGTAAGCGGTTCAACAATCTAGAACTATCCTAATAGCGGTGGCTGCGTGGGCATGTGGTCTCAGCCCCGTCAGGCGCACGCGCGTAACAGCTGTATGATGACGTCATCGTTTACATTCGTTTCCTTGGTACCACAACAGCCGGGCAACTTCACCTTGAGCAATAGGCATGGGAACGGTCCGAAAGGGTGGGAACGCATGGTGCGAAACAATTGGCAATAATTGCCGAGGCGAAAACAGGGTCCAAAAAAGCGCTGATGTGGGGAAGGTGCAAGCCACCTTACTGATTGTAGCGGTGATTGACCATCCTAAATCGTGTTGTGATTCCACTACCAACTAAAGATTCTTCCTAGTTCAGCTATATTACCATATAACAAGCCGTCCGTGTTCGTAGTACCTCATAGTTCAGTCTGAATAGGCCGATTATCCAAGACGGCTTATCCTATGCCCTAAACCTATGCCTACATGAAGTCTGGCACAAGATCATAAACCGACCACTGTCATAATAAACAATAATAATATGTCCTATAATGGGTTCCAAGCCTCGCATGCCCTCGTGTCCTGACGTCGCATCGAAGAGGTGGTATCCAGCATTGCTGGTGGTAGTAGCCAAGAAAACACAGATTGATGGATGCTATGAGGCCGTGGGATCCGTAAACGCCATGCCAGATGTAGAAAGCTGAAGAATAGCAAAACATGTTGCAATGAAAGGTCGCCCTGAGATATACGACGTAGTCGTATCGTACGTTAAAATCAGTTTGTGTCAGTTGTCGCATTATAGCTCTGTTTTGAGCGTTTGGTCGACAGTGAGCTCGCCGGACTCGATGCGGTCTACGCGAAGTACGAGCTCCTGTATTATGATCAGCATGTGTACAAGTTGCTGTTGCTTTTGTGTAGCTTACCTTGAGAGCCCTAGCGGTCTTGAACGCAAGTGGCGGGATCTTCTCGCGACCCTCACCCCTGATGTCGACAGAAAGCATGTTTTGTCTGCATTCGTCAAGCACCTCTACAACGGGAAGCGCATGCTTCTTCAATGCAGGGTTGGAAAGCTGGTTCACAGCATCGTAGGTTTTGTTGCCAGTGTCATCGACCGCTTGCGAGATGTCTTGGATGTAATCGTAGATTTGCTGCTCATCCCCAGGAGTAGATTCGGGGTTTGCACGGATGAGGTTAACTAGTGGTTGTATGCTCTGAACAAGGGTTGCTGTTTGATCCTCGAGGTAGTTCTGTACGCGTTAGTAGGTATGACTACTAGGCTTGTTAAGAACATACCTTGAACTCAATCATGCCGCTATCGCCTGTGCCATTGGCACCGTTCATGCCGCCGGTTTGACCATCGTATCCACTGTATGGAGAACTGTAGGCGCTGTATCTAGTAGTATCACTGCTGCCGCCTTTGCTGCTGCGACTGCGGTGATGACCGTATGCTGAGGTGACACCGCTGCTATTCGTGTTGTCGTTGATGTTGCTTGGCGAGGAAGCATTGTAGTTGTTGTATACGTTCGACTTCAACGGCATGGGCCTATCGGCATCCTCGTCATCTCCTTCGAGTTCGTCTTCCGGTGTGGGCCGCACTTTGACGTGCTTGACCAGCTCCACAACGGCTGTCGACAAGTGACTAGCTGCGGCGTCCAGCAGACTGACTGGTGACAATCCTCCAGATGAAGTATGATTCTTGGTAGCTGTGATGAGGTTGTTGGCTGTAGCACTGACGCGAGACTTGAGTTTTGCTTGCTGCTTCTCAGGACTCGCGAAAATGTCGCCACTCACACTACTGGTAGGAGACTGGATCTGCGAAAGAGACGTGCTATCGATATCGCCCGTGATGGCTCGTACACATTTCACGACATGACGCATACTCTCGAGAGTCTGCTCCGAATTTGCTCTTCGCGCGTTTTGAAGCAGCTCATCAATGCTAAGCTGGAACTTGGTAACATGGACGTCCTTGACCAATCCGTCCGGCGTTGTAAAAGCTGCATCGCGGGAGTAGTTGAGCAGGTCCGGCGACGCAAGTTGCGATAAGCCCATAGAAGATGCTTTCAAATTTCGAAGCTGCGTCTTAGCCTTGGCGTATCTCGATTTCCAGTCCTTGAGCTCAGCCTCTAATGATGACACTTGATTCGCCATCTGCTCTTCCTTCTCGGCTGCGGCATCGCTGCGGGCTGACAGTTCCTTCATCTCTTGCAAGAACATGGATGCGTCTCTCCGTACTTCCTCTGCTACCTGTTGTTGTTCGTTCAATTCCCGTTCAAGCTCCTCGCACCGTTGTCTCCATTGAGCGTCTCCGTCATCGTACGCTTGCTGAGGCGGGCGGGACTCGAGATCTGCGATCTGGGCACGGAGGCTATTCTCTACACTTTCGTTTTCGCTGCGTAGTTTGTCTATTTCGGAACGAAGTGAGGAATTGAGATTCTCTGCTTTCTCAACCTTCTCCTCGAGCGCATACCGGAGTTCGTCCCACTCGGCACGCTCAGAGGCCGAAGCGCCATCGCGTGTTCTATCATCGTCTTGGAATCGCTGCAGCTCGTCGTCCTTGTTACGTATGGTAGCCTCTAATGAGTCAACCTTGCCCTGCAACTCAGAGACTTGATTTTGCAAATCCGCAGTTATCTTCTCGTGCGCCATGCTCATGCTCTTTGCGCTCTTGTTTGTCTGTCTTCTCGCAGCAGCGCCTTCTAGGTTAAATGCGTCGTCATCGTCCGCTCCGCTATCGTCGTCGTCTTCGACTAGTGTGCCCTTGTTTGGCACAATTGTGTTGGATTGGAACGTCTTCGGAAGCGGGCGCCCGAAAGAACCTGGCTCGTTCCCTGAACCGGGCCGCAGTCCTCCCGGTGGACCTGGAGGTCCTCCTGGGGGTCCACCCATGGGCCCCATGGGCCCGCCCATTGGAGGTGGCCCTCTGTAGCCCGGTCCTGGCGGGGGTCGTCCGCCCATGCTATTCGGTGTGCCGCCTCTACTCGGAGGTCCTCTATTACTTATGCGACTCGCGATGCTGCCGTTGGGGCTCGAGGGTCGTGGGGGCATGTCACCTCCGGTGAAGCGCGGGAATCTCCGTTCGAGTTCGTAGAAGACGTCGGTTGCGAGTTGACGGAAGCGCTCGAGAGGCAGTGTGGAGAGCTTTTGCCTCGCCTGGTTGCGCTTGGGATGGAAATTATTCTTGGGTAGAAGATATTTGGGAGTGTCGTTGCCAGGCGCACCTGGCCCTCCCCGCTTGCGGTCCGTTTCTCTGCGTATCGACTCATCATATACGTCGGTGCTGAGCTCCTGGAACTGGACAGCAGATAGTCTGGTCAGCTTGTCCTTGGCCCTGCTCGGGCGCGGATTGCCCTTCTCGTCATTGAGGTAGGGCCCTAGGTATGCCTTGAGCACTCTAAAATGTTCCGACATGGTCTCCTCTAGCGCCTGCATCTTCCTACCATCCATGATGGGGCGTGTACTATCACTTATGCTCGAGGCATACAGCCCCGTGCCGTCGCTCGATCGGCCTACTGAACTGGGCGGCGAGGGGTTTCCATTGCTGGTGCCAGGGCGCATACCATTGAGCATGCCGCCATCGGGGTTGCTGGGCCCATATGCGTTGGGAGGGATCGTGGGCGAGTATGGGTTGTCGCCGGCGATGTTCCGGTAGCCTGTAATGGGCGACCACTCTTGGCTGTCGGTGGAGAGGGGCGACAGAGCGCCATTGCGCGTGTTCATGGCATTCATGGTGGCTGCGTCGCGTTTCACCCCGCGGGTTGCCGCTGTCAACCAGGATCGTATCCGTATCGGAGCGTGTTAGTGGGCTTCAGACTGGAGCGAAGGTTTGCAAAAGCAGTGCGGAACTGGCAGAGTGGCTGCGGAGGAAGGCTGCTGGTGAAACTCTAGGCGTGGTAGGAGTCGACGGACGCCCGGCACTGTTCCGAATCTGAATGTGCGATGCGGTGAAGGAGCGGATGCAAACAAAGCAGTGCGTCAACTAGCCAAGGGAGTGTGAATGCACGCCAGCGTCTAGTCAAAGAGGCCGCGGTGCGAAGAGAGAGCGACGGTGATACGAGTATGCAGGAACCGGCAGCCGGGGCCAACAACTCTTATGAGGCTTTCCGCTGCTGTTATCCAATGTCGGTGATGCTGCCCCTTTCGCCTGCGCCTTGGCTGGGGGATTTAGGCGCTAGCTGCCCGCCGCGCGGGCGACGACGATGCATGGCAAGGGCGCTCGAACGGCCGCTCGAGGTTTCCATATCACCGCTCGACAGCCCGGAGCGGTTATGCCTGCCTGGCTTTGTTTTGCTGCATTGCATGTCTTGTCACCGGTCACGCTTCCTTTTTCCCAACTTGCATGGCCCTCCGTAGTCAGCCTATTTACGAGGAGATTACCATGGCCATCCCGGGCCTCGGGTCTGGCCCGGCGATCATGGCCAGTACTGTGGAGACGGTGCTAATTTCGTGCAGCGAGTACGCAATTTGATGGGGTATAGAACAGTATATCGTATAGCAACTACCACGTACAAGAGAGCCATCTGATGCCGGGCGACTCGCTCGTGGCTTTTCCCACTCAGCGCCTCTCCCGCACGCCATCAGCCAAGTGCGACTCTGCCAAGCCACAGCACCTGTCTAGTCTGTCACGTGCCAAACCGTGAACCCTCAATGCCCGCGTAGATTTGTCTCAAGCCCGTTCCTAACGTGCTCTCTTGATCTTTGAAGGCGCCTGATTCCTGCACTCTGGACAAAGCCAGTCTCCCAATGGCTCCTCTTTGATACCTACACACTCCCAGTGGAACCACTGATACCGACAATTGTCGTTGTCGCACGCTACCATATCGCCGAAGCTGACGCGCTGGCATGTGCAGTACTTGGTGTCATCCGACTCGTCCTCCTCTGCATCGCCGCCTCCCATGCCTGACATGTCCTCGTCTTCCGTGCCCGCCTCACTTGCCACACTCTCGTCGTCTGCAGTTGTCGACGGCGATGCTCGGGATCCACCCTTGCGCCGTTTCTTGTTGACCCCGGACTTGGCTGTAAGGGCCGCCTTGCGCAGCGGTTGCTGAGGTTTCGCCTTTTTGACTGTGAGTGCATTCTTTTGCGGTCGGGGTCCTACGCTGCCTGCGCGTGAGCCTGGTGTTGAGGGTTTCGGAGTCCCGGGCCCTATGGACCCTTGTCGGCCCAGGTTTGAAGATGCTGCAGGGAGGGGACCAATGCTTCCTGTCGGCCGGCGACGCTTGCTGTCGCTTCCCGCTGAGAGTTCCCGCTCCTGTCGTGCATTTGCTTGTATGGCACTTTGCGCGTTGGTCAGTCGCTGTTGGTTTAGAAGGGCTTGTGTTTGCATGTTCTGCAGTGATGGGTTCATCCTCGAGTTGAGGCCCACATTCGTCGCATTTGTCAGTCGCGCGATGGCAGCTGCCTGGGCGAGATTTGGAGCGCCGCCCCCATTACCAGACACGGGGAGCAGCGGTGTGCTGGACCCCGTATTCGATTGTGACGCTGGCGGAACCAAATTCCCAGGAGAGTCCCTGAGCAGCGAGGGCATCTGGGGGTCAGTGGGTATTGAGCCATCATTCTGCAGGTCGCGCAGCTTGATATCCAGGCGCTTTACATGCCGGTCGAGCTATGTTGTTGTAAGTAGATAGAACGAACATTGCAGATCAACAACGTACAAGTGCAGCAGCTTTGTCGACAAGTCCAATCTTCTCTTCTTGCAGTATCTGCGCTTTCTCGTAATTTGCCATGATGGTTTTCGAATATCCAGCCTCTTTTGGATTCTCAACTAGGCTTCCGTTGAGCTTGATGAATTTCTGTATGCTGCCGTCTCGCTGCTGTATTGCAGAGCGCAGTTCTTGAATCTGATTGTCCTTGGCTTGGACTTCTTCGTAAAGATGCGTGATCTCTGCGGGAAGGTTCGCGACTGCCACATGTCAGCTGCGATGATCGTGTTAAAGATGATAAGTGGAAATACCATCATGTATGAACTGTTCGAGTACTGTCGCTGCATCTTCTGCGATAGCCATGTTGAGATGTTAGGTCCTATGTCGTCGGGCGTATAGACGCGTGTGGCGATGATCTTGTCAAGGTATACTTCGCGCAGCCAGGACGCGGTCGATAGGACCCGCTAGAGAGCAAAGGGGCAGAAAACGAGTTGCTTGCCCGTTGCACTTGCAATTTTGATGAAATTTGATGGAACGTTGATGCCTTTGGGAGTGAAAGAGCCGTGTCGCGACAGAGAAACAAACAACGCAGCGCAAAACCTTTCCGTTCGACCCTCACTTCGTGTCCACTTTTCTTTTGGTGCTCAAGTTCTGTTTGTATCTTGAGTCGGATTATTTCGTAAGCTTCGCTCTCGCGATAGACTAATGGAGTCGTGTTGTAACGCGTTGACATGCAGGAACAGCCGCTGACAAAGAGGCTCGATTACGTGTTCGGCAAGATGCTGCGCTATCATACCCAATCAGATGATTGCGCCCAAGACAAGGTTGGCTCATCCACCGCAAGCGAACCTTGTCACGACGACAACTACAACTACAACAGAGAAGACATTCAGAACGAAGACCAAGAAGTTTTCGCATACAGTCACGATTCTACCGGCGCACATGTCAAACCTCAGCTCGCTGCTCTCCTGAACGGACCACAGTGGCAGAAATCAAATCCGAACACGCGTCGCGCGACCAGAGCAGACTACAGCTGCAAGAAGCCGTCGCAAATTGCAACGAGAAAACGTCCTCGTAAAGCAAAGGTAAACATCCCTTCTCTACACCAAAGATCCCATCCAAACAATGAAGACTCATAATATTGTGTCTACTGATTTCTGGAGGCTTAGAAAGCTCTGGTATTCTTCGACACTCGCTAACTGCCGCAGTACCGTGCAGCGGACGATAATCGGATCCCGCATCCTGTGCTCGAGCCTAAGACTCTAGCACGTTGGAACAGAATTTGGGAAGAGGAATTGAGGCCCGAATCTTTTGTTAAGACATTCATCAGCAACAAAGACGACCTGAAGCGCTAGATCTACGAGGGTGCTCCGAACCCACGTCTTATCAACCCAAACAGAGGATTTCACGACGACGCGTGACAGGTTCCTCGAAACATGCGAGTTGCCGGTTATGCTCCGCCAGGCGGACCCAGTGATATTGTGCAGGAGTACCTCTCTCCGGACGATCCTTGGGTCGCCAATTACCAGGATTTCAAGGTACTTACTGATGCCGAGAAAAAGGACGTGATTGCGCGTGAAGCCGAAGAACATGGTCTCGAGAGGCCGAAAGGCTGGAATGTGTCTTTCCATTACAATCCGCACGTGGAGTATCATCACTTTGGCAGCTCACATCCGATGAAACCATGGCGTCTGACGCTGACGAAACAACTCGTTCTTGCGTATGGGTTGGAGTATACCATGGATCTCTTCGAGCCAAGACCAGCCAGCTTCCAGGACCTTGCTGTGTTCCACGACCGCGAATATCTAGCCTACCTCAGCAAAATCACGCCTCAGAACGCACAGCCTGAGGACCCTCAGTATATAGCGTATGGCTTTGGTGGCGAGTCGAACGACTGCCCAGTATTTGATGGACTGTGGAACTACGTATCACTTTATACGGGTGCCACAATGAGCGCTGCCTACAATCTCATCAACAACCAGTCTAATATCGCCATCAACTGGTCTGGAGGCTTACATCACGCGAAAAAGAATCTTGCCTCCGGGTTCTGCTATGTCAACGACATTGTGATAGCGATCCAAACTCTGCTCTCGCGGAACCAGCGCGTCCTGTACATTGATATCGACGTCCACCACGGCGATGGTGTCGAACAGGCATTTGAGTCTACAGATCGTGTATTCACGCTCTCGTACCACAAGTATGGTATCGACAAGCACGGCTATCCGTTCTTCCCAGGTACAGGAGCCATCGACGAGACGGGTCCCGCGGATCCTAGAAATCCCGGCAAGGCCCACAGCCTGAATATTCCCATCGATGATGGCATCGACGACGACCAGTACAAGTGGCTCTTCAAGACGGTTACCGGCGCAGTAATAGAAAAATACAACCCGCAAGCTATCGTCCTGCAGTCGGGTGCCGACTCTCTTGGGGGTGACCGCCTCGGTCGCTTCAACCTCAACATCAAAGCGCACGGCTATTGCGTAGAAACAGTAAAAGCTTACGGTCGTCCTCTGCTCATTATAGGTGGTGGTGGCTACACACCTCGCAATGTTGCACGGACATGGTGTCACGAAACGTCTGTCTGTGTAGGTGCAACGCTTCACAATGAGCTACCCGCTCACATACCCTACCTCCAAGCCTTTCAAGGAGCAGAGAATGGCGATGGGGTTTTGTACCCTGATCTACACAACACGAAGCGTCACGACAACCTGAACTCGCAGGCTAAATTGCATAAGCTAGTCGAACAAGCACTAGAGAATCTGAGGTACTTAGAGGGCGCACCTAGTGTGGTCGTAGACACAAAGGGTATCCCGCTGGAAGAGCTCATGAGAGTGAGGGAGGCAATCGATCGAGAGATGGAGGAAGAGGCGGAGGACAAGGCCCGTCTCTCGGTCGAGAATAGCAGACGCAGGAAAGAGAAGAACATTGGCGGCCGAAGTGAGCGGAGATAGACTCGGAGCCGGGAAGCGTGATGCAACGACTCAACTTGATGGCGTTTAGGAAAATATTGGAGTCACGGGAGGATGCGCTTTCGGCGATACCCATGGTACATGATTCAGACTAGGCAACAACTTGTTTGGATGCACAATGAATGTTCTGGTGAGATTCTAGAGCGTGCGCTTATCAGATGGAAATGGATCTGCTGAGGTGACTTGGCAGGCTCCGAATTTCTCACCGATCGCAGTCCACGGGATGCGACAGGCGTAAATGGGTAGCACTTGATAAACCTTGATCCTGTCTGCAGAGTAGTCACGACGAAAGACAGGGCCGGCTAGGCCTACATGGATGACTCAGACGTCCCCTCATACGAGATTGTGCATAGCAGAGGGTGATGTTCAGCCGGTGGAATGACGTTGGGCCGGCCTTAGGCGGGCATAAGAGGTGATGGACGGTGGTTCCTCCGCAGATATGCGTGTCAAGCGGTCTGAGTCGACGACTTGTTTTCGCAAAGTCCCTGTCTTGACCGGCGTGTGCAGTGTGGGATAGCCAGACGACAAGCTTTGATTCGCCAGGCCCCACCAGGGACGTTCCGCTTCGTACTGGTGTCGTACAAAGCGATCGGAGCCTGAAGTTGGGTCAGCGCCGACAATCGACTAGGGTCTCGCCGCAAAAGTCAAGCCACACGGAGGAACGAGTGTCGAGAGCAAGAAGAGGGATTTCGGCAGAGGGAAGAGGCAGCTTCCTGTATCACTCATCCCTTATACAATGTCCGACGAGATACAGTCTAGCCAAACGTCGCCCAATGGCACCCAGAGGCTCAACGGCAGTGTCAGCGGCCCCTCACCCGGTGGAGGTGCTGGGCCGACGCCAAACCCCCGGTCGTGCGTTACCTGCCGTAGGCGCAAGGTCAAATGCGACAAAAAGAACCCGTGTTCCAACTGCGTGCGCGCCAAAATCGACTGCATCTTCCCTGGACCTGGACGCGCGCCGCGAAAGAGCAGAAAGCCACCCGATGCCGAGTTGTTGGAGAGACTGCGCCGCCTGGAGGGCGTCGTCACCAGTCTGAACGCCCAGGTCGAGGGCCACGAGCAGGAGGCGGCCGACCGCGAGAGGGAACGAAAGAACAGCGCAAGTGCAGAGGGAGGCTGTCCGAGCGGGCAGCCCCAGGTCCCATGGCCGACCAAGCAGCATGGCGCAAGAGTCGAAACCGACAACAGTGTAGAGGGCCTTGAGAACCGCTTCGGACGGCTGGTGGTGGAAAAAGGCCGGAGCCGCTACATCAACAACAGCTTCTGGGCCTCTTTGAACAACGAGGTCGAAGACCTCAAGTCGATCCTTATCGAGCCATCCGACGACGAAGACGATGCGCCCTCGCCCGAGTCGTCCAACATGTCCTCGCACCAGAGCTTCGTCTTTGGTTACAGCTCCTCCAACGTCGACATGCACGCGCTTCACCCTCCCGAGCAGCAAGCGCGCGAATTCTGGGACGTCTACAAGGACCACGTCGAGTCTTTGGTCAAAGTGCTCCACGTTCCCAGTTTCGAGCCTGTCATCTTCGACGCTTTTGCGCATATCGACAAAGTGAGCAAGGGAATGGAAACACTCTTGTTCGCCATATACTACGGCGCAGTAACAAGCACAACCGCGGAAGTCTGTCTGGAAAGGTGGGGCGAAGACCGAAACGCACTCCTCAACAAATATCGGTTTGGGTTGGAACAGGCGCTGGCAAGAGCAAACTTCCTCTACTGCGACGAAGTCATCATCCTCCAATCCTTTGTCATCTTCCTCGTCTTACTGCGGCGCAACGACGACGCGCGCAAGATTTGGACTCTGACTGGCTTGGCCGTGCGCATTGCGCAGACGCTTGGTATACACCGAGATGGTAGTCATTTTGGTCTGCCGCCATTCGAGATCGAAATGCGTAGGCGCCTGTGGTGGCAGGTCTGCATTCTTGATGCGAGATCTTCGGAAGATCACGGTTGCGATCCGACCATTGTCGAAGCCCAGTTTGACACCAAGATGGTATGTCAGTTCGTCTCATGTCTACAATCACATACTAACAACTACCCTACAGCCACTTAATGTCAACGATACCGACCTACACCCCGACATGACCGAGTTTCCCGAAGACCGCCAAGGTTTCACCGACATGACCTTCTGCCTCCTTCGCTTCGAAATCACCCACATTTTCCGCCGTATCATATACGTCCCCCCGGGCCCTAATAGATGCACCGAATATTTCTCTGGTCTGACAATCGAGCAAAAGGAGAAATGGATTAGCGATGCTCACCAGGCCATGGAAGACAAGTATCTTAAGAATTGCGATATGAGTATTCCGATCTGTTGGGTTACAGCGACTATCTCAAGGCTCATCATGAGCAAAATGTGGTTGGTTGTCTATCACCCACACCAACGAAAAGATGGAGGTGCAACATTGCCGCAAGAGACCAAAGACAAACTCTTCATCACCTCGCTTGAGAACGTCGAGTACTCTATCCTGCTCGAGACCGAAGCGCGTACCATGAAGTGGGGCTGGCTCTTCCGCACATATGTCCAGTGGCACGCCATCGCCTTCCTGCTCTCTGAATTATGCGTCCGCACCAAAGGCGAGGCTGTAGAGCGCGCGTGGAGAGCCCTGGAAGCAACTGCTGGCCGTTGGTGGTTCCCGCTCAATGATGCTTCACCACTCCGTAAAGGCCAACAAGGAACTCTTTGGAAACCGCTACGAAAACTTCTTGCAAAAGCAAGGGCAGCGCGGGAACGAGAGCTGGCCCTCGAGCGGGCTAGCCTGGCTCTCCGGAATGGGCAGTTTGCCAACAGCGCATTTGCTTTCCAAGGTCCGAATGCGCTGAATCAGGCAAATCAGTCAGCAGCCACTACAGCTCAACACGAAGCCAAGATCTTGGACAGCATGTTGCGACCTTCGGCACCGAAACTGGGTGAGATGCCTAGCGCTGAACTCCCGAGTTGGCCCAGCAGCCCTGCGCAAGCCAAGTCACGAACCAACTCGCTGCAAGATGGAAAGAGCTCGATTCAGCAACAACCATTGCCAAACGAACAGTCAAATAGCGCAAGAGGCAAGAGCGCCTCGCCTGGAAAAGAGTTTGGAGATTTGTTCGAATACGGCCTTGATAACGTGATTAACGACGTTATGGGATCCGGTGGGGTCCTCGACGGAACAGTCCTGAACTGGCCCGCATATACCCCCACGACCATGACAGCTCAGCCTGCTACCTCGAACACCACCTCAATACACTCATACGGTACACACGGGATGAACCCGCCCACAGCCGCAAATGGCTATCCTACATTCGGAGATGGCATGCTTCCAACCACAAGTATGGATTTTAGCATCGATAGCAATAACACTGCAGGTTTGAGTAATGCCAATATCAATGGCAATAGGCAGCAGCACGTTCAAGAAGCTGTGATGATGGACGATGGGGATATGGACTGGACACTTTGGGATGACATGGTGAATCAGTATGGGATCGAAGGAACCCCGACGAATCCGGCTAGTACGGCTGGCCTCGTGCCCTGGTTCTGATTGATTGTCTGTCTAAAGCATTATCTTTCACGAAGCCATGATGGGTGTTTACGGCGTTTGGGCGAGAAAGAGCTCTACTCCATCTATTTGTGGCTTGCATTGAGCGAGGAAACGATCGTTATACCCTGTATTTGATAACATTGAAATTCTATATATTGTATAAAACCAACAACTATGCTTTTATTACTCTCGGATCTAAGCAAGAAGGATCAGTACATACCTTGATGTTAGCAGATCCCATGTTCAGATATCTAGCGGCGACCACGCAGGGATGCGGCAGGGATAAGGCGCATGTATTACCACGTGGAGGCTCTGATTGCGTTGGTGCTGCTCTTGGTATCGATAACCTGAGCTTCACCGCTTGCCAGCGGCTTATACCCCGCGTACGTCGACTCTCACATACATGCTATGCTGCATCTCGCTGTACATGCTTGAACGACAACACCACAGTGTGTACGAATAATTTGCGCTCAAGAACAGTACAGTATCTTGCGACGTGCGGTGGTTGTTTCCCGGCTGTGAACAAACGGTTAAAGAGGCGGAATCTCAACAAGCTGCTGTACTAGTCAGGTGCACCCGAGTATTTGGTCGCGAAGTGCCAATCACTTGGTGCTATAAGAAGTGGTTCGTGGGACGAAAAGATATCTAGAAGTCGAGGTACAGCTTTGTGGACTCATCCGTCGCACGTCTCGACCCCGTTCCAAATCTGTTTTGATTGCATTTTCTCATATCTGTACAAGTACCTGATCCGGTCGTCGCCTCCACAAGGTATCTTTCGGAAACAAACTCGAAGGCATTACATCATGTCCTCAGTAACACCGACACCTCAGGACTCCGGTCTTCCTGCACCCGCAACGCCATATCGATCCTCGTCATTACTATCAAACACTTCTTCTTCGTCAAAACCGACTATACTACATCTTGGTGACGATATCCGATGGAATCATGAATTATATGCTAAGCTAAATGACACGTTCAACATTGTACGAACAAACTCAATGGGAAGGGAAGAGTTCATGAAAGCATTGAAAGAGAAAAGATGGGGTGATTTTGTAGGAATGTACCGTCCCTTCTGGAACACAGGAGGAGAAATGGGGAATTGGGATAAAGAGCTCATTGACCTCCTTCCCACCTCTTGCAAGATCTACGCCTCAGCTGGCGCAGGCTTCGACTGGGTCGACGTTCAATACCTCGCCTCGCACGGCACCATATACTGTAATAGTGCATCTGCCTGCACTGAATCCGTTGCCGATGCCGCCATTGTCCTCATCCTATCTTGCTTTCGCGCAATCACCTGGTCCTTCCTTGCAGCACGTTCCTGTGATCACGATCAATTCCGCAACGCAAACCAGAACATTGCGGCTGTGACGCACAATCCCAATGGCAGTACGCTCGGTATCGTGGGTCTTGGTCGAATCGGTATGCGAGTTGCGGAGAAGGCGGCCCGCGCTTTCGAGATGAAGATTGCATACTACGATGTTGTCAGAATGTCGGATAGGGAGAAGGAGATTGGTGCAAGGTGGTGTGAAACACTTGAGGAGCTTCTGTCCACATCAGACTGTGTGTTACTTGCTACGCCGTTTTCGGGGGAGACGCTACTTTCTGCAAAGGAGTTTAGCCAGTTTAAACATGGGGCGAGACTTGTTAATATTGCGAGGGGGAAGCTAGTGGATGAGGAGGCGCTCAATGTTGCGTTGGATAATGGGACAATTTCGGCGGCTGGGCTCGACGTTCATGCCAATGAACCATATGTCAATAAGAGGTTGGCAGAGAGAAGTAATGTTATGGTGTTAAGCCATACAGCTGGAGCGAGTGTAGAGAGCCATGTTGGGTTTGAGAGATTGGGTATGGAGAACTTGCTTGGATGGTTGGAGAAGGGGGAGAGTGGTTGTTTGAGTGCAGTAAATCTGGCGTGGTTGAAGAGGCAGGAATGAAAGTTGTTGCCAACTTAATGGCGTTACTAGTAGATGTGAGTATGTGGATATGAGATAGGGTGTGGATGGATTTAGATCTGGTGATGTTCCCTCGTATTGATGTTCTCCGCCAGCATATCAAGACTTATTCAAGAATCTCTGTCACACTTCGAGACTAGTATAAAAGTTTGACCTTGTTCTTTCCTTTTTTCTCCTACAACCTCGCCACACGGTCTACTGCGTCGCTGCTACTACGGAGACTTTCGCCAGCATGACTCACCTGCCCCCCATAAATCTCGTTGGTCTTATCAACAGATACGCTCCAGCTCAAGCGTCTATCTTGCAGCAACTGGAGATCCGAGATATCATATCCTTATCTCGTGTGTGTAAGAAATTGAGTCACGTCTACAACACCACAATCAAAACTCAGTACAACATCAATAATGGCTTGAGGCGGTTCTTCAATTCACCAATCGAATTCCGAAACGTGCAAGCGGAAACTGATGCCATCATCTGCAACAGCACCGCACTCTACTTCTTTCTTCGTAGACCCTTCACAGGAATTTCGATATTTGTGGGCAAAGGAACTCCTGCTACAAGGATGCTCGATTACCTCAAGGAAGACGGTTGGCATGAGATCGGAGAAACTGTAGCGCATGAGAAGTACGACGGGGTAGGCTTTGCTATGTGTTGATCCAAATCCAAGGTTGACGACGAATAGTTACATTATTTCGACAAGCATACTGCTAGCTGCCCTAACAGGGTAAGGAAGAATGAGACAGATAATTGGAATCCCTGCTTCTGTCCCCATCTGTGTCTTGGGGCCACATGCGAGTCTGCGCTTTCCACTGCGCTGTTCGATCCACACGTCACAGAAGCACTCAACATCATAACGTGGTCACACGCGTATTCACTTCTACCGTATACAACTTTCATCCTCAAACGCTCCTTTCTCTTAGAGAATGCAGTCAATCGTTCTCCGCAACGTCTGGGGCAGGTATTGCGGTCCAAGAAGCATATCCTCGATCTACCAACTGAGCCTCTAGACCTTCGAGATGCACAAAATGCAAATCCGACTGCACTTTCACCTCCAGCTCTCTCGAGGCAGCTAGTGTCCCGTGTAGACCACGGCCATCGGCGCATGGGAGATAGACATACATGGACGATAGCTTTGGATACTGACGGAATTCGTCAACCGACTAAATCCACCATCCCAATTACCTACACGAGCTTCCGGATCATACCTGAGCCCAACCCTCCACCCATCGAAGACAACCATGGAAGACTTCGAGACACACCATCCTACTACTATGTTCTCTTTAATTCCGTCGCTGCCCAATGTTTGAAGTACGAGTATCTTGTCGATCCTACCGATGGTGGAAACCCTGCTTGTAGCATTGTTGCAAGGCGGTACAAGGAGATTAGTTTTACCCAGATAGAGGCATTGGAAGATGTAGAGAAGCCACCACGTTGGATATCAAATGGTTCGACTAGCTTGAGACATGGGTGGGAAAAGTTTGGCTGCGAGGTACCTGTCAGTTGGAAGTGGTACGATGATGAGGTTGAGGAATTGTTGAGGTCGCGATGGGATAGGGATAGCCCGCTAGAGGGACGGCTGATATAGATGATGGTTTCTCGACTGAGAGCCTAATGTTGAGGGGTTTGCTAGTAAACATCTACCGTGTGCAAAGACGAGTGTGCTGATTGCAACGTCTGGCGTTTCAGAATAATCAGGCGAGTGAACACCCTGATCATACAACGCTTTTGAAACTGAGTATGAGATGGGGAGCAATAGATGCATGGAGACATTATGGCAAAGATGCATTCAAGAGTTCACAATCAGTCGCACCAATTCAGCATTCCGTTATTTGACACTCCAAATCAATACCTTCTCTCTTTCTTTCCATCTAAACCGTCAAGACTCCACCTGTGCAACCCTAACCTGGACCATCGGTCCGTCTCTCCCAAATCCAAGTGCATCCCACATCTGAAATTCATCAGATCTTTCTCTTCCAATACCCAATCCTGGCTTCCCACCTCCAGACTCGGGCTCATCAGGGGCCAATCGTAGGTCGAAGCGCCAGAGTAAATGTGCCAGTGTCAACTTCAATTGCAAGTATGCCAGGTTCCTGCCACTGCACATCCTACTGCCAATGCTGAACGGGAAAAATGCCCTTCGAGCCAAGGCGATGGAGGAAGCGGGGTTGGAAGGCGACTCGATCCAGCGTTCGGGTAAGAAAGCAAACGGTGCAGGGAAATGGGTGGGATCGTTATGTAGAGCATACATTGGTACGCCTACTGTTGTGCCAGCCGGAATGCGAACGCCATCGATCTCAATACCTCCGTCTAAGACGATGCGTGGAAGATGGCTGGGTACTGGCGCGGTGCGACGAAGGGTCTCTTCGATGACAGCGTAGAGATAAGTGCAATGATTTAGTACCGGGCCACTGACAATCTCGGAAGGCGAGGTAAAGGATGATCTTATCTCTTGAGTAACTCCGCGAAGTGCATCCTGGTTTCGCACCAGGTAGAAGATAGCTCCGGCAAGGACCCCACTGAAAGGATCCGCCCCAGCGTTCATCAGGTTGAGACACTCAGTACCGAGATCTGCTGTCGAAGGATGCCAATCAGTTTTCTTGTCCCTCGCTGTGACTAGATGCGACAGAAAATCTACTCGTTGGGAATTACTATCTCTCTCTGCCTTAACTTTCGATTGTTGTAATTGAACTTGGGTGGCACCATAATCGATCAAGCGGTTATTGTCTGTAACAGATTTACCGCCTAATGCCTCGAACAACCTGGTTCGTAGGATAGGCCGTACGATAAATGCCGGAGGCAGATAGGATATCTGTTATTCGAAATTAGCCCTAAGAGTAGCGGTATCCCGGTGTAGAGAGAACTCGTACCCAATACATCAACATGCTAGCCGGTAAAACTGAGCTGGCCAACGGCCTAAACATTTCTTTTTGCACCGTCTCAAATCTGCTTCCAAACACGAGTGCCCCCATGATATCAAATCCGAGGTATGTGCTCATCTCGCTAGCATTCCATTTCTCTCCCCAATCACCGTTGCTTTCTTCTTTACAG